GATCATATGGATTATATTGATAAAATGGATTAAATTGATTATTTTCAATGATGTAATAATCCGCTAAAATTCAATTGATGTATGTTTTAGGAGGTATTGACAGATGTCCACCTTTTGTAAATAATTCAATTATTGAATTTAAATGACCCTTTTCTCCAATTGATGGTAATATAAATTTAATTCCTTCAATTTCAGTAATACCTTCATTATCACCTTCATCAATTATTTGAAAGATTGAATTTTCTCCATATTTATTCAATAAATATTCAGATATTTCTTTAGCTCCATTTCCTGATGCTTCTTCATCATATCCAAATGATAAAATTATTGTTCTTTTAGGCTTTAAATCACCTTCTTTTAATAATAATTCAATTGTATTCATTAATGCCATTAATAAATTCTTACAATCACTAACTCCTCTACCATATATAAATTCACCATCAAATTCACCTCCAAATGGTGGATATTTCCATTGTGATTCAGTTTCCAATGATACAGGTACAACATCTTGATGAGCAGCTAACATAATTGGTTTTTTTGTCTCATCACTACCTTTCCAAGTATAAATTAATCCAAATTTATTAATTTTTTTAAGTTTTAAATGTTTATGAATTAATGGATAGGTTTTTTTCAAAAATTTTTGAAATTTTTCAAATTGTTCCCATCTTGGATCCAATTTATATAATTCTTCAAGTGATTCAATATTTGAAGGATTAATCATATCATCATAAATTTCAGTAGGTATTTTAACTGCATTTGATAATCTTTTTCTTATTTGTTTATGATATTTCTTATTATGAAGTATATATTGTAATGTTTCTGGATTAGTTAAATATTTACTTGGATTAATTTTGGGAATTATTGGACATAATGAATCTGGTTCATGTGGTGCATCCATTAATGATTTAACATTATCATTATAAGAAAATGTCACAAATAATAATACGATTAATATTAAGGAGATGACTCCAAAATGATGAGCACGTCTAATGGTACGTTTATCTCTACCGACATGTAATGGTAATTCCTTTTCCGATGTCATTGGCGGTGGTTAATAATGAAAGAATTAGTTGATAATAATAGCAATCATTAAATTTCATCGATTTATAATTAAAGGGGCTGCGGGAGAGGTCCCCCACCAAAGCGCGTGGTGGTGGTGGACACGACGGGGAATTTAATTCCGCTGATAAAGGTGCATGGACGGAATTATTCCTCCCGTTAGGAAAATAATTCCGATTCCAATACATTGAGAAAAGAAATTTCATATGAATATCTATTGGAAAATAAATTTATTATACACTTACAAGTAAGATTTCAAAGCTTGAACACTTTCAAAGAAACATAATTGATCTTTCAAAGTTTTTTCTTTAGCATATCTAACCAAAGGATCTTTAATATCACCTCTAACGGCAAAACCATGAGCAACACCAGAAAATAAATCAACTTGATATCTAACTCCATTCAATTTAGCTAATTCATCTTCTGATTGATGTCTTAATTCAGGAGTGAAAATTGGATCAGTTTCAGCAGCACTGATAATAATTGGTCTTTTAATAGCTTTAACTTCTTCAATACTAACAAATGATGGGTGAGCAATTGCTGCTGAATCTAAATATCCAGTTGATGATAAATTTTGAACAGCATATTTAGCACCAAAACAATATCCAATACCAGCTAAAAATTTAGGTTTTAATTCTTGTTTAACTTTTTGTAAGAAATTATCAACTATTGGTGCTGTTATTTCGGCAGTATGATTAGGTAACCATTTTTGTAAATCAGCACCAGGTATAACAGGATCATCTTTTAAAATATCTGGAATTAATACTAAATAATCGCCATTTTTAGAAATTTCATCAGCAATAAGTAAAACATTGTTAAATTTATTACCATAGATATCTGTTAAAACAACTATAATATTTGACGATGATGAATTTCCAACTGAATAAGTTGGTAATCCAAATAATTCTTTATGTGTTCCAATTGGAGTACCTTCATGGAAATTCCCTTCAGCGCAACATTTACCTGGTGGATTAGAAGCCATTGTTGATCGTTAATTATTGATAGACCTAAAGAAGAACAAGCAAGTTTTTGAATTGAACAATAAAAAAGAAAATTTTTACAGTTGACATGTTGGGGAAAAGTAAGGAGCGCGGTTGGGGTCGCGGTGAGAGAGGGGACCCGGAAAAATGGGAAAATGGAAAAATTGTGGCTCAGAAGGGAGATTTGATCAAATCGACACGACTCAAATGGAACCTCATATCTAATAACCTCAAGTTAATATCACCAATGAATGATTTAAGACAGAATGAATAGGTTTTTTGTTATGTATATAAAAGTATAATGATAATTAAAATAAAAAATTTTCTATATGAACGCTAACTAAGTAATAATAATAATAATAAAAAATAGGCAGTAATGAGAAATTGAAATCAAGAATTATAAGAGAATAGTTTTTTTATTAACCCATGGTGTATTCAACTCCTTTAGATGGAGCATATAAGATAATACCGTTCAAGATACCGGCAATCAAACCAGCACATGGTAAAGTGAAAATCCAACCCAAATAACACCAAGCAACCATTCTCCAGTTGACAGATTTCCATTCTCTATTACATAAACCAACAAAAACAGTAGCACCAACAGCAGATTGAGTAGTAGAAACTGGGATTTTCAATTGAGTGGCCATAACAGTAGTAATAGCAGCACCTAATTCAATTGAGAAACCTCTTGCTGGAGATTGCAAAATCAATTTATTACCCAAGTTAGCCATGATATGATAACCATAAGTCCAGACACCGATGACTAAAGCAGAAGCAGCATAAACCAAGACCCAAACTGGAACATCAGCTTTTGAAGCAATGGTATTGGTGGTCCAGACTAAATAAACAGTAGCTAAAGGACCAGTAGCGTTGGAAATATCATTGGCACCATGAGCAAAAGACATAGTACAAGCAGTGATAGCTTGTAAAAGGGAATACATGTATTCAATCTTGTTATCGTAATATTTGGAGGCAGTATGCATTTGATGAAGGTTACCAGATAAAACATCATTTGAACCAGCTTGATTGGCAATAACATCTTGTCTAAAACCATGAGTCAACATCAAGAAAAAAGTGAATGGCCAGTTAGATGGACCTTGTTTAAGCAATTTCCAATATTCTGGGTATTTGTTTGGCCATTTACCGGTTTCAGATTTGTATGGAACTGCACCATTTGGAGCTGGTTGTTGTTTTTCAGAATCAGATTGAATAGCATGGTTTTGAACAATAGCAGAAGTTTTTTCACCATCGGAATTGGAATCATCAATAGTTGCCAAACTTTCAACTTGACCACCGGTGGAAGTAGTAGTACCATTTGGACCAAGTTCAATCAAGTTACCGGCTTCATCGTATCTTCTACCTTTATAGAAATCTTGAGTTAATTGATGACCTTCTGGCATTGGTGGAATGTCATCAGTAGATTTGAACCAATAAACTGGACCCATGAAAATATGGTACCATTTCAAAGTCCAATCTTCATGAACCAATTTTCTTTTGTAGTATGGGTAACAGAAAATAATGTATAAAGCAGTGGCAACACCACCAGTACCAAAGATGGCACCAACAATAGTACCAGTTGACAAATTACCCAATTTCAATTTTGGAGAACCTTTCCAAACAATCAACATGGTTAAGATACTGAAAGCAGTCATGACTAAACAAGGAACCAATAACATGGCATTTCTTAAAGAAGTCTTTGGGTTTTTCACTTCCAAAACGGCAAATTTAGAAATCAAAAAGATAATAGTGGCAAAACCACCAGCAATAGCTGGGGCAATGAACCAAGAAGCAATGATTTGTGAAACACCTTTCCAACCCCAAACAATGTTGTTACCACCTTTAGCGGCAATTGCAGAACCAATAACAGCACCAACGATAGAATGGGTAGTAGAAACAGGCATACCAATAGAAGTGGCAATGGTTAACCAAGTGGAAGAACCAACTAAAGCAGTGGCCATAGTTAACATCAAAACTGCTGGAGAATCAGCAAAAACACTAACATTGATAATTTTATTTCTAATAGTATCGGAAACTCTTGAACCAACCAAAACTGCACCCAAGAATTCACAAATAGCAGCTAAAATCATAGCTTGCCAGTATTTTAAAGATCTTGAAGAAACAGAAGATGAGAATGAGTTTGCCACATCATTGGCTCCAATATTCCATGCATCCAAGAATGCAAAGATCATTGCAATTGCGAAGATATAATCAAACTGATGCAAAGCCATTATAATGAATATGTTTTGTATGTGATTAATTAACTAATTAGTTAAGGATGATTGATAATGATTAATTGATAATGATTTAAAATAGAAACTATTGAAAAAAATAAAAAAAACTTCCTAGAGATTTGATGAAATATTTATATTCAGAATTTAGTTTATAGTTTATATCATTGTGAAATGAAAAAAAGGAACTCTCCTTAATCGATATACGTTACCCACATGGTATACTGAATAATAAATAAATTAAGAAAAACCTTGCCATTTTTCCTTACTGATTATTTTTGTTTGTTTTCTGTTTGGGTTCAAATTTTTTTTTTTTTTTTTTTTTTTTGCAATTTTTTTGATTTCTTTTTCTGTTGGTCCAAGAAAAAAAAGCGACACAATGCAAAAACAAACTCTCAGTGTTTTTTCTTGGTAGTATGGAAAATTTCTTGGTTTTTAAAATTAGTATGTTACCTCGGGAGACTACCACGAGGTCGAAGGAAGATCATGGCGATGTCTTCCACGAGCTGGCATGAACCTTGGGACGGGCCAAAGGGGTTAGAATACTGATTCTTGGCACCACATAGATCAATCAAGAAGAAGAAAAAATAATTTTGTCAACCAACGAAAATGAAAACTTCTTGTTTTCCATTCCACCCACGAGGGTACCTGCTACTCTTAACTACTATTAATTCTGTTACTACTACTTCTGTTGGGGATTGAAGCAGAAGATGGAGGGAGAGAAAGAGGTCACACAAAGGTCACATGAGTATCTGGATATTTGTAAGACGAACATGGCAAAAACTGTGGTTGCAATTTTTTTTTCGGTTGTACTCACACGCTTTTCTTTTTTTTGTATATATAGTTGTCCAATTGGTAGCATTCGTTAGTAAATGAAGAGATCAAACTAATCTACAAAAGAGACAATAAATTGAATAAATAAGAAGAGAATATTCATTAACCATAAATCATACATTATACAATGGACCAATCTATGCTGGAACAAAATAAAATAAAAACTATGTCACCTCTTCATTGATCAAGAGAGGATCTAGAGAAATAAAACGATTAATTTAAGGTTTTTTCTTTTAATATAAATTACAATCCCAAATGCTGCCAAGTGTACATAACTACATATCCCTAAATGTCCTGTATAAGTTAATTTCGTGTTGGATATATACTTTTGACTGAGAATATCTCATTGTAATGGAAATGACATTTCAAGTTCCATATTGTGGAATTTAAATTATCAAGAAAAAACAGAACAAAAAATTCAGAGAAGAAGTAAAGTAAATTAATTGCTTTATTGATTGCCAAATATACTAACCTTAAAAGTGTAATAACCAGACCCAGTAATGTAATTCAACGTGTAAAAGAACCATTTTTTTGTTTAATAACAGTTAATAACTACTAATATAACAAACTCTGTTTGATAGTAGATGTTAAGAATTCATTTGTAAAATTAGATGGTTGCCCTAGTTGCAATTGCAACTTTGAATCAAAGCCAACATATAACCAACCAAACCAAGGAGAGGTGCAAGGATTAGTAAAAATGCTCACTATTAATTCATCGTAATCTCAATTCATAGTTAACACAAGATACATATACATGACTTTTATGAATCGAACTAAACAATCACTTTTTAAAACTAATCCCGTTGACCGTATGGCGCGTGAATTGTCAATGGGATGAAATAAAAAAAAAAGATAGGGGAGTAGTGTACCACGAAACAGAAAACGTGGGACCTGAATTTGGCTGAAGAAAAAAAAGAAAATTGATACTGCGCCTTATGGAGATTGCAACTTATAATATATTATTACTTTTGAATAGTTGTAGTAGAAATTGTAGTGGTAATATCAGTCCCAAAAGAAATAGAAAGAATTGAAGGTCATGGTAATGTTAATGTTAATGACCAAGTTAGTTATCTAATGAATTGTCAGTCAATTGAGAGTAATTGATTAGGTATATGGCAATTCTGATGATACGGATATACAGTAGAATTACCCCATATTCAAACACATGACGATAAGATAGATTACGTTATACATAAAGTGGAGGAAAAAATCGCCGTAGCTAAAATAATAAAAAAAAAAAGAAAATCTCCCATCTAGCCGTGTGTATCACCTAATCTTAGTAAATTTAGTATAGTTGAATGTCAGACGATAACGCCGATCCCCTTGTTAATTTATTTGCTCATTCATGCACACAAGATGTTTAAAATCGTGGGGAAAGTAATAAAGAGAGAGACAGGGAGAGAATGAGTTCAATTGGTATGTGCTTAAGCATCACACTACTTTAATACTGAATTAGGCAATCTTATAATAAAATTTCTCAAACTCTGTAATTACTCGATTTCGCGTTGCACGTTGAACCAAGAATAAGTAATAATAATAATCTTAATACCACGTTCTCCTTACAAGAAAATAAGCGTAAATAATAATAAAGAAACGTGGATTTAATAATAATGAAATTTAGAAATTGTTTTCATTTGGTTTAAAAATCATTTCTCTTGGAATTGGATATCATAGTATTTTTTGGCTCATTTACTATTGCTGGTAATATAGTTGATGTTGACATTTTGACCCATACAATGGATGCAAGGCATTAAATTAAATAAAACCTCGATTGCTAATTAAATCAGTTTTAACCGGGACAATGAAATATCAAAGAAGGAGAACTAGAACCACGATAAGCTGATTATCATAGGCCCACGTGGTTGCAAAAAAAGCAAAAATTTATTTACGTTTCGGTTTTAGCACACAATGCACACAATGCAAGGAAACAAAGAAGGAAGAACAAAACTATTTTCTAGGCACCAAAAGAATTTTCTATGGGCGATTAAATAATTCTGTCACTGCTGAAACCACACGACTTACGAGAATCGAAAGGGAACTACCAATTGGCATGTCATCTAATCAATATAACATTGAAACGGAGATAGTACAATAAAAGATATGTATTATAATTTATATAAATTGTTTTCACATCTAGCATAATACATTCACCACATGAGTAATTTACTATTACAACGTAGCGCAATTTCATAACTATAGACAAAAAAAATAAGGGTTTCACAGCCACATCAAAACTTAATTGGATGAATATGGATGGCAAACAAAAAAACGCCTTATTGTATTTGAAACTAGTGACAAATATCAAACTCAATGGCCAAAAATCACCATCATCATGTCAGATATTATTGAATTCCGTATACTATTCGCTTTTAGTTTCCTTGGAATTCGCTTAATACTTAAGAAACAAATCTTAATCATACAAATCTCAAATAAGAAAACAAATCAATAATTCACAATTTCCCTATATATTACATTTAGATAATAAAATTAATGTTTTATTTTATTACTTTTGTTTTTAAAGTTCATTCACCGAATTTTTTAATTAATTATAATGTTGCAGTTATATATTCTTCAAAGAAAGTAAATAGATTCCATTATCAAATAACTACTATCACTAGTAATTTGTTCCAAATATGAAATCAATCGAATTATTTACTCAGAAAAAACAAAACCTGCTGATTATTCCAAGAAAATAATCCGATCTCTTCTGGTATTTCATCAAGATCATCTCTTCAAGGGTTTTATTTTTCTTGTCAGATTCAATCAATACTTGGAGAGAATGGTCTAGATGTGAGTTATTTGATTGTCTTATTCTAGGAGTTACCATATGGACTAATTTCGGAAATACAATATATTTTAATGAACTGTTTCAATGTGCACATAAATTATAGTGTTGTAATTGTAATACATGATAGATATTAATGAAATAACCACTAATTCATGATGATTTTGTCAAATTTTACCACTAAAAACCTTGAATTTTCCTCATTGAATATTTCTATCCAAAATAAAAGAAGGCTTAGATTTATAACGGTGCTCTAATAGCCAACAGATCTATCAATGGATTTGTTCTGACATGTTGGTTCAACTGTTTCTATTGGTCTATATATAGTGGTGTTGGTTAAAAATTTGGCAGCAAAATATTAGCCAGTCGTGTGTATCTCACCAATTTTCCTAACTATGACGTCAATCAAAAAGATCTGTGTCGCACTCACGCACCCCAAACGAAACAAAATTACCCAAAATGGAGGAAATCAACAAAACCTGGAAATGAAAAATTAATTAATTAAGAGAGAGAGTGGGGAAAGGTATACAATATTATCGACAGAGATCTACAACCAACAACAACAACAGCCTACGACGACTGTCACCAATAAAGAAAATAAATTCACATTTTATATTAGTATTTTTTTTTCTTTTTTCTGTAAATAACAACCATGCCGGATGAATCATCAAGATTACTTTTAAATCACACCAATCCTGGAAGTTCTTCATCATTAAGATATGATTCTATTCCAAGACCTCCATCTAGATCAAATCTACTTCATCATAGTAATACTACTGGTACTATGACTCCTGGAAGACCACCATTATTATCTGTACCTTCAACTAGTTCGGTACGAAGTTGGAAAAGTTCAACTAGTTTAAATGATCAAGTACTAGATAGTTATTTAAAGCAATCCCATACTTCAACTCATCATAATAATGATAGTCTTTCCATTTTAAATTTTGAATTATATAATAAACTTTATCTGAAAGAAAAGAAAAAGTCCATCTTTCAGGATGATGATGATGATGATGCTGGAGCATTTAATTTATATGCATATTTAGGATACTATATTCCTATATTAAATTGGTTACCTAATTATAATTTCAAAGAATCATTTCTTGGAGATACATTAGCGGGGTTGTCATTAGCTTCATTTCAAATTCCATTAGTTATGTCAATAGCTACATCATTAGCTCATTTATCACCAACAAGTGGATTATATTCAATGATTATAAGTTCAATAATTTATGCTATATTTGGAACAGTACCTATCTTAATTGTTGGTCCATCTCCATCAACTGCTTTAATTTATGGACAAGCTATTGAATTGATTAAACATGAACTGAAATTTCTGGATTTTAGTATGTTGGAAATTTCTTCATGTTTAACTTTTTGTTTAAGTGGAATATTATTAGGTGCTGGAATATTTAGATTGGGATATTTAGATAATGTTTTAAGTAGAGCTTTACTTAAAGGATTTGTTGCTGCTATTGGTTTAATTATGATTATAAATGAATTAAGTACTGAATTGGGTTTAGACAAGTTGTCTTTGAATCATCCTCATGTAACTACAATTGATAAAATTTTATTTATTATTAATTATTATGATCAAGCTCATTTGTTGACATTGATGATTTCTAGTATTACTTTAATTATCGTTTTGAGTACCAGATATATTAAAGATTTTTTGGTTAATAAATATAATTATAAAAAAGCCATTTATATTCCCGAATTGCTACTTATGGTGGTAATAGCAACATATTTAAGTTATGATCAAAATTGGAATGGGAAAGGAGTTGAAATATTAGGAGATATCACTCCTAATAAAACCAAATTTCAATTTCAAAATCCATTCGAAGTATCAAGATTACCCATTTACAAGCATCTATTCACTACAAGTTTCTTATGTACCATATTAGGCTATTTTGATTCCACCACAGCAGTGAAGGCATTAGGAGCTAAATATAATTATAATGTTAGTTCGAATAGAGAATTAATTGCATTAGGGGTAATTAATTTTGTAATTGGAATATTTGGTGGATTACCTTCATTTAGTGCACTTGGAAGATCAAAAATTAATTTAATTGCCGGAGCAACATCACCAATGTCTGGATTGATCATGTCTGGATCAAGTATAATTGCTTTATTCTATTTATTATCTTATTTATTCTATTTACCAGAATGTGTATTAGCTTTAACTACTACTATAATTGGTATTACAGTATTACAAGAAGTACCTTCAGATTTGATATTTTATTGGAATATTAAAGGATTTGATGAATTAGCTACATTTTCAATCATCTTTTTGGCTACATTATTTTGGAGTGCTGAAGCAGGTGTTAGTTTTGGAGTTATTATAGCAATTATTAGAATTATTAAAAATAGTTCAAGATCAAGAATTCAAATCTTGGGTAGGGTTCCACATACTACTGCATTTAGAGATGCTGATGCATTAATTGAAGAAAGTTTTACAAGTTTTCAAAAAAGTTCGAACGATGACTTAGATGAAGGTGAAGATATTGGTAGAGTATCACCTCCAGATGATGTTGATGAGAACAACAACAACAACAACAATATTAATAACAATACAGATAAATTTAATAATTTAATTGCAGAAATTGAAGAAATTGAAGGAGTTTTAATTATTAAAATTCCAGAACCTTTAAATTTCACTAATGTTGGAGATTTGAAAAGTAAATTATTTAGAATTGAAAAATATGGTTCATTATTGGTACATCCTTCACAACCTTCGATTAAAGATTTTAAAACTATAAAATCAATTATATTTGATTGTAAAGGAATGAATGAATTAGATTCTTCAGCTACACAAATATTGTATGAAATTATTAAAAAATACATTGAAATTGATAAAATTCAAGTTTGCTTCACAAGAGTCTCAACTAATATTAAATGTCGAAAGAAATTACAAAAATCAGGTATAGTGAAGTTAATTAATGATTCATTTGATTATCATCATCATAATAGCCATAACAGAAGAAACATATCTCACACCGAATTGAATAACTTATCATTGAATTCTTCAACTTTAGGAAAAGGTTTTTATTTAAGTATCGATGAAGCTTTGAAATCAATCGATTTGCAATCGGTATAAGAATGACGTCACTACATAGAATAATACACGACATTTATATTTTCACGACATATGTCGTGTTCACTTTAATTTGCTAAGAAATCGAAAAATTGCTTTTCTCTCTCTCTCTCTCTCTCTCTTTCGTTTGTTAGTAAAGAGAATAAAAAATTGTTCACCATACACTTTAGATCTATCTCCGCACATAACTTTGCATATAGGATCATCATCATCATCATCTTGAAAGATATTAACAACAACTACAACAGGAAGAAAGATGGTATTGTTGCGATATCCTATAACTAACATACATGTTCGTCAGTTAGCTAAGAGTTCCCGTCCAACTAAAATAAAACAAGTATCTAATTCAAACAGGAAGAAATATGCATTTTATGATTTAGTACTTCGTACCCCTTCCCATCCACAACATCCAATAGAAGCCAATCTTATGACAAATTCAGAATTAACTAAATTGAAAAGTCATACAAAAACTAGATTTTATGGTAATTATAAACTTGATACTAGTATAAGTAATGAAGATAAAATAGCTAAAGTCTTTGGAGGTAGAATTAAAGGAGAAGATAGACAATCATCAAGTAGAATGTTAATTGGAGAAAGTAAAATTATTGGTGGAATTAATGTACCTGATAAACCAAATGAACCAGATAATTGTTGTATGAGTGGATGTATTAATTGTGTTTGGGAATTATTTGATGAAGATATTAAAGATTGGAATGAAAAGAGAAAATTAGCTGCTAAAAAATTAATTGAAAAAGGTGGTAGATGGCCAGAAAATTTCCATCCTCCTTTAAAATATTTAAATAGAGAAAATTTCCCATTAAGTTTATCAAATAAATCAGATAAAGAATTAGGAATTGATAAAAAACATCATCATGATGATGAGAACAATATTATTCAAGATGATGAAGCTTGGGGAAATGTTCCTATTTCAATTAGAGTATTTGCTGAAGTTGAAAAGAAATTAAAACAAAAGAAGAAATTACAACAACAACAACAACAACAGCAATGATCCTAGATTTATAGTCTTAGACTTTACTATTTATATTCATATATATATATTTATATTTATAACTATTCAATAACAAAACAAATTCAATAATTAATCCAATTCAAGACCTTTAGTTTTATAAAATTCTTTAGCTTCTTCAATTTGGATTTTCAATTCTTGATATTTATGTTCTTTATCTTTAAAAGTAACAATACCCCAACCTAAAGTACTTAAAGCAAATGAACCAAATGAAACTAATCCCCACCATGGTAAATATGGTAAAATTTCATCATGTATTTTAGTAGGTGTTGGAATAACTCCAGTAAGAAGAGCAAAATAAATGGCTGATAATGCAAATAATGTCAATCCTGTCTCAGTAGCTTTAGTCATTATGAATGATGTTAATATAAGAATAGATTCTTTGTTGTTGATAATGAATGAAGAATTGTGTGTTTCTTTAGGAATTGTTTTTTTTTTCAGTGTAAATATTTTTATTACGTGTTTAGTTACAAGGCGAGTAAAAGACAAAAAGACAAAAAAAAAATTCACAAATCACGCATGGCGTGTCATTATCAAAATATCAATTGTTTTCATATACATTAATCAAGAATCATGATTATCTATACTATCCTGTTTGATAAATCCTACAAGTTTGCTTAATCTATTAGAAGTATCAGTACCTAATGCTCCCAATTTATCAATAATCTCATTCTCATTAATGTCTCCTGATTTAGTTTCGGTTTCAAGTTCAATTTCCATTTGTGGAATGTCTTCTTCTTGATCATCGTCATCTTCTTCCTCATCCTCTTCCTCGTCTTCATTTTCTCTATTATGATCGTTCTTATCGTCATCATTATTATCATCCTCATAATCATCATCTTTATCAGCTGTAAAATCAGTAAACATTATTTTTTGAATTTTATTTTGATCAATAAGTTCATCTTTAACTAATTTACTCAATTTGTATCTCATTATACCTCGAATGACTTCCATGGTTTGTTTATTGACCCAACCATCTTGAAAATCACAAGTTTCTCTGAAAAACCCATCTCCCATACTATCCTGATGATCGGCAATAATATCAACTATGTCATAATCTATTATATCTCCAAGTTGAAATGTTGTCACCGATGGTAAATTAACCCCATTAAACAATAAATGTTCAGAAACTTCATATTTCTCCTTATTATACTTCAACGTTGGTGGTACTATCTTCTTCGAATCCTCTGGTATGGCAGCTTCTTTTAATCCAAGAACTCTAAAATATTCAGTTTGATATAACCAATATTTTGAGTCATGAATAACATCAACCCCGTATTTAATGTTACAAAATCTCCAGGGACCACTTCTATAAATAAATGAAACATATGGTAATGCATATTTAATATATCTTCGAAGATCAACATCAATAATATCCAGTAATTGTTTTCGACTCCAAATTGGTTTGGCATCAAATAATTTTTGTAAACAATTAATACATTCAAGTAAATAATAATCCATACTATTCACAGCTAATTGTTCCAGCTTTAATTTTTCCCATTTTTGTTTAATTGCTTCCACTGGTTCAGTTGGTATGGGTGAATTAAAATGAATCAACAATGTATGTAATTTTTGTCGATCTCTTTTAGAAACAACTTTCAATTCACCTCTATCATCTTTAACAGTTGAAGTACTTGGATTTTTTTGATATTTATAATCAAATGGAAATCTAATTGGTGATAATATTGGCGGTGGAATTAATTGATGGTCTTTATTTTTAAAATAATCCTCATCTATACCGACATAATTATCGAATGAATTATGATCATCAACATAATTCTTAATGTCATCAAATTTCTTATAATTTAATACAACCTTATTGAAATTTTGAACAAATTCATTGTTCTTTGTAGACACTTGGAAATCACTAATAGCTTTAAACAGAAATGTCTTCTCAATAATAGCCACTGGTTGAATTTTCTCACTAGGAGTATCTGGATTTTCATCATTTAATTTAAGTAATTCACGTATTGGTAAAGATGAAGCATTTTCCGGTAGACTTTTCTTTGGAATCTTAACTTTTAATAATATTCTTTCATGATTTGAATGCAGTGCTTGAATAGGATGATGAAATGGATCCTTACGTAATCTCAATTCCAAAGGTTGATTATCTCTTATCGATGACCGTATAAATGTTTCACCACCAAGCATATTAATTGCTTTATCTACATTTTTGACATTTAATGGTAAATCAATCGCAGCCACACGAGGTATATCCATCGAATGTTCATCTGGTTGTTGTAATCCTGACATGTTCAAACGGTTATGCAATGTTGGTTGTCTTGAATGTTTTGATTTGTCTCTGAAATTTTTTTTTTTTCTTCTTTCTAATGTCTCTCTCTGTCTCTGGCGATTGATGCTTTTGTGAGCTGCACCAAATTTCTGCAGCCTTAAAAATCAATCCGTGGGAAGAAAAAAAATGACAACTTAGACAACCTATATTTTGTTTGGCAACACGGTTTATGAGTTGACCATTGGTGTAGTAGTTGGTGATAACTATACAGTGACTGTTAATACCCCTGAATTCATAAGATATTAGTTTCCCATGGATGAGTACAACTACTTACAAATTCCGTCATGGGTTTAGTTATTCCATCGGATAAGACAATCAATAATGATAACATACTCCGTGGGAAATGTAGAGATTCAATGGCTTATTAGAGTCATGACTACAAAAATACCAAAAAACATTCGAATCCCCCATTTCGGAGTATGCATTCAATTTGTGGCTGCAAGTTCGGCAACAAAGGTTGTAAAATTTTTTTTTTTATTTTTTTTTTGTTGTTTTGTCTGTGAGTGATTTTTTTTTACTCTTTGATTTCAGATTGTATGGGTTGACTGAATCCTGCGATTTGATTGGTCAATTAACAAGAGAACAAAAGAAAAAAAAAAAACTCCAGGGAAACGAAATCTGGAGAACACTAAAATCCTAACAGTACAATTTTTTTTTCACACTCCTCTCTTCCCCTTTCCCACCAATTATTCCGGTCGAACGAAATTTTTTTTTTTCTTTCTTTCATTCGTTTATAAGAATAACCAATTTTGCTCACTTTCTTGTTAGATTTTTTTTATATATTCTTTTTCCTTTTCTTCTTCTTTTCCTGTCTCTTATTAGTCAATTACCTATTCAGATCAATAATGTTCTCTAAAATTGCCACTAGATCTTTTTCTTCTTCCGCTTCTAACGCTTACAAAGTCGCCGTTTTGGGTGCTGGTGGTGGTATCGGTCAACCATTGTCCTTATTGTTGAAATTGAACCATAAAGTCACCGATTTGGCCTTGTACGATATCAAAGGTGCTCCAGGTGTTGCTGCTGATGTTTCCCACGTCCCAACCAACTCCACTGTTAAAGGTTACAACCCAGATCAATTACAAGAAGCTTTGACTGGTGCTGATGTTATTGTCATCCCAGCTGGTGTCCCAAGAAAACCAGGTATGACCAGAGATGATTTGTTCAACACTAACGCCTCAATTGTTAGAGACTTGGCTAAAGCTGCTGCTGACTACGCTCCAAACGCTGCTGTCTGTATCATTTCCAACCCAGTCAACTCTACTGTTCCAATTGTTGCTGAAGTTTTCAAATCTAAAGGTGTTTACAACCCAAAGAAATTGTTTGGTGTCACCACTTTGGATGTCTTGAGAGCTGCCAGATTTGTTTCTGAAGTTGCCAACACTAACCCAGTCAATGAACACGTCCCAGTTGTCGGTGGTCACTCTGGTGTTACCATTGTTCCATTGTTGTCTCAAACCGTTCACAAAGACTTGTCTGGTGAAGTTAGAGATGCTTTAGTCCACAGAATCCAATTCGGTGGTGATGAAGTTGTCCAAGCTAAAGATGGTGCTGGTTCTGCCACTTTATCTATGGCTCAAGCTGGTGCTAGATTTGCCGGTGCCGTTTTGGACGGTTTGGCTGGTGAAAGAGATGTCGTTGAATGTACTTTTGTCGACTCTCCATTGTTCAAGAACGAAGGTGTTGAATTCTTCTCCTCCAAAGTTACTTTAGGTGTTGATGGTGTCAAGACTGTTCACCCAGTCGGTAACATTTCTGACTACGAAGAAGCTCAAGTTAAAGAAGCTAAAGACACTTTGATCAAGAACATCAAGAAAGGTGTTGACTTTGTTGCTCAAAACCCATAAGTTAAACTCCATAAGAAAATACGATTGACTTATGTGTGATGTATATATACATAAATATATATTCAATAATTAAGACATCAAATCTTGATTTAAAAAAAAAAAAAAGAAAAATATATATAATTAAGAATATTTATTACTTTGATTACAATTAACTCCACGATCCTCGGATATTACCGTATTAGGAAATCTGTAGAACAAACAAAAATGTCAAATGGAAAAAAAAAAAAAAAATTAGTGCCCGCCATTCAAAACAACAACAACGGTGAGTGACTTTACATTGACCGAAAAAAAAAATTACTGACAAATCATTAATATTCTTTGAAAAAAAAAAGAGGACACCCTGATCATTATATCCATATATCTACAACTTACATTAATATTTACTTTCTTACGTAGAGGAAAGCTTTTAATAAACTAATTCATAATAGAACTTTAATTTTTTTTTTCTTTGTCATCTTTCAATTTATTTACTTTCAATCAGGATCAATAAGAAAACCATTGATTATTTATTATTTTGAAGGATTTTTATTCCACAAACACACATTTAAATTCACATATACATAAATCAATTTCAATAGAGAATAATCATGGGTCAAGCATTTAGTTTTGCTAATATTTTTGGGAAATTATGGGGAGTTGATAAAGAAATAAGAATTCTTATATTGGGACTAGATGGTGCTGGTAAAACTACAATTTTATATCGTTTACAAATGGGAGAAGTTGTAACTACAAAACCAACTATTGGATTCAATGTTGAAACTTTGAAATATAAAAATATTACATTAAATATATGGGATTTAGGTGGACAAACTTCTATTAGACCATATTGGAGATGTTATTATAGTAATACTTCAGCAGTTATATTTGTTGTTGATTCAACTGATAAAGATCGTATTGATACTGCTTGTAAAGAATTACATCAAATGTTGAAAGAAGAAGAATTACAAGATAGTGCATTATTGGTATTTGCTAATAAACAAGATCAACCTGGTGCTATGACTGCAGCAGAAGTAAGTCAAGCTTTAAGTCTAACTGATTTGAAAGATAGAAGTTGGAGTATTGTTGCCGCTAGTGCAATTAAAGGTGAAGGGTTAACTGAAGGGTTGGATTGGTTAATGGATGTAATTAAAGATGAGCAATTGTAATGAAAAATAGTTGGGTAGTGAGATACAGCATTTTTACAGATTATATATATATATATATATATTTACATACACTTAAAAACGTGGAAAATAATCAAAAAAAAAAAACATATATAAATCATAATTCTAATATTAAATAACTACTCTTATGAGCTCTCTCTTTCTTTGACTCTTTCTAATATAGTTTTGATCATTTCATTACCAATCGCATTAGCTTCTTGAAACATTGGTTGAAAGAAATTTTGAGTATCTTCAAATTCTTGTTTATATAAATCAAAATTTCCAAAACTAATAATCTTTGACCACGATTGAGCAGCAATTGTGAAATTTAAATCATCTTGTCTAAAAGTTGAATCATTTATAGCAACCTCTATACTTTCTTCCAAATAACCAGGAGTACAAAAAACATATTCAGTAACACCTAAAAATATTCTAAATAAAGGAGTTGAACAAATTATATGATCATATGGTATAATTCCCAATTTATGCCAACTATCAACAATTGCAAGTAATGATAAATGAGAATTTGGTTGTTTGCCTTCTGGTGGGGTTTTACTTAATGAAAATTTTTGTAAAATATTATCATCTAATAATAAATCGTGATGATTTTTAATATTTTCAAATACAAATTCTTTTGCTTTTAATAATCTATCAGTTAATTCTTGTTTTTTACCTTGAATCATTAATGTAAATAATTCTGTTGTTGATTTAGAATATTGTAATACTTGATCATGAGCTGAAGGATTAGTAATTGCTAAACCAGCATAAACATGCCATTTATTTGAAAAGATTCTTAAAGAAATATTAATTTTTGCATTTTCAATACCCCCAATCCATCTTGGAGTTTCCCATGGATATTGATTAACTGATTTCCAAGCAACTCCCATTGATAAAAATGCAGCATGAGTAACTGCTTGAGTATCAGCAGTAATTCTATCATGTTCTTTAGCAGTTAAATTAACTTGTTTTGAATTTAAACAAGATACAATTGATTCAACAAATTTAAATGATTCTTCACTTGCACGATGTTTAATTAAAACTAAAGGTTGACCAGTTGTATTAACTTTTGGACCATGTAATGAATGAATTGAAATAATTTCATTATCTGATGGTAAATATTTTTCAAATGCTGCAATTTCTGGTGCTTTACATGAAGTTTGTCCACCAACAATAGCACCAAATTTAGTTGAAGGAGCATAAATTGAAACTATTTTATCAATATTTTCAGCTTCAACACTATAAATAATATAATCTGATATTCTTGATACAAAATGTCCATTTTTTAAAATTTCAAATTTTTCATTAAAATATTTTAATTTAATATCTTCATAAATTTCTTCACGATCACATCCAACAACTTTCCATCCTGCTTCACTGAATCTTTTAGCATATAATAATCCCATATCTCCAAGTCCAATAATACCAATTGTCTTAGTTTGCTTGAGTCTGTTTACTTCATCTTGTGGTAATGACATGGTTACTGGTGAGTCCAAACGATGAAAGGGAAAAATCTGATTTACATCTTGAGGTTTGAAAAATTTAAACTAACAAGACAAATGCGATATTAAAGCCGGGGGAGAGAATTCATTTTTAAGTCGAACTCGTGCGAGTACCACGAAATCTTGGAACGAGTGAAATGAGGGTAGGTTTTTAATACACGTCAAAATCGAGTTACCACATATCACAGGAATTGCTCCTAATTGAATTGCATTACTAGGAAATCATTAACTGTAAATATATTGGTCATTATCTGATGAAGTTATTCGGATTACCCGTCATGAGTGTGTGCTAGCGAATATGAGCACCAAAAATCCAGGCTTATTACAAATCAATTTCCCACCTCCCACAGTATAACAAAAAGACATTAAAATTAACACCTTAGTAGTCACCATAGAAATCATCATGCTTATCTATTAACTTTCCTATAATCATTTTGGAATAAAATTAGGAAAATCTAAGCCGCTGAAACATCAATGACAGTTTAATAGCAATTATTTTTCTTTCTTTCTTTCTATTCCCCACGACCCATAACGCACAAAGAAAATTGGAACATCAACAATCAACAAGAACAACAACAACACCAAAAAAAAAAAAAAAATACCTATTGATTTTATCTTACTACTCTTTTCTGTTTACTTATCATTTGTTCAAATAGATACCCTACTTTGATAATGACATTTCGTGATATTATAAATTATTTTAGCAGATCAAATTCAAAGTTCAATAGAGTCACCCTTGGAGTTAAATCACCTACATTTATAAGATGGAGAATAACTGATTTCATACTTGTATTATTATTAGTACTTGCATTTTTCATTACTCCAAATATAAAACCATTTCATAGACAATTTTATTTAAATGATATTACTATTCAACATCCATTTAAAGAAAGAGAAACAGTTAATGTTTTTGAATTATTCCTATACAGTACCGTTATTCCATTAGCTATAACATTTGGAATTTGTTTTATTTTAACTACTCCAAAACATAAAATTTATAATACTTATATTGCTACTATGGGTTTATTTTTAAGTGTATTGATAACTTCTTTGTTTACGGATATTTTAAAAAATTGGATTGGTAGATTACGTCCTGATTTCTTATCCCGTTGTGAACCAGCTAAAGATACTCCTAAAGATAAATTAGTTTCTATTGAAGTTTGTACTACTACAAATTTGGAAAGATTAGAGGATGGATTTAGAACAACTCCAAGTGGACATTCATCAATAAGTTTTGCTGGATTATTTTTCTTGACTTTATTTTTATTGGGTCAATTTCAAGCTATCAATACTAAAACAAGTAGTACTAGAACTATACTTTGTTTTATTCCATTTTTAGTTGCTTGTTGGATTGCTCTTAGTAGAACTGAAGATTATAGACATCATTTTGTTGATGTTTTAATTGGTTCTTGTATTGGATTGATTATTTCTACTTGGCAATATTTTAGATTATTCCCTTGGATTGGCCATAAAGAATCTTTCCATAATTTGATTATTGTTGAAGAAGAAAATGATGAATATAAAGATGATGAAAATAGTTATACTAGAATAGCTGATAATGCATCTAATGTATAGGGTTTTTATAAATAGAAGATGATAATTATTACTATGTATCAAACAAGTAGTGCACGTTGGACTGAAAAGAAATTTCAAGTTTCCCGACCAACGTACAACACGATATGGACCAAATTCTTGATGTGAAAAAAGAAAAAAAAAAATAACAAGCATATATGAAAGTTCGATAAATGTATCAACATCTATTTCAACACAGAATGTCAAAGGCTTTTAGTGCTCCAGGTAAGGCATTATTAGCCGGTGGTTATTTGGTTCTTGAACCAATATATGATGCCTATGTAACAGCATTATCATCAAGAATGCATGCAATTATTACACCTAAAACTTCAGAACAAACTATTTCAAAGATTAAATTATCTTCACCTCAATTTGTTAATGGAGAATGGGAATATCATATTAATTCCAATAATGAATTACCAAAAGATATAAAATCAAGAAAAAATCCATTTTTAGAAGCTACCATTTTCATTGTATTATCTTATTTACAACCTACTGAACCATTCGATCTAGATTTGATAATTTATTCTGATCCAGGTTATCATTCACAAGAAAATACTGAAATTAAGGTATCTTCAAATGGTAAGAAGAAATTTCTTTATCATTCACGTGCCATTAATGATGTTGAAAAAACAGGATTAGGTTCATCAGCAGGATTAGTTTCTGTTGTCACTACAAGTTTATTATCATTTTTCAAACCAGGAATTGAAATTAAAAATAAAGATATTTTACATAATGTAGCTCAAATTGCTCATTGTTTTGCTCAAAAGAAAATTGGATCAGGATTTGATGTAGCTACTGCAATTTATGGTCTGATTATTTATAAAAGATTTCAACCAAATTTAATTAATGATGTATTTAAAATATTAGAAGAAACTCCTAAAGAATTTCCAATTGCATTAAAAAATTTAATTGAATCAAATTGGGATTTTAAACATGAAAGATGTGAATTACCACCAAAGATTAAATTATTAATGGGTGATATTAAAGGAGGATCAGAAACTCCAAAATTAGTTTCAAAATTACTTGAATGGAAAAAGAATAAACCTGAAGAAAGCGGATTAGTTTATAATCAACTTAATAATGCTAATGTTTCATTTATGAAGAAAATCAATGAATTGAATAATTCCAGTACTGATCAAGAAATTCAACAATTGGTTAAATGTATAAGTGATGTACGTAAAGGATTACAATTATTAACAGAAAAATCCCAAGTTCCAGTTGAACCATCAATTCAAACAGAATTACTAGATCGTATTGAAAAATTACCTGGTTGTTTAGGTGGTGTTGTACCTGGAGCTGGTGGTTATGACGCAATTTCTGTTTTGGTATTAGAAGATCAAGTTGAAAATTTCAAAAATAAGACAATTGAAGATCCAGAATATTATCATAATGTTTATTGGGTTGATTTAGAAGAAGAAACGGAAGGTATAGTTGTTGAAGACTGTAATGACTATATCGGATTATAATATTAATTAATACAAGCACAGCCTCTTATATTGACATAATTCTGTACATGGAGAAGAACCCCTTCTCTTATATAATCGAAGGCGTGATTGCTATCGATAAGACTAAAAAGTTTAAAAGAAATCCAAATGACTGTGCTCATTCATTCACTCAAGCCAACTGATTACGATAGGAGCATTGCCGAGATTACATAATGAGGTCATCGTGCACGCACACAAGTAATTCTATTTTTAGGGCTTGGGCTTATTTTGTGATCTTCTGAGATAAATATTATTGACGATGTTATTATAGAAGACAAATGATAAGTGGGCTCATTGAGAATGACTAAGATGGACACGTTAGTAATCTATCAGATCTATGATATCAGCCACTTTAACTGTAGAGTATTGTCCATAGTGGTGGATAAATGTGGTTTAATAGGTAATTTCTCGTAAATGCCGCAACAACAACAACAACACTACCACACAAACAAACCCTGATCAAGGTACACGAAATTTGAGGAGCATGAAAAAATTTTTTTTCTCTATTTTTGAGTTTGTTAGTTTGTTAACTATAGTATGGGGCTGGCCCTATTTTTCTTTCTTTGCTTAATGTAAACATCATGCATAACTTTTCTCTTTGTTCAATCTTTAATTCATGATTCAACATTTTACTTTTTTATAGGTTTTCCCTTTCCTTTTTCTTCTTCTTTAATTTTACATATATATATATATTTATTTAACCACACGGCCATTTTCAGTTAATTAATTTGTTCAATTGTCAACTCCACACATAAAGAAAATGTCGTACCACCCACAGAACAAACAAGATCACAGCAATCATCTAGAACCAGCCCATTATCAACAATATGGTTCAGAGACAAGTTCGGCCCGTTCTTCCATTGGGTATATCGAAGAACAACAATTTCAAGACGAGAGTTATAACCCAATACCTAATCAAATCAGTAGTAATGATAATACAAGTATAGAATCTACAAGTCTTCATGAAGCTCAACAATATGCCGTACATTCAAGTAATTTTACATCATCAAGAAAAGTAAGTAAAATATCAGATAATGATAAACATTATAGAACTTTTTCAAGGGCTTTTTTCTTTACTTCACTTATATCAGCAATTCTTATACTTTTATTTGAAGCTTATATGTATGCTGTTATTAATATTCATCGTGATCGATTCATTGAAGGAAGATACGAAGAAAATTCTATTTATTTTGCCCTTTTCATCTTTGCGGCTATTTTCCAAGTTTTAATAACTATAATTGCCCTTTATTCACGTAATTTATTATTATTGGTGTTTTTAATGGGGTTTTATTGTGCAATGTTGGTTTATACTGGTATTCAATATAATGAAGTTTCTGACAATATTTCATTTGTTTTACATGGGTCTTGGAAAGCAGCAACTAAAGCCATGAATATTGCTACTATTTGTGTTATTGCTGTTACATTGATTGTACAATCAGCTTTGTTGTTTTTCGGATTAAGAAGATATGTTAGTTGGTTTATCTTCAAGAAAATTGGTGCCAGTTTAGAATTGAAGAAGATGTATGCTATTTTCCAAATCCATCGTTCTATATTAATGTTTGATTTTTTCTTTTTCACAGGGTTCACTATTCAATTTTTGGTTATTATGGTTAGAAATAGAGCTTCTGTCGAGTTTATCTTGACTGTCATTGTTATTCCATTGACTATTGTTGTATTATACATTAGTGATATTTCAGCTACCAGAGAATTTATTTATGGATCAATACTTGCAGTCTTACTTTATTTATGTGGAATTGCTTATGTTTTATTCAAGATTATTAGATTATACACAAAGTATACTTCTGCTTATGGATTAGCAATCCTACCTGGTGAATATTTTATGGGTAGAAAATCCTTATTAACTTTTGGTATTATTACATTAGCTTTATTGGTGGCAACTGTTGTGCTTGAAATTATGGTTATGATTAATTTCAATAAAGGTTTATTGCCTTCTGTGAGTATGTCTTATAAATGGATTCCTGGGTGCAATAAGAATGACCATCAAAACGAAGTCGTCATTGATGATGATTATGGTAGAAACGATCTTGAAAAGAGAAATACTTCTAATTCTAATAGTTTATGTATTGATTAAGTATAATGATATCATAGTAATACAAACAAGTTTGTCGTTAATTTCCTCCTTATATTTTTTTTTCCCATCAAATTTTGACCACTCCTTGATGTACTTTTTACTTTCCTATATATTTTTTTAATTTGAATACTTAAATTTGTTGCCATTTTATTACAAAAACACAAATCATGAACGAGTTATCATTAGGAAGATATATTTTTGAAAGATTACATCAATTGAATGTTCGTACAATATTTGGTGTTCCTGGTGATTTCAATTTGACACTTTTGGATAAAATCTATGAAACAGATTCTGCTCATGGTGAAGGGTCCATGATTTGGGCTGGAAATTGTAACGAATTAAATGCTGCATATGCTGCTGATGGATATTCAAGAGTTAATACAGGTAAAATTGGTGTATTGGTTACAACTTTTGGTGTTGGGTATGTATTTATTGTTGAAGTAGTGATTTTTTTTTTTTTTGCAACACACACTAATCAGGCACTAACTATTATTATACATTTAGAGAACTTTCCGCTTTGAATGGAATTGCTGGATCATTTGCTGAACATGTTGGTGTTGTTCATATCGTAGGAGCTCCTTCCAATGATGCCCAAAAGAAACAAATGATTTTACATCATACATTAGGAAATGGTGATTTTACAGTTTTCCATAAAATGTCAGAGAGTATTTGTCAAACAACTGCTTTTTTAAATGATATTTCAACTGCTTGTGATGAGATTGATCGTTGTTTGAAAGTTGCTTATACTAATCAACGACCAGTGTATATTGCCATTCCTTCTAATATGGTTGATATGAAAGTAACTAGTACAAGATTAGAGAAACCAATTGATTTATCAGTAGTACCAAATGACGAAGCTTCTCAAAAGGAAGTTATTGATAGAGTTTTGACGATGATTTCAAAAGCAAAAAGTCCAGTGATTTTAGTGGATGCTTGTGCTTCAAGACACAATTGTAAAGATGAAGTCCAACAGTTGGTTGAAATAACCCAGTTTCCGGTTTTTGTTACACCAATGGGTAAAGGAACCATTGATGAAGGTGGAATCGGTGGTGAAGATATTACTGATCCTGGTATTTTCACAAAGTTGGACACAAAATTGAGTAGTGGAAGCAATGTTGCATCAAGATATGGTGGGGTTTATATTGGTTCATTATCCAAACCTGAGGTTAAAAATACAGTTGAGAATGCCGATTTGGTTTTATCGTGTGGTGCTTTGTTATCTGATTTCAACACTGGCTCATTTTCATATTCTCTTGGTACTAAGAACATTGTTGAATTTCACTCTGATCACACTAAGGTTAGACGTGCCATTTACCCCGGTACCAAGATGAAAGAGGCAATGCAAGCTCTAAATTCTAAAGTTTCTTCCGTCATTAGAAAAAACTATACTGTTCAAGAAGTGCCAAAATTGAAATTAGCAAATACACCTGCTCCAAGTGGAACTCCATTGACACAAATTTGGTTCTGGACAAGAGTTAGTTCTTGGTTTAAAGAAAGTGATGTAATTATTACAGAAACCGGAACTGCTGCACATGGTATTCTTGAAACAAGATTTCCAAATAATGTTGTTGGAATATCCCAAATTTTATGGGGATCAATTGGATTTTCCGTTGGTGCTGCTCTTGGTGCAAGTATGGCAGCGAAAGAGATGTCCTCTAATAAAAGAGTAATTTTGTTTGTTGGGGATGGTTCCTTACAGTTAACTATACAAGAAATATCCACTATGATTAAAAACAAAGTGAATCCTTATATCTTTGTGTTGAACAATGGTGGTTACACAATTGAAAAGTTGATCCATGGTATTGATGCCCAGTACAATAATATTCAACCTTGGAATCATTTACAAATTCTACCATTATTTGGTGCAACAAACTATCAAGCTGAAAGAATCACCACAGTTGGGGAAACAAATGAATTGTTTGATGATCCTAGTTTTGCAACAAATGATAAAATTCGATTAATTGAAGTTATGTTCAATCCTTTGGATGCTCCGATTGCTCTAGTTAAACAAGCCCATTTTGCAGCTGAAGTTAACAAGGGTAAATAGGAAAAGAGAATAATATGCTCGTTGTACTGCTCTTTGCTATTTGATTATTATTAATATATTGATAACGTATGTTGTGCTGAATCAAAATTGAGATTTAAAAGTAACACAAACACAAATAAGGTTAATAGTCCGAAATGCGTGTCATAAATACGAAATTAAATTGTACGTGATGCATCGCTAATATGCGGTCTAACCACAAAACGTTAAAGAGCTTAATCTAAATATAAATAACAGCAAGGGAGACCAGATCGGACATGACTGTTGAAATCAAATTCGGAAAGATAAACGCGTCATTTATTGTATCGGTAAAGTTACAGATATGGTGACATTACTATCATCTCTGTAAGAAGAGAAAGCAAAAATCAAGAGCTATCGCCACGTGAAAATGACGCCATCTAAATCGTATGATGATCTGACCAATGTACAAAAACCTTGGATCAATATGGGTTTATAATTATGGAAAATAGTTTCTCCAATGAATTAAAGTACATTGAAGGATAAATAATGTAACCGATTTTTGGAATGATTAATTAACCTCGGATCATTTTTTATTATTATTATTATTATTATTATTCTAATGTCGGAACAAATTTGATCCAAATTTTGTATCATTATTCATATTAGAATTAAATGTTTCCAGAAGGTTTGATTTCTTTTGTATTTATATGGTTGTTGCATTTTATATGTTGATGTGGTATTTTGATGAGTTATATTGAATGTGTGGTGTTTATTATTTTTTGAAAGATTTTAACAATTTGGCGATTTGATTTCTTTTTTCTTTTTAAGCTTTCCGATCATAGCAAATAGATTTAGTAAAATTTATTTTGGTTCAGTTAGATGTCTAGTTGGTATCTTATCTGGAGTGACATGTTATAGTGTCGATGTTAATAAATGGTGGTCAGTCATAGTATTAGCACGTGCTACAGTTTAAACAAATAATCGATAAAAATTTATAATGTGAGGTGAACACAGATGCAAAAAAAAAAAGAAAAAGAAAAAAAAATATTAACTGCCAAAATCTACAACAACAAAATAGAAAGAATTAAGAAAATCATGGAACAAAATAATATAATCAGTATATAACCATTGTTGTTCATATTTTTATTACTATTAGACCCCCCGTCCCCGTCTTTACCTACCTTCGGTTTTAGGAATATTATTACTCAAAGTCGCCATCCAAATGAGTCCAAAAATATTTATCCGATGTCCTTAAAATTATTGAATTTACGGCACTGAAAATGTTTTCATACTTAAATGTTGTCAATTCCACCCTGTTTTTTGGGTTGCTGTGTTTTTTGTTTATTTGTTTATTTACTAAAAGGAAACTATTGTATCGTATTAAATTTAATCAACTTATTCATAACACATAATGTTATTTATTTGGAAATTACTACTAGTTACTTACTTGTTTATTCTTCGAACAAGTGCCATTGAAGTTTATGATAATCGTGTCGATCGAGGTGTTTTTGATATTCAATTTGGTGATATTAAGATTTATCCAGGTGCAACTTGGTCACTTATTGATCGTGCAATATCTGCTTTTGTCGGTGAATTACAGGTGGAACGTGATGCTGGGTTTTATATCACGCTGACAAATCCATGGATTGGTCTTGAAGTTGGTTTTACTTCACTTCATAAATCCATTGTTAATCATGGGGTAATTGCTTTTAATTCAGTGGTATCTTTAGTTAAATCATCTTATGATTTAGCTGGGTATTCTTTTACTAATCATGGTGAAATGTATTTTGGTGCATCGGGTTCTCTCTCAGGGAAAATGGGTATAACCGCAGAACATTGGACAAATAATGGTTTAATTGTTTTTTATCAAAATCAAAGATCTTCAGGTTCTGTTAAATTGGGTAGAGCCTTGGGTTCAATTACGAATAATGGACAAATTTGTTTTTTCCACCAAGTCTTCAGTCCGAATACTGATATTGTTGGTAATGGTTGTATTACTGCCCAAGAAGCTTCTACCATTTATATTCCAAGTGCTGCTCAATCTTTCGATGCGATGCAAAGTATTTACCTCGCTGATAGTAAATCATCCATCATTGTTAAAGCAATTTCAACCCCGCAAACATTTGATGTTTATGGTTTCGGTAATGGAAACAAAATTGGGTTAACAGTTCCTCTTGTTGGTTTACCACTTGTTGGAAGTGCATTCTCGTATAGTACGAAAACTGGTATTTTAACTTTAAGATCTATTGCACTTACTCAACATTTCAATATTGGTCCTGGATATGATCCACATAGATTTAAAATTGTAACTGATTCTGGTGAAGGTCTTCCAAGTACAATTAATGGTAGTGTTCAATATGATGGTCCTGTACCAAAAAGAATGATTCCTAAAAATTGTCGTGCTGAATGTAAACCACTTCCACAAGCTCCAGGTACTGAACCAACAAGATTTCTTACAACCGTGGTACTCACTGCTCATGATGAACCTGATACTAGATCTGGAATTGTTGATATTACTACCAACACTAAAGGTGAATGGTATACTACAACTTCTTTATACCCAAAAATGACAACCAAAGAAAATACCAAACCGGCTGCCACTGCTGTTAATCAACAACAACAGCAGACTGCTACCACTACCAAAATACAACCAGATTCCCAAGTAGATATTGGCATTGTCGTCGAACCAGAAGAAACAGAATTAGTATACCCACTTGTTGAGAATCCATTTTCGGGAAGTCTGATGGTTATGATTTCTTCTACAGATGAACCTACTGATACTATTTTTGAAACCAGTGTTCCAACTGTTGCTGAACCTGTTCCAGAGTCTAACATTGAGACAAATATATATCAATCCAATGTTGATGAATCCAATGCTTTGGATTCCAGTGATATTCAATCTGATATGTTTTCTTCCTCCGGTATCAACAATCCAGCAACTGTTTCCACTACAGAGAAAAATTTTGGTCTGCAAAGTTTAGGTAGTTCTAATGTTTATAAATCAAGTGCTGTTGATTATGAATATAGTTCCAGTGTTGGTATCATGGAATCTAGTATTGATGCAGAAGAATCACAAGTTATTAATTCTGAATCTAGTATTGCAGAAGCTAGCAATTTAGAAAATGGTCCACTTTCGTTTATTGCACCCTCGGAGGCTATCATAATATCATCCGTTGAATCACAATATTCAGAATCTCAATATCACCAAGCACAACCATCTGCTGCTTTGGAATCCACCAAACCTGATACGTTTGAGCCAGCCAATCTAGAATTTTCTCACAGACCCGGATCTCCATTTGGTGAGCCAGGTTTTCCATTTCAACAAGGTGAAGTCATGAAGTATACCACTACTTGGGAAGTTACAAATATGGCAGGAGAAGTCACAACAGAATCAGGAGTTGTCAGTAAGAGTGGAAACATTGAATCCACAATAACAACATTCCCACCAGTGCACCAAACACAATATACTAAGACTTGGGAAGTTGTAAACTCAGCTGGTTTGGTCGTTACTGAATCTGGAATAGTCAACGAATCTGGTTCTCAAATTGATACAATTACTACTTTCCCACCAGAATTACAAACACAATATACCACAACATGGGGAGTTATCAATTCTGATGGTTCTGAGTCAAGTGAATCTGGTATAGTTGTTCAATTGGGTAATTCATACACCACAATTACAACTTTCCCTCCACAACTACAAACACAATACACTACAACTTGGGAAGTCACTAATTCTGAAAGATCAATTTGGAGTGAATCAGGAATTGTTAGTCAATCGGGTAACTCCGTGTCAACAGTTACAACTTTCCCACAAGAATTAAAAACACAATATACTAGTACTTGGGAAGTAACCAATTCTGATGGTTCAGTTTCCAGCCAATCTGGTGTTGTTAGTCAATCTGGAAATCATGTTACAACAGTCAGCACATTCCCACCATTATTTCAAACAAAATTTACTACAACATGGGAAGTTACTAATTCAGATGGGGTAATTTGGAGTGAATCTGGTATTGTTAGTCAATTTGGTAATTCTATGTCAATTATCACTACTTTCCCACATGAACATAAAATTGTTTCCCCTACTGTTTCACAATTGATCATGTCTGACGCCGACAATAAACCTTCTGAATCTGGTGGTGTAAGTAAGCCTTGTGAATCTGATACCGAAAACCAACCATGTAATTCGGGCGTATCAAGTGAGACTTGTGAAACTATTTCATCAAGTGAGTCTTGTGAAACTATCTCATCAAGTGAAGATTGCGAGTCTATATCAATAAACAGTAGCTTACTGACAAAATGCACTGATGATTGGGATAGTGCAAGTGAAAGTTCAATTTTGTGTAATTCCAATATTATCAGTGGTACCTGTCCAGAAACTGATACTATCACTCAACCATGTCATCAAACTCAATATATTTCAACCTGGGAGGTAACCAAATCAGATGGTTTTATTTCAAGTTTATCTGGTATTATTAGTGAATCTGGTTCTTTTGTGACAACAATTACTACATTCCCACCTCAATTTGATATTACATTGGGAATGATTCCTGAAACAATAAAAACTGATGGATATACTACTAGTGAATTATTCGATGTTAGTGAATCGGAAGCTGCTGTTCAATCCGGAGTTATTAGTCAACTGAGTATTGTTTATGAATCGAATATTGTTGGTAATCTGGATTCTAGTTGCAAATCAGAGGTTGTTGGTTATTCTAGTACCCCTTGTAACACAGATATTGTCAGTCAATCTGATTTTGCGTGTCAATCAGATCCTGCTTCTCAATCCGATCCTGCTTGTGAATCAGATAGTACAGCTAGCAGACCTTGTGAATCAGATAGTGCTGTTAGCAAACCTTGTGATTCTGATTCTAGTATCAATGAAGCTACACTGAATATCCAAACCCAGTATACCACCACTTGGGAAATTACCAATTCCGATGGTTCTATATCAACAGAATCTGGAATAGTTAGTCAATCAGGTATTTATTTATCGACTATTACTACATTCCCACCCGAACACCAAATCCAGTATACTAAAACATGGGAAGTAACTGATATTCATGGTTCTGTATTCCAAGAATCTGGTATTGTCAGTGAATCCGGAAAATCATTTACTACCATCACCACTTTTCCACGTCAAGAAACAGACGAAGAAATGTCAAGTACTGAATATACTACAACTTTTGTAACTACCAATCTGGAAGGTGAGAATTTCACAGCAACTGGAGTTATCATTGTTGCTACTGATGAAGAAAATTCATGGTATAGTAAAACATATATTTTACCAACAGCATGTGAAGCACAAAATTGTATACTTAGTGAAGTTGTTGTATCAACAGATGGTGATGAACATACAAAAGGTATAACAGAAATTGATTGTAGTAGTGAAACAGATGATCCAACATGCTCATATTTTGTTCTTACTACTTTTGAAACTCATTCAGTTTATGGTCCTTTAACTTCTGGTGAACCTGGAGTTTCAACCCTTGGTAATATTGCCAATATTCTTAAAACAACATTAATTGAATGGGTTATTTCGATATTAATTTTAATTATGTGATGATTAAGGAAATATATCATCATCTGACTACCCCGTTTTAACTGGATAAATGCTAGTACTGTTTATTTTATTTTATTTTATTTATGTATTAATAGTTTAGTTATCGATAAGTTTATTTTACATGTTTATATAGAGATTTTATAAAACAAATTAATAATTAATTTGATAAGAATAGTTTATCTTGCAAAATAGTCTAGCACATTATTTTATTAAGTATTAGGAGAAAAATGTTTCTATTCGTAACATATCACTTTTAATTATGATTCTTAGGGGAGCCACTACTGTGGAATGATGGTTTGTATATTTTCGTTTCAAAGCCTCATAATTACAAAGATATGATATAGAATTCACGAAATTTCAACGACATTGGAACTTAACAGAAAGAATTATTTTGATTTCTGTCATATATATATATATATACCAGAAAGAACGAAATATTGGATCTATAGAGTATAAACATGAATATCATTAGAATTTCATGTTGATTCAGTTTTAACAACAACTCATCAATCCTTTGTACCTCAGCCATTCCGCCAATTTAATACCACTTACTATGAGAGACTGTGATTTTATTATTATGTTTGAGAAACGTAAACGGCATTTGAAACATTGCTCCTAATTCATTTAATATCGATAAGCATACTGTGGCGGTAACATAGTGCCATTCAATCTATCGATAGTTTCTGGCAGAAAAAAACAATAAATCCTTGATTTCGCAACAAGTTGTATCTCATGAATCTGTTATCAATTTAAATTCAAACAAAGCCACAAATGTGAGAAAATTACCTATTCAAATGAGGTTGATAATTAGTTAATTAATAACCATAATCAGGGGGCATGATTATTATTAATTTCTAGAATAGAAAAACTATTTATATAAAGAGAAGAATATCCAATAATTTGCATTGGAAATTTTACCATATTTAATAACAAACACAAATTACAATGTCATTTTCAGATGAAATTAAAAAATTACCTTTAGAAGTTGATATTGAATCTTTATCTTTCACTAATGATGGTATTGATTTCACTCAAGAAGATATCGAGGATTCAGAAGCTATATTCAACAAAGAAAAGAAATTAACTCAAGGATTGAATTCTAGATTGATAGGAATGATTTCCCTTGTTGGGATATTTGGAACTGGGTTATTTTTATCGTAAGTAATGACTTTGTTTTATTGAGAAATTGACGTTTTTTGGGGCGAACTGTATGTGCAATGGACTTTGCCATTTGAAAGAGCTAATCAATAATTTTTTTGAATTCTGGGAAACAACTAGCATAACAATGATACAAAATCAAACAAGTCCCATTTGCAGTCAATGTGCACTATCACATAACATCCATACTAACTATTATCTTAATAGCTCTGGTGGGACACTCGCAACTGCAGGCCCAGTAGGAATGTTTTTGGCATATATACTTGTGGGACTTGTTATATCGACCAATCAAATATGTGCTCTTGAAGTTGCTACTCTTTGTCCAATAACAGGTGGGAACTTCATTCATTGTCTGTATTTCTTAGACAAAGCTGCTGGGTTTGCTTTAGGATATGTACATCTTTATTCATCAATAATGCCAAGTGAATTATCTGCTGCTAGTGTTGTGGTATCATTTTGGACAGATTTAAATCCTGCTATTTTCATATCCATCTTTATTGTTGTTATTGTAGCTGTGAATTCATATAATGTCAAATGGTATGGTGAAATTGAATTTGGATTTGGAATTTTAAAACTTCTTTTAGTTTTGGGTTTGATTCTAGTTGGATTAGTTATTGATTTAGGTGGTGCTCCAAATAATGATCGTCTTGGATTTAGATATTGGAAAACTCCGGGACCATTTGCAGAAAGATACACTACTGGATCATTAGGAAGATTTCTAGCATTTTGGAAATGTGTCTCATCAACTGTATATGCATTTGGAGGTGCTCAAACATCTGCATTTCTTGCTGGTGAAACTGAATATCCACGTAGATCAATCAATCGTGCCATGAAAAGAATTATGATTAGGGTTGTTATTTTGTATTGGCTCGCAATTTTCATTCTTTCATTAATTGTTCCTTTTAATGACAAACAAATAGCTAGTCCAACTGGTAATGCATCTGGTTCTGCATGGGTTATTGCAGTTGAAAGATCAGGTATTAAAGTATTACCCCATATTATCAATGCCATTGTTATGACTTCAGCTTTATCAGCGGCAAATTTGGGTATAATAAATGCCAGTCGTACTTTATATAGTTTAGCATCACTTGGTCAGGCCCCAAAGATTTTCTTAAAAGTGAACAAACATGGTTTACCTTGGGTTGGTGTTATATTTGGATGTGCATTTTTACCATTAGCATATATGTCAGTTAGTGAGACAAGTGCAGAAGTATTCAGTTGGTTTCAAAACATCACATCATCTAATCTTTTACTTAATTGGATAACTTATTCTGCTTTACATATTGCTTTGAATTGTGCCCTTAAAGTTCAAGGATTCTCAAGAAAAGATTTACCATATAGTATTCCTGGAGGACAATATGCTGGTCCTATTTCATTGTTTTTCTCCGCTTTGTTTTTAATAACTGGTGGGTTTTCAGTATTCATTCATGGGTATTGGAAATTTGCCAATTTCTTTAGTTCTTATTTCACTATTCCTTTATATATTGGATTGTTCATATTTGCTAAACTTTGGTACAAAACAAAATATATCAAACCATCAGAAGTGAAATTGAAAGCTATGTTTTATGATGTTCAAGCAAGACCCGAACCACCTTATGAGAAATTAACCGGATGGAAATGGATCACTGTGTTATGGTCATAGTAATTATATAGTTATCATGAAATGATATATATCTATATACATATACCTATTGCTTTATGTATTTTATCGTAGACTATGCCCCGTGTTTTGTACACGAACAAAAATGAAACCGAGACCGAACGATCAACAACAACCAACACAACACAACCAAAAAAAAAAAATTGGCGAACCGAAATTCCTCTCCTGTTATTCCGTTTTTCAACGATTCCCACAAAACAAACCACATTTATATACACACAGAAACCAAGAAGCAATGGACAAGTTTGATTCATCATTAGATTTAATCAGAAGATTAGACCCACGTTCAATTACTTCCAATTTATCAAATATCTGTGCATTAGTTGATGATGAAGAAATAGTGGCTGATTTATTATCATCAGTAGATACTCCATTAGTTGTTCAAAATTGTTCTAAAACAGGTAAAGATTATTTATGTTGTGATTATAATAGAGATGGAGATAGTTATAGATCACCATTTAGTAATGTATATTATCCAGAATTGTCAAGTTCTGAAATCAATGATGCTCCTTATCCAAGTGATTTATTGAGACAATTGGAAATTAAAGCCAATGATTCATTTGATATTTATCGTGATTTATATTATGAAGGTGGTATTAGTAGTGTTTATTTATGGGATACTGCTGAAGATGAAGATGATAATGCATTAGAAGAAGGGTTTGCAGGAGTTGTTTTATTTAAGAAAGAAACTGATGATAAATCAGGAAATTGGGATAGTATTCATGTTTTTGAAGTTATTAAACAATCTAAAAATAAATATTTGTATAAATTGACAACTTCAGTGGTTTTGAATTTGGAAAATAAGAAATCTACTAATGGTGGAAATTTAGGTCTTGCTGGTAATTTAACAAGACAATTGGAACAAGAACAAGCTCTTGAATTGGATAGTGGAGTTAATTTGGAAACTAATCATTTGATTAATTTAGGTCAATTGGTTGAAAAACTGGAATATAATATTAGAAATTTGTTACAAGCTGTTTATTTCGATAAATTGAAGGATATAATGTTGAAAGATTTACGATCAGTTGGTGATGTAAATGATAAAAAAATGGATGACTTAAAACAAGGTGAAATTATTAAAGGCTTACAAAGTTTATAGTTTCATATCAACATATACATATATTCATAATCTATTTTATCGTTTATACATTGATAAATCTAATGTTTCTATCACGTTATCTTCTTCATCACTGGCTAATGGTTCCAATAACTCTGTCTCCGATTCATCATCTTCTACAGCAATTGAAGTCTGCAGTATGTCAACTGTAGAACCCGTATCTAGATTATACATCCTTGCTGGTGGATTCTGTCCTGAAATTTTCCTTTCACGTTCATCTTCTTGTAATGATGACAACACATTAGCCTTGACGTCATTGACAAATGACCAAAGTGAAGAAGAGACACTTTGCATCATATCATCTGATTTACTTGGTTTGTTGTGATACGGTTTTGGCATAGGTATTGGTCTAGGATTAACTGATTTGGATTGTAATGGTGAATTTATTGATCCAATACTTGAAATAGACCCCTCTGATGATTTTGATTGGTGTGAGATTTGCTTTTCAAGTTTTCTTGATTGATCATTATGGACTTGTTGGTCCTTTTCACTTAATAATGATTTTTCAAATTCATTCTGTATAAGTGTATCGAATTGTTGAATCAAATTCAATGGTTTACTTAATCCACTCCAAATTCTTGATGTCGATTCTGGATTAGCTGTTGTTGTTACTGTCGCTGGAGTAGTATTATTAGTAGTAGTATCATTTATAGGTGGAGTAACAAAATCCTTATTGTGATGATCATTAAATAAAGATGACCTCCTTCTTCTTGTCCTGGCAATAGCTTCATCACGAGGATTACTATTCTGTCGTGGTCTTGTTTCTGTTGCCTTTGCTAGTGAATTACCGGTGGACAACTCCTTGTATAATGAACGTTGAATAATCTCCCTGAGATGATGTAATTCCTTTTGATGTTCATTCAATTTATTGTTCAAATTAGTAATATGATCCTTTATTTCAACCACACACATTTCTTTTAGAGCCAAGTATCTTAATTGTTCATCAATATCCATAGCTACTAACTTATCTGTTGATGGTAATGGTAAATCATATCGTAAATCATGAGGTCCATTAGTAGTATATCTTTGTAAATCATATTTTTGCTCCTTCCGGTAGAGAAGCTTGAGATGTATATGACGGATTTCTCAGATGTGTCTTTGGCGAATCAACATTACCTGATGTTCCATTTGAAGGTACGGAGATACAGCAAAAATGGTTCAATCCTTTACTCATACTCATGCTATTTCTAACTGATGGAGTTGTTGCCGTTGTCGTTGGTGTATTGCTGTTATTATTATTACTATTATTATTATTGGAAGATGGAGTAGTATTATTTCGTTGTAAAGAACTTGATCGCCTTACTTTGAATTCTATAGGTTTATGTGGAGTGGATGATTTCACACCATTTCTTCTTAAACTATTGGAAGATCTCTTGATCTCGGGGGTATTTTCAGTTATAGTAGTCATTCTGCCTATCAATTATAGAAATAAATACTAGGATGATGTATTTTATTAAAGAAATCAATTCTATCTTGAACCACCAAGCCTTGGGTTTTTCTCCTTCCTTGTTATCTTTCTTTTTTTTTTTTTTGCTTTTCCCACTTGAAGTAAAATAAAAAAGCTTGAAATCAAATATGTTTATGAAACAAGGGGAAATAACGTTTAAAATGGAATATTACTAAATTGATTTGAAATGAAAACAAGTAAATCAAAAAAAATATGTCGAATAATGATCACTTCCTCAAGATCAAATTAATTAAAAATGAAAATTCTATTATGGCACAGTTGAATCAATTTCACAATTTCACAATTTCAATTTCAATTTCAATGGTCCAAAATTCTTCGTGTTAAAAAAAAAAGAGAGAGACAGAAAGAGAGAGAAAGACAGAGAAAGACAGAAAGAGAGAGACAACACTTTATTAATGCTTCGTACATTACGCGTCAGTTTTCATTCATAATAACATTGTTTGCATAGCCACGACTATATTTTTGTTTTGCTTACTTTTCTCTCTCTCGCTCCCCTTTCAACAAATTTGTGGCAATTTACACGCAAATCATAATCACATGCTGCACTACTATGCGTCACGTGTTGCATATCACACGTCTGTGCGATTTTGCACTACCAATGACAACCCCGATAAAAAATAAAATTGAATCAACCAGACGTGATCAACAGAATTGGCTAATGTTGCGATAAGAACCATCATAGCTAAACACCCACAATAATGTCTATTTATCAGATTATAGACACAATCAAAACATTCCTTGAGAAAAATCCATTCATTCCTCAATGGGTTAAATGGAAAGTCATTTTCCGTGTACTCCGTATTAAGAATTCAACGAGTTGGACAAACTTTATCACATTGAATAAACCTATTAAAGACGCATTGATTAGGGGTTATAAAACATCTGATCCTGATATTAAACGAAGATTAGATAAATTGGGTAATTTTATAAGTTGTATTTGCTTATATTTTGCAACTGTGGATAGCAAATTAATACCAAAAGATTATATGTTGATATATTTGATTATCAATTATATTGGCGAATTAGATCCTCCTTCAAATTCACAAATTATAGTTAGTCCCAGGATTTCAAATTATTTTAAAGTACATAATTATAAACCTTGGTTACAAGAATTATACAAGAAAAAAGAATATGTTATATTCCCAGCTATATTTGCTCAAATTTTAAGTAATTATTTAACTCCTACCAAATACAAATTGAATCAGAAATATTTATCAAGTGGTTTGAAAAGATATATACTAAACCCAATTTGGATTAATTATAGATTAGGAATAAATTATAATAGAGTTAGTTGGATTGGATTATTCCGAGTTTATTTGTTTCAAAATTTTGTATTGCAAGGATTTATTGGATTATACTATTTTAAAGCCAAGTTGTTGGATAAACTTTACGAAGTGAAACATAATGGACAAGAAACAAAGAATTATCATGAAGTAATCATGAATTATTTATGTTCTGTTTGGCATAGATCAAATTCATTTATAAATTTGATTTTTGGTTGTAATTTAATTTCAATTTTTTTAATTAGTTTAACATCACCAATTTTCAGGATATTAACTCCATCATCTACTACAAAAATGAATTGGATTCAACTGGTTTATTTAAATCATTTGAAATTTTTCTTTAAAAGTTATACTAAAATAATTGGATTTATCGCAGGATTTATAACATTATATTTCAATTCTTTGAATTTAATACCTAGTTGGGGATGTTCAGAAAATGTTCGAACAATTGATTCAAGTTTTATAAATTCACTTGATTTATATTTATTCAGATTGATTTTGTTATCTAAATGGAGAATAATTAAAAATAATCATCCTTGGTTTATCAAGTTTTCAAAATTAGATTGGAATAGATTTGAAACTATTCTTATGAGTTTTGGAATTTGGCAAATTATGAATTTAAATGATTTTCTAAAAACTCATAAAGATAAGAACTTGTCGAAAAAGAATTCAATGATTAAACTTATAAACTACATCATGTGAATAATATATATATATATATATATATATGTTATATTTCATTTATTTATTTATTTAGTATACATTATAAGATAAACCCTTTTTAAATGATGATTTATTCTTGATAACCACCAGCACCTGGAGCATTTTCTTTACCTTTTAATTTAGTTAATATTTCTTTAAATCTAGTTTTATCTCTATCACCATCAGGTAATTCACCTACATCTTCAATTAATTCATTAACTCTATCCCATAATGTACCTCTTCCCAAGAAATCATCTCTTTTATTTAAAAATTTATCTTGTTCAGCTAAAATATCTTTAGAATGATTATCTTTCTTTAAATTATAATTTTCATAAAAATCATCAATTGTTGATTTGGCATTATCTAAAATTTCTTGTTTTTTAGCACTATTCTTCTTTTCTCTTTCTTCAATTTCTAAATCACGACGTTGTTTCCATTCTTTAATTGGTTCACTTTCACTCAAGTTCAATTCTTTAATACCATTAGATTCAAAATTATCAAAATCATCATCTTCATCATCTACGTCTACTTCTTCTTTTTGATTATTACTGACACTTTCTTGTGATACTGGAGGTTCAGAAGAATCAACTTCTGGAAATTGTTCTTTAAATTCATTTATTTCATCATCTTCTTCTTCATCATTATCCATATTTAAAATATTTTGATCTTCTTCAGTGGTAAATTCATCACCAACTAATTCCTTCTCACGAGATAAAAAATCTCCTTCAATTTCAACTTCTTCACCTGGAGTCGAATCTATTTCTGGGAATTTATCAGCCATTGTTTTTAATATTCTTCTTTTTATTCACGAGGTTTAATTGTTCAATATGGAATCAGTGGGAAAAGTTTCGTCGTTAGCCACTGTGTTTTTTTTTTCTCTCTCTCTCTCTCTCTCTTTTGTTCTCGTTGTCGTCGTTGAACAAAAAAATAAAAAAATTCTGGATCCGGATTTTCTTTTTTTTTGTCGGCTGTCCTTTGCTTTGTGTGTACTTTTTACCAATTTCTATTTGTAACATGACCCTATGTCACGTGGCACTCAAGAATAGCAATGACAATACAAGCTGAAGTTACTCACTAATATCTAGGTTAATATATTCAATTAATAGGAAGTATTGAACTGATTCTGAAGGATTTCTGTCTTAGACGAACAATGTGTGTATCTATAATGACAAGATTTACAACTACTATTCGTTATCGTTGTTGCAATTAATCACTCAATTACTTCTAAACTCATTATGACATCATCAAGTTTTAGCCCTTTCTTCTATCTATGTTGTCTCTTTACTGGTGGTCAATATGTATGGCAAATACAACCAATATCCCGGAGTCGTGTAGAACGATTAAAGTTTCTCCACCAAAAAGAAAAAACCCTCACTTTACAAATACCTAACAGTTTTAAACGGAAAAGAAAAATTAAACATCAAATATCAGAAACCTATACATAACAAATCTCATCGTAACAGGACGAGTGGTGAAGTGATATTACGAAAGATATATTATGGCTAGATTATCAGGATTACAAAAAGAAGTACTACATTTATATAAAAGTTGTTTTCGTACAATTAAAACAAAACCAAAAGAAACTAGAATTCATTGGAGAAATTTTATTCATGAAGAATTTTTTAAATATAAAAATATACCTAAAAAACAATTTAATACTATTGAACATTTAATTAGAAATGGACATCGAAAATTAGAAATGTTTCAAAACCCTCAAATTAAAGATATTCATTAATAGGAAGATTGTTATAACAAATTTGTATATAATAATAATAATAAAGTGTATATATCAAAAAACGAAATAAAACAGAAATTAACTAAAAATAAAATATAAAAATAAAAACTAATATAATGTATATATATCTAAAAACTCATAAGGTAAGTTTCTTAATATTGAAGAAGGAGGGGAAGATGTCTATTGGAAAATTTGTGATGATTCAGATAATAATAATTCAGTGGTATCATTTCTAAATCCCATATCTGTCATTTCTCTTTCCCCAGATTGATCTCTTGCTAAAGTTGGTGCAAAAACAACTGATAAATTTTTATAACCCATTTTATTAACATCCTTCATTGAATTAACCAATTCTAAATGCTTAACAATCATTTTTAATGTTTGTTTATTGGCATTTGGTAATTTATTAATAACACCAATCAAATCTCCAATTCTTGTTTCTTTATCATTAGAAGTATTAGCTGAAACTTGAATAAATTCGTCATATAAACCATATGGAATTATAGGTTCCGGCAATTTTCTTAAATACCTCTTCAATGCCGATGTAACAGCATGAATATCTCCATCTAATGTTTCATCTAATCTACTCAATTGCTTATCATCTGGTTCATTAGATAAACTTGAAAATGCATTCTCAATAGAAACAATAGCTGAATTACCTCCAGAAATTCTATAGATTCCTTCAAAATCTAATCCTCTTTTCTCAACTTCAGTTAGACATCTGGTAACAATCAACGGGATTGAATTCTTTTCATAATCTGCTCGCTGTTGAATAGTTGAATTGAATAATGCTACTTGATTAGAATCACCAGATAATATTGAATCTAATATAATACTTGATTTAGATTTGGTGAATTTACCTCCAGCATTGGTACTATTCACACTGAGATTGGTACTATTCAGTGATGGAATACGTAAAGCTTGTGACGAAAAACTAGTTGGAATTCTGGCTCCATTACTTGGGAAATTTAATGCATTGTTGCCAGCATTACCATTGAGGTTGTTGTTGCCACCATTGAGATTATTGCCATTGTTATAATTGTTTCCATTGAGATTATTATTCATATGACCATCATTACTTGCTGGAACAACTTGTGGTAGTCCAATCTTTGGTCTTCTCCAAAACTTTAATCTAGTTGCTTTATGAGTTTGCTCATCTTCAACAGGTTGTTGATATTGATATTGTTGTTGTTGCTGCTGCTGTTGCTGCTGCTGCTGTTGCTGTTGAAGGTTGGGGTCAAAGTTGTCTCTTGATGAAGCAGGAGTAGTAGTTGTGTAAGGTGATGTGGTTGATCTTGTAGTACTCTTACCCAAAGTTGAATTATCTGCACCCAGCTCGGATTCATTACTTGAGGATTTTGATAATTTGGCAACTTCAGCTTGCATAGATTTCTGTTGGGCAACTAATTCTTTATTCTCATTAGCCAAATTAATCTTTTGTGCTTGTAATTCATTAATTTCACCAATCAAATTATCATATTTAATGGATTCAGAAGATATCTTGGATTGAATCATTTTCAATTGTTCAGTCAATTTTTGTTTTTCGGTTTTCAATTTTCTAATATCTTGATCTAAAGTACCTTTAGTAAGACCCATTTGTTGAATTTCATGTTTCATTGCTCTAATGTCAAAATTGTCTTCTTCATGAATCATCATAGTAGAATCTGATGTTGATCTGAAATGACCAGCTCCACCCATAGTACCACTGGTGATTGGTGGAGAGATGTACGCATTAGTGATACTACTCACAACTGAACCATCAGATGCATGACGAGTATGAGATCGACCTTCTTCTTTCGACTTGAAAAATGACAAGATATTTTGACCCCCTGAAGTAGAACGTTTATGCTTCAAACCCTTCATTATTGAATTCTTACGAGATGGATGATGATGTTGTTGTTGTTGTTGTTGTTGTTGTCGTAAATGTTCATCCATTTCTTGTGGTGATTCCAAATTAGTAACAGCGGGTGAAAAATTACCAATTACTCTCTTTGGGGTATTCATAATCGATGATGGACTAGTATCCTGACTACCATTTTCAAGACGTCTCTTTTCTTGCAGTTGTCTAATGTATTGTCTTTGATCATCATGAGCATCATAATCGATACCTTCCAAACCCAAACCCTTCGGTGTTTCATCAAAACTGAATTTCTTCTGTGTATCATTATTACGTGATGGAGTGCTTGGTGGTGGTACTTTTGGTGGTGGTGATGACATCGATTTCAAGGTTCCTGCCCTCGATATTTGCTGCTTTGGTGTACCAATAGTTAAATCATCATTATCCTCGTCAAGACATTCTGTCAGAATTTCATCGTTGGTTTCAACAACTCTTGCTTGTCTATTAGCTTTAGCAAATGGGGATGAACAAGCAGAACGAGGTCTATCTTCGACGGATAAATTAACTGGTTTTAGGTTTTGATTACTGTTTCGACTAATGACAGTTCCTGGAGAATCAATAATCGGGGATTTGGCATTGTGGAATTCATGATCATGGAATTGATTTGGTGATAGTATAAGCAAATTCTTGGATTTTGGATCTAAATTGCCATTTCCTCTTGGAGATAATTCCACACCTGGTTTCAATTGATCAGTTGGTGGGGTACTAATATTATCTGGAGGAGTATTCAAAAGATCCAAATATACAGTCTTATCGGTATCCGTTGATATATCATGACGATTAACATATTCAGAAGATAATGGAGGAGTGGAATATTCATTAGCAAATGGCAGAATTTTTGAATTTTGACTAGAGGCTTTGTTTCTTAAAGAAGTACTATTGGTTTTGTCGCCTTCTTCGTCATTCGAATCTGTATCAGAAGCATTTTGAACTTCTTCAATGGAAAAGTCATTATCTGGCTGGAGTACTGGTGGGTTATGAAGACCACTTGCACCATTTGGTTGTTGTTGTGATGGCACTGGTGGTGCTGGTGGTTGGCGTTGTTGGTTTGGAGACCTTGCGTTTGATTCTGAGAATATTTGTGAAGCCGATACAGATGAAAGGGAGATATCGGTGGTGTTTTTGGCTTGATAAGCATTTGATTTACTTGGAGATATTGATGGAGGCAATGGTAATGATTTGTTTTTTCCAGATACTACCGAACCAGCGGATCGATTATTCTGTTGATATAATACACTTTCTCCTGATTGGGTATTTTGATTATTTGTCATATAAGAATTGATCAAACTATTCCTTGAAGAATTCACGGATCTTTTATGGTCTTCTAATATCTGATACTCTCGTTGATCTTTTTCTCTTTCTAATTGTAATCTCTTCTCTTGCAACATTGCCAAATGTTTCTTTTTAGCATCATATTTCTTCTTTTTGGCCATTAATTTCTCATGACAATCCATACAAAACAATCCTTTCGAAGTTCTTGCATATCTCAAATCCTCAATTTTATTTTTACAAGAACGACATTTAAAACAATTTGAACAATAAGCTTGGTCACCAGTTAAGATAGCCAAATCGTCAATTTTTCTTCCACATTGCTTACAATTATATGAACAATTTGAACAGATTAAATTTCCATTACCCAACACCAAAAAATTTGAGTTACAACCCAAGGAAGTGTTACATTTTGAACAGTTGAAACAATGGATATGCCATCTATCATCACCTAATTCGTAAGCATGTCCTTCCAAGATTAATTGATTACATTTCTTACAAATCTCGCGTTGTCTATTCAAATCGGGTGTTGTAGTTGCACCTGCACTTGCAGTTGTATTTGTATTTGTATTTGTAGGGGGAGGCTGGTGGACTGTCTGACTTGGAGTGATTACTTCTGGCATAGTGATAGGTATAGTTAATTAAATGACAAACAAGTGGCTGACTGAAATATCAAAACGTGTAAGCCAAAAAAAGAAAAGAACAAAGTAGGCAGTGAACAGGAAACGAAGAGTGTGAGTTTTTTTTTTTTGTCTTGTTCTTCTCCTTTCGTTTGTGGTAAAATAAAATAACCCTTGACTAAAAAATTTATTTTTGGGTAACTAAACAAAGGGGGAGGGCACACACCGGTCGTGGATAGAGTCGTGGTCGTGGTGGGTGGGCCGAAAAAGGGAATACGGGCCAAGGGAAACTGGGTCGAATAAACAAATAAAAAAAAAAGGAATTTGACAGGGAAACCAAATACTTCAGTGGAATAAATTAGTTTGAATCACCGGTAATATTGAGTGCTTGGTGATAATAGTTGATATTATAGGTATATATAGATATCCAGATAGATAGTTAGATAGATATAATTGAAAGTAGAAAATAATATGGGAAAATTTTTTTTTCTTTCTTTTTTGAAAAATAAAATATCAATTGCTGAGTATTATAATGAATATTAATAAAAGTCACAAAAGATGAAAACTGGCTCTTACTTTCTTTATTTCCTTCTTAATTTATCAAATAATTAATTAATGAATGAATGAATGGATATGTGGATGGGTGAGTGAGTAATGATTTCAAATGCAGAATACTGCCTAATTCATATGATTATAATTGCTTTTGAAACAAGGGTAAATTTAACTCTTGATATAGTGGGTATTATTAAAAAAGAAGAGTTCTTTTTCTTGAAACTACCAAATCGTGGTGTGGATTCTATCTACAATTGTCAAGAAAGAAGAAGAAGAAATGAAGCCATAAAAAAAAATAAAAAAAAATCTTTGGGCAAAGTCTTTCCAATCGTATATATATATATATATATAAACAATTCTATAATAAAACTAAAGATTATTTAAGCAGATGTTGAATTTTTTATTTTTCTCTTAATTTCTATTTTAGGGTATTTTCATTTATTTGCATTATGTGGGATGGGATAATTGCAAAAGGATTCATGTATGTACTGTATACATACCATTACATTTCCAAGTGCGTCACTCAATTCATAGATATCTCCCATTGGCTTGTGCCACGATTGACAGTCACCTATTTATTGTTTTCTTTCTTTTCTACTTGACTGAAGATTATTACCACGTACTCGTCTGCCCTGTTGATACGTTGCTTGCACACACACGCAATGATTTTCAATTAAAATTAACTTGGAATTGATTCAGAATAGGCGATGACCAATAGTTGGTTTTCTCTCTTTTTTATCTTCCAATCTATAGGAGAGTAGTTTCTATAAAGAAAATCTGAAACAAATAAAGAAAACTAAAAAATATAATCTGCGTAGTACAAAAATAAAATCCTGATTACATAAAGTAATCATTGTCGTCGTAGTAGTATAAACAAAATACACAATAATGATTTCTCTTTGTTTACCTTTCTTTTATAGAAACTTTGGTTTCGTTATTCAGGGGTCATGAAATCCAAACTATCTTCATTTTTACTGTCGTCTTGATTTGTTTATGTTTACCGGTTTACATAATCATCACTATCAATATTATGAAACTTATTTTTAACTGTCTATCGATTTTGATATTGGTCTGTTTTTATATTACTTACATTTCGTAACATTGTGGTTTAGTTTGATAATTAGTCCCTTTTTATTCTTTACCCTGTTTATCCTCTAGTTTTCATTTTGTTTTGTGTATATGTGTGTGTATATATACTCAGTAGATGAGGTTCATCTTTGCGTAATTCTGTTGAACAAAATAATAAAAACTGTGTACAAGATAGTTACAACAATAATTCAGATTTATACAATAAGGAATTTACTTATGAAACATGCTTTATTTTAATAAAGTAACATCTCTTAATTATTCGCCCCTGTTTTTATGACTTTTCTTGAAAGTATCTAGAGATCCGTTATTATCTTCTGAAGAATCGCTGAACGGCAACAAATCTATGATGAAATATCAAAAGCATCATCATCGTCATCATCAATGCTCGCTTCCAAGAATAAACATAAAGCTCATATGATGAAATTCTGAATCCTTATTGTGATTCTAGAACTTTACTTTATAGTAACAAAAGCATTTATTGAAAAAAAAAAAAATATCTACTAAGTTGGCATGCCACTTTTCTCTGTGTACAAAAAAATCAACAAGAAAAAAAAAACCAACCAACCAACATGAAAGGGAAACCATATATCATGCAGGAAACAACTTGTGGTTAACTGTTATCTAATTGACGACAGGTTAATCCTAAAACATATAAAGGACCTTCTATTAATGAAGAATAAATCAATGTAACCTAATGTAGTTAGATCTACAATTTTTCCTTATTGTATAAAGGGAAAACAATCACCTTCCCGATTTGGAAGTTCATGAATTGCTTTTTATTATTTTGGATTTTTGGTTTTCACCTGAAACGTGCCATGTGCCATGTGCGCGCACCAACATCAGAAGTAAAACACAAAGACAATTGCAAATAAAAAGGTACCAGGAGACGCGTCGCGTTAGTTGCGCACATGATGACGTGTACATCGTATTATTAATAATAATAATAATAATAATGAAATCTGTTGGGGTTTGTTCTCTATAATAATTACACACTCATATATACATATATATATTACATACAATCAATATTCTTACAATTCTTCAGCTGTTAAATCTTTTTTAATTACAAATGGTTTTCCTCTCCAATCAATTTCATGTCCAATCATGGCAATTATCCAGATTGGTAATGCTAAAAATTCTCTAATTAACCAAATATAAAACCATTTGAAAAAATTATAATTCTTGGATGGAATTCCTTTTAACCATGTTGGAATATAGTTGATATTGCTATTATCCAAACTATGGTTAATCAAAGTATAATATTGAACATAATCTGTGATAATCCAAATTAACATATGAAATAAAAACCAAGATTTGTTAAACCATGCCCCATTGAAGAACACAGTGGATATAGCATAAGTTCCATATAATCCACAAATCAATGATTCAGTAGTTGGTTCAATTAAAGTTGCCAATAAAACCATATATTTCCTAACTCTTAACCATCTAACTCTTCTTTGAATATAATCATTAACGGAATTGTTTTGAGTAGAAATTAATGGTTGTACAACCACATCTCCAGTTAATCCGGTTCTACCTTGACAATTTTCCCAAAGAGCAATACCAATCATATTATCTTCTCCAATATATCTGGCAAAAAATTTAATAGCATGTCCTATACCTAATGAAGTATAATATCCAGCATCTTGTTTAACTTTTGTATCTTTGAAAAATTGTGAATTTTTATAAGGGATCAATTTAACTGATTGATCTAAATCTGAACGACGATACATATTTGACTTCCCATTAACACAAGGAGCAATAGCTAAATTATTCAACAGGACATAAAATTTAGCATGAGAAGTATGTAAAAACATTTCATCTAAATTTGCACCTAATTTCTTGAATAATTTAGAATCATCATTAGATTCATGAATGCTAACTCTTCTAGGTGATGGGGTTTTTCTATTGGTTAATCCTGATGATTCGGATTCACATTTAGATTCATCACTACTTGAATAAGTAGGAGTTAATTCCATATTCTCTAAATCAACAATATCATTGTTATGATTTAAATTACCAATACTAACTGCTAATGGTACATGATGAACAAGTTTAACTGGACGATAATTACCCATTTTTCTATTCATATTCAAATTTTTATTCAATGTTATGACGGAATTTTTCAAAATATTAGAACTTGCCCAAACATTACTATCCATAATCCATAAAATATCATATTTAGCTGCAAGAAATCCTTTTGATAAATTATTTACTTTCGGATTTGGTCCATAATGATCATCACTAAATTTATTAATCAGATTATAATTCTCACTAATTAAAATGTTTGCATCAATATGTGGATATTTGGAAAGAAGTTTTTTAATTATAGAAATCGAGGGATCAGATTCATCATCTATACAAAATAAAATTTGTAATTTATCCAATGGGTAGTTCTGAAGAAATGAAGATTCTAAACATGAATATAATTCAGGATCTATACCTTTAATTGGTCTTAAAATAGTAACACCTTCATAAAATTCATTTTCTTCATCGATTTCTTCTTGTTGCTGTTGATTGTCCACATCTTTATGTTTATACAATATAGGACGAGTTCTAAAATTAAACAAAATTTCAAAGAATCCACTATATGCTGCAACTAATATACAAAAATACCATAGTAGACAAAAATATCCTGTGAATAATCTGAAATTGGATAACCCTGAATCTAGTTCCTCTTCAACTACAATCATGATCTTCTTCGGTAGTTAGGTTTTAAAACTAGTTGCTTGATGGGACGCACGGGTTGATTATCTTTCTTTTGCTTAATTTTTTTTTTTTTCTTCTTCTGCTTCTTCTTCTTCTTCGGCGAAATCAAGAGAAGAAGAACAAATTTATAGAAAAAGGGAACATTGAAAAACAAAAAAAAAATTTTTCTTTCTTACAAATGCAAGATGTCATTATTAATAATGAAACTTGGTGGTACGACATAAAAACGGTTATTTCTTTAATTGTTCATCTATAGATCCAATCTTCCCGGTATTGTGTAAGGAATATAAGTATTTTTAATTCTAATTGGTCTACCAACAAAGTTGATCGCAAAAAGTAAAAAAATATCGCAGATGAATTTAATACCGAGGTTTAATCACGTGATGATGCTCGGATTTATAATCGATTTATATCTCTTTTAAGGTTATCGTAAAAACAATAATTCATTTGATTTTCAAGAGATTTTGCTTAAAAACTGGTGTAAAAAATAGTGTGTTCATTCCATAAGAAGATGTCGAATTAAATTTAAATATTTCGCAGTGGAAAATATGCACGTGACAATGTGCACACATTATTTCCGCTAATGATGATAATATCCGCGAGTTTTGTTCAACTAATAATATGGTTTATTGTTTGATGAGCTATCCTCCCTACCTCGGTATACAAGTAGTCAACAGTGTATAATCACAATTCAGTAACATGTAAACGCATAAAGAAAATGAATAACCTTTAAAGTAAAAGCATACTTCTGCAAAACCTCCAATGAGAATGTTTCAAAGATTATCAACCCCAGAAAAATAAAACACTAAAAATATCATATCATATTATATCATATCATCCCTTAATTATAGCACATTAGCAAACTGACTTACTCCGGGGATATTCACCATTATCGTTGTATTTTTTTTTTCTTTCTTTCTTTTCAAACTAATTAGAAAAATTAATCTCCCTTGTTTTCTTTCGGAGTTTTGGGATTCTTATCACCCGCATAAACTAATGACACAGTTACCCCCACACTATAAGATGAAAAAGAAGAAGTCAAGAAAAAAAAAATTAGTTTCTAATCACTAATGAGTTTATACCTTCGGAGTTACTAATCCGTAAAAAATCAAAAAAAAAAGAAAATCCAAATAGTAGTCATATTGCATACCGTGGGTATCTTTAAAATGAAAATGAATAAAACAAAGTTCCTCGGTCAACCGCGACTTTTCTGTGCACCGACACACGACCCACATATAAATGTGGTTTTTTTTGTTTCCCACCATGTACCCCCACAAATTATCATAAGAAAAATAATATTACAATGTTGAACAACGAATATAAAATCAACAAAAAATTTTCAGACAAATCAAGATAATTTTTTTCTTTCTTTCTTTCTTTTCCTTCTTTATAAGTATAAAACTTTCTTGAATTCTTTCCTTTACTATATTTTTTTTTTTCATTTTGACTACTCCCTCCTTTTTTTTTTCTTTTATTGAATTCACTTATTTATCTTCAATTGAGTTGTAGGAGATTAATTAAGTGTTGAAAAAGAATAATCATAATAATCAAGAAAGGAGTTTTATTGCCAAAGCATGTTCAATTTTAAGTTATCTCAACAAGTATTTAAAAATTCAACTAAATCTGTAATTATGCCAGTTTTGAAAAAACCATTTTCCACTAGTTCTCCAAAAGGTGATTTGTTCAAATTTCAATCACAATTACCAAAATTACCTGTTCCTTCATTAGAAGAAACAAGTGCAAAATATCTTAAAACTGTCGAACCATTTTTAAATCAGGAACAATTAGAATCAACTAAAGAAAAAGTTGCAGAATTTGTTAAAGCCGGTGGTGCAGGTGAAATTTTACAAGCTAGATTGAATCAATTTGCCACTGATAAAGATAATTGGTTAGCTGAATTCTGGGATGATTATGCTTATATGTCTTATAGAGATCCTGTTGTTCCATATGTTTCCTATTTCTTTAGTCACAAGGATGTCAACAATATTATTGGTCAAGATCAATTGTTAAAAGCTACTTTGATTGCTTATTATACTACTGAATTTCAAGAAAAAGTCTTGGATGAATCCTTGGCACCAGAAGTCATCAAAGGTAATCCATTCTGTATGAATGCTTTCAAGTATATGTTTAACAATTCTAGAGTTCCAGCTGAAGGTTCTGATATCACCCAACATTATGATGGTGAAAAGAATCAATTCTTCATTGTTATTTACAAGAACAATTTTTACAAAGTTCCAACCCACAAGAATGGCCAAAGATTATCCAAAGGAGAAATTTACTCTTATTTACAAGAAATTAAGAATGATTCTACTCCAAAGGGTCTTGGTTTGGGTGCTTTGACTTCATTGAACAGAGATGAATGGTTGAGTGCTTACAACAATTTGTTGAAATCGCCAATTAACCAAGCTTCTTTGGAATCCATTTTTGCTTCTAGTTTTGTCATTGCCTTGGATTCAAACAATCCAGTTACTATTGAAGAAAAATCCAAGAATTGTTGGCACGGTGATGGTCAAAATAGATTTTTTGACAAACCTTTGGAATTTTTTGTTAGCGCTAATGGTAATTCAGGTTTCCTTGGTGAACATTCCAGAATGGATGCTACTCCAACTGTTCAATTGAACAATACCATTTACAAACAAATTATTGAAACTGATCCAAATGAATTGATTACTGAAATTGGTACCTCGTCTCCAAGATTTGGTAATGCTGAACTTTTGACCTTTGACATTAATCCAACCACTAGAGCTAACATCAAGGATGCTATTGCTAAGTTTGACAAGACTATTGCTGCTCATGATGAAGAAATTTTCCAACATTATGGTTATGGTAAAGGATTAATCAAGAAATTCAAGGTTTCACCAGATGCTTATGTTCAATTAATGATGCAATTGGCCTATTTCAAATACACTGGTAAGATTAGACCAACTTATGAATCTGCTGCTACTAGAAAATTCTTGAAAGGTAGAACTGAAACTGGTAGAACCGTTTCTAATGAATCCAAGAAATTTGTTGAAACTTGGTCTGATCCAAATGCTAGTAATGCTGACAAAGTTGCTACTTTCCAAGCTGCTGCTAAACAACACGTTTCTTATTTATCAGCAGCTGCTGATGGTAAAGGTGTCGACCGTCATTTGTTTGGTTTGAAACAAATGTTGAAACCAGGTGAACCAATTCCTTCTATTTTCAGTGATCCAATTTTCACTTATTCTCAAACTTGGTATATTTCTTCATCTCAAGTTCCATCTGAATATTTCCAATCTTGGGGTTGGTCTCAAGTTATTGATGATGGTTTTGGTTTGGCTTATTTGATTAACAATGATTGGATCCATGTTCACATCTCCTGTAAGAGAGGTAATGGATTACAATCTGATCATTTGAAATGGTATTTGGTTGAAAGTGCTAATGAAATGAAAGATATCTTAACTAAAGGTTTGTTAACTGAAGCTAAACCAAAATTGTAAGCTTTCAAGACGAGAGGAAACAAAAGAAAACAAAAAAGCCCCCAGTTACTCCTCAAATACTAAAAAGGAGTTTAAAAGAAGAAAACTGCCCGGATGCAAAGTATCGCCTTAATACGAAGCTTGATATCAATTCATTTCATCATTCAATTTTCAATTTTCAATTTAGTTTTATCTTATTTTATTTATTTATTTCCGAATTATACAGTTATTATTACATATTAAAAAAAAAAATGCATAATTCAATATATGACAAAAGAGAATGAAACGTCTAAGAAATTTCATCTAATCTTTGTAATAAAATATTTCGTAAACGTTAGAACAAAGCAAAAACAAGTAAACTATATAACCTTGTGTAATTTTTATTTCTCTTTCTATTATATAAATACTTGAGTGTGTGTCGGTACATACATAACGCACACAATAATTTAAGCTTTTTCTGTATTCAACTTGAAATTTTCATCTGTATAATCAATTAAGCTGTAATATTGAATGTATGTAGTACAGGTAGAGTCACACAGATAGAGGACAAGACAAGACAAGACAAGACAATACAGGTAGTGGTTTTTAAGATCGTTTGCAGATTAATCTTCAAAAGATTTCTTTATATATATATATGTACATGCATATTTTTTTGGTCATATCTATTTAACAGTAAATTCCATTACTTACAAATGTTTTCCGACCAATGGCATTAAACTTCACCCTCATCAATCGCATTTAAAGACATCAACATTTCTCCATACAGTTATTACATTAGAATATTCTATAATTTGCGTTTATACAATTAATATGATGATTGATTAATGTAAGTAGATGGAAAAAGTTTATATTAGGATAAGACTACATTAAGATAATTAAAACAAGGTGAATCAATATACACGAGTAATTAAATTAAACGGGTATTTCAGTAAATAAATAAATAATAATGAACAGGGTTCTTGATTAGATATTTTTTTTTTTTTGATCAAATAAATAAAATAACCAAAATTTGGTCTGCACTACTACTAAATACATTTAAGTATATTAAATTGCTGGTTAATAAACCTCAATTCAGATAATAAATTTCTCTTAAATAGAAAAGAATGAAATTAATATACGATTGATAATATTAATCATACCATATGAATTATTTTTGTACTTAAGGGTTTACCCTCCTCCTGCTGCTCCCCACCTATTCATGTTAGGATTTTCATTCAATTTCTGATAAAGTTTATTTTCATTTATTGGATATTTAACAAACAACGGAAATGTAACTTGAGTTAAATAATAGAAGAGATTTTATTATTATTATTTTTTTTTTGCAGTCAATTATTAATAATACGTTTTGCTTTTTAATGTAGTATAATTCATGATCATTTACTTCTTCATTTATCATATTGAAGAGATATGAAATATGTAAATGCGTAATATAAATGAGCAGTTATTATATTAGTTTACTTCATATATGCTTTAATATAATCAAATTTATATTTCGTATTAGCTTTAGTGGTACTTTTTAATATTATTATTATTGCAGATTGCATGTCGGATATAATGATACATTTTTTTGGTACTGTTTACACGTCCAATTGTTCCAAAAATTTCACATAGTTATTCTTTTTTTTTTTATTCAATCTTGACGTTATGAGAAGCTGTTTATTAAATGAGAACAAAAAATGTTTGATTGGGTGCCAACTTGTTATTATTATTAATAAATTTTCATAATGATTAATTTGTGAGAGAAGAAGGTAAAAGAATTATCCGATTCGTCAAATCTAGATTAAATTGCACTGTTCTATTTAGATAGTTTATCTGCATGATATATAGTTGCATAAGTTTACACAGAAAACTAAATGAATATAACTGAGGGAATATTCATATATATATTTTTAGGTATGTGTATATGTGTGTGTGTGTGTGAGTAAAAAACAGAAATTGGAGAAAAGAATATATCATGGCCGGGAGATGATAGTTAAGTGAGTATACTATTAACTGCGTAATAAACATTTCTGCAATATCTACTGTATCTGTTTTCAGTTTATGTGAAGTAAACGTACTTTTATGAATTGAGTGTACAAAGATTTTGTTTTACAATTGTTGTGTTATTTGTTTACTATTCAATCATCGTCACTGAAGTGAATACAAAATACAAAGGTAAATTAATGAAATATGTGTTTTCTTCTTCTTCTTCTTAACCAGCAGTAGGTAAAAAGTTTAAAACTATTATTATTAAAAATTAAATAGAAGTTCATGAAAAGTAAACATTTTAAATTGACGAAAGAGCTGATTATGTAATGAAAGTGAATTATTGTGAATGATGGCTATGTTCTTATAGAATAGAATAATTATCGGAATATAATATGTTTTAACCACACATTATAGTATGTACATAACCATCACATATGTGAGTAATAATTCTATATTGAATTTCAAGTTTAATATATTTGTTTCTTTTGTTATAATTAACCATACACACATGTTGTGGCAATATTTCCAGAAAGAGCAATTTGGTAAATTTTCATATCATTAGCAAATGAATGAAGTAAATGATACAAGATCATCGGTAAGGGTTAGATCGCTTGTTACAAATCAAAATGTTTTGCCATGGGTCAAGTTTCTACCTGGAACGTGAATTTCTTGGACTCTTTTTGGTCTTTTTATATATGGTTATTTTAAGAAAACCGCAAATCTCATTTCTACTCATCGATAGCAAATTCAACATAATTTCAAATTGATATGCTGCCTCAAACAATTGATCAAACATAATAGAAGGAAAGTAAAAGTTAAAAAAGAAAAAAAAAAACTACATTACATTACATGTAAGATTAATTCATCTCAATTTTTCTCTAATCCATGCATTCTTTTATAGCATGCTATAAAAATCCGTTTGTGTATTTCTAAACTGTATGTTTTTATATTTATATTTTAGATATTTCGTCAAATGACTATTAAATGTGTGTATACATTTATATGTTTATTCTCTGTCTCGTAATCCCTGAAGATGAAACAATAAGAATTTTTGCAATTATCGCAGAATTTGCTGCATGAACTAAAACACACAATTGAAAAGAATTTGCCCTTGTTAGTTAGTTACAATAAGTACATATGGAAGTATATGTATATGCAATTGCCTGTTTTGTACATCTTTTAAACATTTATTATTCTCTTTAGAAGAAAAAAAAAAGACATATGGGTCATGGAAGACGCAAAAATAAAAGCATAAAGAGCAAATACTGAACAAGCTGGGTAGATGCAAACACAGAGATGTATTGCACTTTACATGAAATAAAATATAATAAAATTAAACGCACACTTTTCAATTGAATGTAACCTACTTTGTGGTGGGTCGTGATCAAAATTATATTCATGAGCAATCGCGGATATGTACTTTATTGTGGCAATAACATTCATCATTTGATTGTGTAAGATAATCATATCGTCAGTTTATAGTAGGGTATGAAAGGAAGAGGAAGAAGAAAACCAACAACCTTTAAAAGTTAGATCTAATGGCTGGTTCGGAATAAAGTGTGTGTAATAATATACAAGTGATTGATTAAGTTTGTTCAAGTTCTTCAACTCTTGCCGTTATCTTCCATTGGCAGTATATTGTGAGTTGATTGTTTGTTGATTATTGGGATCGTCTTTTTCTGTTTTTCTTTTTTGGCTCGGTTGTTTTTTGTTTGTTTTTTTTTTTTTTTGAAGTGCAATCGTCAAAAAGTATGAGTAAAAAAAAACACAACATTACACTGAGAAAATTGTAAGGGAAGTAATTTTAAATGGTTAAAACTTGTGGTGATGATAAATGGGTTGTTGTTTCAATAGGGCTTATATCACCAGTTCAGGTCAGTTCAGTCGAGAAGAAGAAACAGAGTCGATGAATCAATAGTTACTATGATCCAACCATTAATTTGTCTACTTCGTCTTTTTTTACATTACCAACAGAAAAATAATCACAGTTGAAAAATCAAGGGTCTACCAAAAGTTCGTTAAGTAGGTACACTTCATATAAATTCACACCCTAGATAAACACAACAAAAGGATCGCCCTACAATTAATTTGTTGCTGCTTCCTGCCCATGCCCCGTTTAATTTCAGTGAAAAGGAAACCTCTGACACGCAATCACCTATTCTCTACAATTCCATTATAAACATCCCTCGTTCTCTTTGATCGTGTATTTATTGTGTAGTTGTCGTTCTGATGTTGTAATTATTTTTTATTTTTTACAACCACGATCTTGTACTACTACACTATCACCAAAAGATATTTTTCTTTTTATTCATTTTTGGCAAACCAATTACAACCAACACTAATACCAAAGTATCAACTTTTTTTTTTCAATATTGTTTTTAAAGAGGTAAAGGTAGTTGCTTTTATATCCCCTGTGGCAATATCTCCGTACCACAAACACCTCAATTCAATAACAATATTCACATCATCGAGGTCATTCTTTCTCATCAACTGTTGCATTCGCAATATCATTAATTCTTTGTATTCTTAAACAACAAAACTTTTTAATTTAATTTTATCTTTTTTTAGATTTTTGACTTTTTTGTTTTTTTTTTTTAAATTCAGTGTACTTCATATTTGCTTATACGTTTGTCATTATTAATCCATTCAAACAAGAAGAAAAAGGTATTTCCTCATCACCATCATTATCATTATCATCAATTTATCCACCGACATTAGTCATTGTGAAGTGTAATCATCAGAAAATTAATTGATTTTCATTGTACCTTATTGACATCCACATTTAGTTGTACAATTTTCCTGTTCACAACTTTACAACCAACGATCTACCTTACCCTTCTTTTTCTTTCTTTGTATTTGTTTGATAATTTAACTGAGAGACAAAAAGATTTGGTGCAGATTAAGCTCTCTACATTTTCTTCAGGTTCAGGTCTACTGGTTATTCATCTTACCCATATTCACAACAGGTCAAGTTCCTCAATTCATCTGTGTATTACTGTAGCAACAGCAGTAACACCAGCAACCACCACAAGCACCTTTCACCACCAGCGGTAACCGAGGAGATAGCAAATACTGTACTATTTACTTTTGAAATTTGCTAAAAATAAACAAATTGCAATCTTCGTTTAAATCTGTGTGATTTTTTTTTTGGTTTGTTGCCAGTAACATTCTTCATATTAGGGTCTTACACCTTACATTTAATTTAGGAACATCAAAGGGAATTCAACTTATCCAGACGCCTCCTAGAGGGTCTTAACATATTGTCATTCCGTCCAATTGCTGAATACCAATCATTTATCAATTCAAAGTTCAGCCTTAAACACAAGCTAATTTTTATATTTCCAGTCAATTTGTTTGTTGTTGTGTTTGTTTTATTTTTTTTTGTTTCCTTTTGATTTTTGGGGGGCTTACTTTGAATTTACATAAAGCATCATTTAATCCGTGGTGCAGATTGTAAGTGACACAAAAAACTATAAATAATAACAAAAGACTCACAAAACCACATCATTCCAAAGTTTGACGCTACCCTTCTTAAATAATACAAAAAGTAAAAATTATTATTGAGAGAAACAGAAACAGAAAAACACATACTGCCCTGAATTTAATTTTGGACTTTTTTTTTTTTTTACTTGATAAAATTTAGTATAAATTTATTGGAAGTTCCCTTGACAACAAAACAATTATTCCAATTACATTTCCCAATTTAATACTTGACATCTTATTTTCTTTTAATTAGCACATCACCTCCACACATCCACCATCAAGTGTACATTCTTATCAAGGGCGAAAAACAAAACAAAAGCAAAGGTTCTTTATTTACTCCATCTTTTTTTTTGTTGTTGTTCCTTTAACTATCTCCTACTATCATTCACTTTTTTTTTTGTTGGACTAACCGCGTTCACACAACCGATTACCTATACTAGATTATCAATACCCCACGCGTTCAAACCAGATATTAGATCCAATCTCGAGTTATTCCCAAATCTTGTTTGATTTAAGTATTAGATTTATTTTTTTTCCCCCTTATTCTTACCTTTTTTTTGCCATCCAATTGCTATTGCATTTAATACAAAAAAAGGTGTCTGTTTACTTCCCTTTCCCGCGTTAGTGATACTTTTAAATCCAAACCATCGCTTGTCTACTTTGTCTTCGGTTGTATATCAACAATTTACTTGTCATTTCACGTCACAATCACAACTACAAACTTTAGATCGTATATCATTAAGTTTCCCCTGGAATAATTGAGAGAAGAATACACAAGCATTCAGATACCTGGAATAGACATACATTAGAGTGCTTGACATTGAATAACAAAGAACAAAATAAATAAATAAAAAAAGCAGTACGCTATTTTGCTACCTAAAAGAAACAAACTATTTTATTTATTTTTTTTTATTTCAATTCTTGTTTCTTTTCCATTTCAAATCTTACCATTGAATCACACGACAAACAGTAAAGAGATTCCTTTTAACTGATATACTAGTTTGATTTAGATTTAACGTACGATTTAAAGAAAGAAGAATACGTGATACCAAGCCAGATCAAACCGCAATAAAAATAAAAGAAAAGAAATAAATAAAAAGTGTGTGCTTTATTTTTGGTGCTTCTTTTTCCCCCTGATCCAGATCAAGAAAAATAAACAAAAGAAAATTTTTTTATATAAACAACAAACACTTGTTCTTAATTACAGTTACACATTCATTTTTTCATTGGTAATCATTACCTTTTCATCTGTGTTAACTTGTCACAATTTCAAAATAATTTTAATAGTCCAATCGTTTTTTTTTTTTTGGTTTTTTTTTTTATTTTGATTTTGCTTTCTGTATCATAGTTCCAGAAACCCTTTCACTAAAATAAAAGAAAGTATTAAATAAATTCTAGATTATTCACACATTTGGATCTAGAGTTTAGAAAAAGTTTTATTCAATTTTTTTTTTCCTTATCCTTCAATTTGATTTATCTTAAATAAAGTATCCAATCTGTCGACCGATTCATATGTATCTGTTGAGTTTAGAACACTTGAAATGTCCAATAGTCCACATAGAGCTCATAAACGACAGAAATCTTCGATACTGAATCCAGGGTACTATTTCACGCCAGATCGGGCCGATCATCAACAACAACAACAGCACCAGCATGTTCCACTCAAACTGGAACCGCATGATCCACACCAACATCAATCCGAACCAAGTCAGGGTCCACAACCTACACCGCATCCATCGTCTACTCAGCCTCTGCAACAACTACAACAACAACATCATAATGTGTTGAGCAAGAACCATACATGAGTTATAATTTCCCTTCTTCGAGCAGCAGAACTCGACCATCAACATCTACAGCTCAACAGACTAGTGAACTATCTCATGAAAGCCATTCGGTACATACATTCCCCATTGAAACGATCTGCATCATCCGAATTAGATGCATCAATACCGGCAATGGCTGCCTCCTCACCAGTAGTAAGTGCATCTGCTGGATATTATTATGCACATCAACCACCACAACCACAACCACCACCACCACCACCAACAACAACAACAATGAATTTTCAAGATCATCATCAACAACAACAGTCACAAACTCTACATACTCAATTACAATCACCACAGCAGCAACAACAACAACTGCAAGCAGTTCTGCATTCCACTTCTTCATTACCACTTTTTGGAAATACAACAAATATTCATCCAGGAACTTCAATGCAACCAAGTGGTTCATTTGCATATAACATTTCGCATTCAACAACTAATCCATCTTCATTTGATTCATCTAATTTATATAATTCTGCATTTAGAGTACCAGAATACCCAATAAATTCTAATACAACTACCACATCTTCGTCTTCATTATTGTCTGCCACAGGTGGTAAACAGTTTCAACAGACTTCTGCATTATTACCATCAGGTACATTACCCCCATCGTCATTAGGTACATCTTCCACTTCCCTGCATGTTTCAGCTTTAAGACAGCATCAAAAAAATAATTTGTCTATTTCTTCCCATTTAACTTTGTTTAGTTTAAGTGGTAATAATCCACCACCTCTCCCACCACAGCAACCGCAACCACAGCAACACCCACTCCAACATCATCCTCAGCCACTCCAACCAATACTATCTGGATCTTCATCTTCAGAAGAAACAAAGAGGACAGACAAAGAAAATTCTGTTATTCTAAATGAGTTATTGTTCAATTTAACTTCAGTTGACGGTTCTAATATTAATAGCTTCTTACTCACCATGTTGCGCAAAATCAATTTGCCATTTACATTGGATGATTTTTACAACTTATTATACAATGATAGACAGCGTTCGTTGTTGGACAATATCAGTTACCAGAATAAAATTGACAAGACGGTTGTTAGTTCAAATACTAATGAAATGGCGGTTGACTTAATTAATCAATTGTTGAATGTTTTCAAGAATCCAAATTTACTAATTGAATATTTCCCTAATTTGGAAGATAAAGATAATAAGTTGGTTAATATCAATTATCATGAATTACTTCGTACTTTTCTTGCCATTAAAATTTTATATGATATTTTAATTCAATTGCAATTGAGTGATGAAGATGATCCACAACATTATACCATTCCAAGATTGTCCATTTATAAGACTTACTACATTATTTGTCAGAAATTAATTGCTAGTTACCCCAGTGCATCTAATACAAGAAATGAACAACAAAAATTAATACTTGGACAATCCAAATTGGGAAAATTGATTAAGTTGGTATATCCAAATTTGTTAATCAAACGTTTAGGCAGTAGAGGAGAGTCAAAATACAATTATCTTGGAGTAATGTGGAATGAAAATATAGTTCAACATGAGATTAAGCAATTATGTGAAGATCATGATTTGAATGATTTGGGAGAGATATTCAACAACGACCACAACAACCCTTTTGCAACTTTGGCTACTTCAAGTGGCAATGTCACCACTAGTTCATCTCCAAGACGAGGATTAGGTCATCGAAGAAATTCATCTAAGCTGAAACTCAAGTCTGAGAATATACTAGGCAATAATCCGTTTTTGCAGCCATTACATAGTTCATCTTCACTTAGTCAACCACACCAACAACAGCAACATTCTCAACTTCATCAACAACAACATCACCATCACCAACACTCTCTTCATCCTCAAAATATATCAGAACCATCATCAGCAGTTATTCCACAACAATTACCAGAATATGAAAATGCCATTTCTGCACCCCGTTTATCTTTTGTTAAACTGAACTTGAAATACCCTATTGATGTTAACTTTTCAGTTTTGGATGACAACAATTGGTTTGTTACTTTGCTTTATGAAAGCTATTCCAGACAACCAAGTATTAATCCAAGTTTGATTCAACAAATATTCCTCAAGAATGAGTTTTTGCTAAACAGTTCTAGTTTGTTAAGAAATTTAATCGATAGTGTAATCAAGCCATTGACCATGGAGGAAACTTATCCAAATGTTGATTTAACATTATACTTGATTATTATTCTTGAAATTTTGCCTTATTTATTGTTGGTGAAATCATCCACGAATATTAATTTGTTGAAAAACTTGCGTTTGAATTTATTGCATTTGATTAATAATTTGAATGGTGAATTGAAGAAATTAAATTCTCCAAAGTTCCCAATTGAGAGATCTACTATATTTTTAATTCTGGTTAAGAAATTGATCAATTTGAATGACTTGTTAATTACATTTATCAAATTGATTAATAGAGATTCAAGTAAGGCTATGATGTCCCATGATATTGAAAATTTCTTAAAGATTAGCTCACAAACCATCAAGATGGATGACGATGATAGCAACTTCTTTTTTAATTTGAATACTACATCAATGGGTGAAGTGAACTTCAGTTTCAAGAATGATATCTTGTCGAATGATTTGATTTATACTTTGATTGGTTATAATTTTGATCCAAATGTCAATAGTGAATTAAGAAATTCCATTTCCATGAATTTCATCAATGAAGAAATCAATATCATTGATGAGTTTTTCAAGAATGATTTATTGAATTTCTTGAATACAGACTTTGACACTGGTTTGGGTGGTGAAGTTGATGTGGATGAAGAAAGCGGTCTTGTTATTGATCCTACACCAACACAAAGAATTCCAACTCATGGTTCACATGGTGGGTCATTATCTCCAGAAGGTATTTCCACAACCAATGCTTCAGTACCACCAATTAGAAACACTTCGATGATAGATGCTCAGGCGGCCAATAAACAAGTACCAACCTCATCATCATCACCATCATCAAGTGGCAATGAAGCAGTTTTGACTCTGAAAGAAATGGTGAAGTTGAATTCATTGCTTAGTTTAATTGACAAAAGGTTGTTATCCAATCAATTCAAATCAAAATATCCAATTTTGATGTACAATAATTGCATTACTTATATCTTGAATGATATATTAAAATTCATCTTTTTGAAACAACAACAACAGCAATTACAAAGTACTACTGCTACTGGTGGAGCAAATACCGGTGTACCTGGATCAAGTGATACACAACAGGATCCAATTCCAGGATCAAGTACAAATAACGGGTCCAATAACAGTTTTGGTAATTGGTGGGTATTTAACTCATTTATTCAAGAGTATATGAGTCTAATGGGAGAGATTGTTGGGTTGCATGATAGTTTACAATAGACTTTATTTTTGTTCTTTTTTTGTTTTTAAAGTTAATTTTATTTTTTTTAATTATTATTTTGTTTTTTTTTTGATTTTTGTTTATAAATTCGTTAATGTTTGCTTTTTGCTAATGGTCCCAGGTTCCCACTTTATATAGGTTACGTTTTATTATTATTATTATTATTACTATTATCATCATTTATTAGTTTGTTATAAATCAATCCTTAATTATTATTACTACTATTATTACTACTATTATTACTACTATTATTACTATTATTATTACTATTACTATACGTGTTTAGTTTGTTTTCGTTTATCAGCGCATCTCATAAAATTTGCATCCATTTTGGTAAATGATAAATTGCGCCGCATTCCTTTCTCACCACCCGCGGTGTTCGACTTCCTTTAATTTGATAGCCCGTGTGATTGTGTGTGTGTGTGATTGTGTGGGGGGGGGGGGGGGAGAGAGGGAAAGAGACGGAAGTATTTAAAGCGACGGATTTGTTTTTTCTATTTCCTTTTATAATTGAAATATCCCTTCTCCCTAAGAAACATTGTCCAATTATCAATACTGAATTATCATTTCATACCATTCACATAATAAGCCAAGTTGGAAAAAAAAATGCCACATAAGAAAGTTGTAATCATAGGAGGTGGAATATCTGGAATTAAAGCAGCTATTGATTTATATAATGGAGGAATTAAAAATACCGTAATTTTAGAATCAAGTTCAAGATTAGGTGGAAGGTTATTAACTATTGAATCAAAAGAATATCCTGGAATAACTTATGATTTTGGAGCTTCTTGGTTTCATGATTGTTTAAATAATCCTTTATTAGAAAAAGCAAAATCATTAGGTCATGTAGCTTACTATTTTGATGATGGGAAATGTGTTTATTTTAATGAAGATTCTAAAAATATAGATAAATGGAAATTTGAAACTATACTTGATGAATTGATTACATATGGAAGTTACATATATACTAAAAATCCAGAAAAAGAAGATCTTTCAGTTAAAGCATTATCTGAAGAATATATTGGAAAATATCATGATACATTAACATCAGAACAAATTAATCTTGTATTAGGTGCAATTAGAATGTGGACAGAATTATGGCTTGGTGAATCTTGGGACTTAATATCTGGGAAATATTTCTTTAATGATCTGGGACATTTGGGAAGAAATGCATTTGTTAAAAATGGTTATAAAAATGTATTTATTAATGAATTGAAAGAATTACCTCGAATTTATCGTGATTCATCAATTAAATTTAATGCTCATGTTACTAGTATAGATTACGGTAATCCAGAGAGAATATTAATTAAATTAAAAGATGGAAGAAGATATACTTGTGATTATGTAATTTCTACAATTCCTCAATCTTTATTAAAAATATCAAATCCAAAAGATGAATGTTTTGTTGAATGGATTCCTGAAATTCCTCCAACTATTAAAAATGTATTACCTGATGTTAGTTTCAGTAGTTTAGGTAAAGTTGTTTTTGAATTTGATGAATGCTTTTGGCCAAGAGATGTTGAAAGATTTTATGGATTATCGAAAAATTCACCACTTCCAGATCAAACAAAACCATGGGATTATCCAACAATTTTAATCAACTATCAAGTAATTAACAATATCCCTGCTTTAATAGCATTGACACAAAATCCATTATCTAAATATATTGAAGATTTACCATCATCAGAAAAGTCATCCAAGATTTGGTCAATTTTCAAACCAGTGATTAGTCAAATAAGTACTATTGGAAATGAAATCCCTAAACCAAAAGCAATATATCATACTCCCTGGAATAATAATCCATTAGCTAGAGGTAGTTATGGTGCTAGTTTAGTTGGTACCCAAGATCCTTCTTTAGTTATTAAAGCATTTGTTGAAGGTCATCAGGATAGAATTAGATTTGCTGGTGCTGAAACTATGGATGATAGTTCCAATGGATGTGCTCATGGAGCATGGTTTTCTGGTAAACGTGAGGCAGAGTTTATATTAATTCAAGAAAGATCTAAAAAGTCCAAATTATAGGGTAACATGAAGTTCATAGAATTGTGTACAGTGTGAAATCAATTGGCATCTTGAATTGAACTGCAAAAAAAAAAAAAAAATCATTACATAAGCAATAAAAAGAAAATAAAAAAAAAAATTTTTTTTTTTTTTTCAATATTTCAATAATCATCTCTTTACAAGTATAGTTAACAACAGCAATGCCTACTGAATTAGAAGAATTAGTTTCATTTTTACATTCCCCACAGCCAGCAGTTGTTCAAATTGCTTTAGATAACTTGGTTGGTTATTCCACTGGTGCTCATCAACAAGTTTTCAGTTATGATAATTATGAAGCCATCAAAGATTTGAAAACTATTAGTAAAGGATCAAGTAAAACTATGGTTAATCAATCTATTACTATTTTAGCTAATTTATGTGATGATTTAACAATGAGAAATTTGATTGTTGAAGATGAAGAATATTTGAAATTTTTAGTTTCATCAATTTTAAATATTAAAAATACCAATGCTGATTTAATGTGTATTTTATTAACAAATTTAGCTAAAAATGATTTTATAAATAAAATTTTAGAATTTACTATTGAATTAAATGAAGAACAAAAGAAAATTTTCAAATCAAATCAAGCTATTGATTGTTTAATGGATTGTTTTGTTAAAGGATATGATAGAAAATTAAATGAATATGCAAATTATGATTATTTATCATATTTCTTTGCTGATTTATCAAGATATAAACAAGGTAGAACTTATTTTATTACTGAACAAGAATATGATCAAGTTGTTCCATTATCTAAAGTTTTAGTATTTACTGAAAAATATGATGATAAAATTAGAAGAGAAGGTGTTGCTTCAACTATTAAAAATTCTTTATTTGATACTAATTCTCATATGAAATTATTAAATGATGAAAAAATTAATTTATTACCATTTATTTTATTACCTTTAGCAGGTCCTGAAGAAATTGATGAAGATGAAATGTTTGAATTACCTGAGGAATTACAACTTTTACCAAGTGATAAAAAAAGAGAACCTATTTCTGGTATAATTTGTATTCATTTAGAATCTTTATTACTTTTATGTACCACTAAACAAGGTAGAGAATATCTTCGAGAAAAACAAGTTTATGCTATTGTTAGAGAATTACATAAAGCTATGGATGTTGAAGAAGTTGCTGATTTGTGTGATAGAGTTGTTCAAATGTTGAAAAGAGATGAAGCTCCAGATTCTAAAGAAATTGAAGAAATTGAAAGTGATTCTGATGATGAAAAGATTGTAGAAATTTTATAGAGAGACAATCATTTGGTATTGGTTTACACTTTTTAATTTTTGTATATGTATTAATGCTATGTAGTTTAACTACTGTATTCTTATTTTTATAATAGAGGTTAATAACTGAAAACAAAACAAAAAAAAAAAAAATCCTTCTTATGCATAAAATCAATTCAATTCAACGACTTTATTATTCTTTGAGAACCAACTTCCCATCAACCAATCTCAAGTTTTGTTTAACAATGCTGATAATTCTTTGTTTGTTTTCTGGATGGGCACTAACTCTACTCTTCAATCCAACAAGTAATTCTTTAGTTGTCAATGGATGATCACGGATTTTATCCAAAACATCATTAACAGTAACCAAAAGATTATCTGGTCCAGCATTATTCAAATCAATGACACCATTAGTTGATGCGTTACCTGCAGCAGCTGAAGGAGATGGGCTCTTAGCTTTTGGTACAGGTGAGGCTGATTTTTCTTTCTTGATTTTAGTATCGTCCAATTTGATCTTCTTCCTTGGTGATGCAACTTCTGGAGACGGACGTTTACGACCATTTGGATTCCAGTCGCCAGGTGGCATAGTAGATAAGAATGTTTGCGGTGCCTTAACAACAACAAACCCATCACCAGTGCTCTTTACAAACACTTCTCTTGGTCTTTGTGGCTTGGTAGCTTCGGAATCCCCTTCTAATCCTGGTTCTTTCTTAAGTGTAACTTCTTCCTCACTTTCTTCATCACTCTCCAAATCTGATTTGGAAACATATGGAACTAAAACATCTTCATCATCACTATCATAAACTGCACCTTCTCTCTTGTTCAAAACTTTTCTCAATTTCTTACCTGCTTTGTCCACTTTTCTGGCCTTTTCAATTTCAAACAAATCATCCAAATCATCATCATCTCCTTCTGCATCCAGCTGTCCATCAAAATGAGCTGCTTTCAACATTTCTTTTTTGATCTTTCTTTCTGATAACTTATTTTCTTCTTCATCTCCATCCATAATTGGTGCTTCCTCATCATCAGCAAATTCCTCTTCAAAATCCAAATCATCATGATCAGAATCTCTATCATTTCCTGAACCACTTCCACCTAAGACAGTTCTCATTCTTCCTCTTCCGCTGGTGTGATTTGCAATTATACTTCCATTCATGGCAGGTGAATTATATCTAAATCTTTGATCAGGAGTACCTTCAGAAATGGATTTATCCTCCATGTGTTTCATTAACCATCTAGGTACAGTTGAGTTTCTTTCCATTTTCGCTTCAGCCTCTTCTAATGTCAAAGTTGCATATCTATTTCTTGGTGTGAATCGATAAACTTTTTCTGCTGGAATCATTTTAAATCCATCTTTATCAAAAACAAATAAAACATGTTGCTGCTCAGTTGATCCTGCTTCATAATTCCCAACATAAACATTCTTCCCATCATAATCTTCAATAACCCATGGATAATGTTCCTCGTATCTTAATTTCCTCTTGGCTTCATCCATAAGATTGATTTGTCTAGTTTTTCGTTTAAATACATTCTTACGATTCTTTCTAGCACCTCCATCCGGAGCAACTTGTGATAAGTCCTTCTGGTTCTTGTCGGTTGGTTTCTCAGGTGCTATTTTTGCAGCTATCGCTTCCTTTTTCTTTCTGGCTTCCTCAGCGGCTACTGCATCTGGATTTCCTTCTGCTTCTTGTTCTCTTAATCTTTCTAATTTGGCCAATTCTTGCTCCTTTTTTCGTTGCTCCAATTCTTGTCGAGTTAAATGAAATTGCATATTTCGGGGATCCTTTCTGTGTAGTCTAACAGGTTTTGTAAAATCTTTTATTATATCAACATCTTGTTTCGTTGCAAATTTCATAATATGAAAACGTATATCATCAACTTCCTCTTTTGTACATGATTTTAAAGGAATTGTTTGCCATTCCAGTTCTTTTTGTTGTGGTTTTGGCTTGGGTTTTGATGGAGATGCAGTGCTGGAACTTGGCGTTGGACTACTCTCTTCTTTTTTCAAAATGACCTCCTTCTTGAGTTCTGGTTCTGGTTGACTCATACTGGAAGTTATTGGATAATATTGAAAGTGATTCTTTTGATGATTCGAAGAATACAGAAGATAACCAAATCAAATGGAAAATGGAGTTTCTCACTTGACAAGTTTTTTTTTTTTTTTCCCTTTTCTTCTTCACTTTGAATTCTTGCTTTTACTGGGAGATATAGTTGACTGGTTTTGAGGATTGTACACGACAATGTACCAAAGAGTGCAAATTATAAGATATGGTACGATATAACCTTTTTGTTCAAACAATTTTACCGAATATTACTGTCTATTTTAAATCAATCATTAATCTTGATCACAATTTTTAAAGTTCTTCTTGTTATAGTTCAACGCAAAGTAGTGAAACAGAACGATGAAAGACCTCTATCCTTTCTAATGATGTACTCAATCTGTTGGCGAAGAAACAATCTCTTTAAGTAACACGTTCTATTAGTGATTCAGAAAATTTTAAGACTAGATTACATCACCATTGGTTGGACTCCTGTCGTTATTAAATGAATATGAATGGAGAAATAGTTATTTCTTGTCAAATAATTGTTTTATTATATACTTCGATACCAATATAATTGATTACATGTGCACTTTATCATCTGTACCTAATTCATCGATCAGCGAAATAGTCCATGACCTCCTCATATCCACATTATGAGTCTCTAGAAATTCACCTTCAAAGCTGTTTCCCCCATCCGCCACAAAATCGCATGTCAATCAAACCAAAAAAATAGAAATCACGTCTGGAAAAAAAAAAAAAAATTCCAGCCGGAGTGCCACCACCACTACCACCACTACCATAACCAACCAGTATCACCATGGCAGCACCATCAGCACAGAAGAGATCCACCAACGAAGAACGTATTTCCAAATCAAGATTACTTAATGCGTCTATCCTAACAGTACTCACGGTTGCCATTTTCCTTCTATTGATCTACCATTTCATCTGGGCTGTACAGGTCATGATGTATAGACCATATGGGAACCTTTTGAACAATATAGTTTATGGTCCGGGTACATTGATTGCAAACGCAGGTTTATCCTCCAAATTAATCAAATATGTCAACACCAAACTCGTGGAGGATAAAATAGAGGCAGATTACAAAAAATACATATAACGATACGGTGAATCATGCATTGGTTGTCGTGATACCAGACGAGTCACAGTATAAACGAAGTACATCTAGTTCTAAATAATAGTCTTGTGATTGCAACATCATCTGGAGCTCCTCAATCCGAATCGGCTCAAACGAAAGTATTCTATCGTACATGGCTCGACCCTCCCGGATGACCGCGTCTAGTTTCATAAATATACACGATTGCAATTCTTGTTTGTCAGCCACAGCAAGAAGTTCATGCTCAGGTAGAATGAAATTGGATATCCCTTGTAAAATCTCCACCATTTTCTCTTTACCTCTAACCGGTTTCAATCCCCATAATTGGAACTTTTCTCGAAGCTGCGTAGCAGTGTGTTTGTCTATTGCAGTTGGCTGTGGTTGTTCTTGCACCTCTTCAGGTACAGGTACAGATTCAGGTTCAGGTACAGGCTCAATCAAGGATGAATCAAGTATATCATTTTCGACACCACCTATCTGGACCACAGGACTGGATGTGTCTTCGCACGTATCCTGCTTGTTGAGCCCAACTTGAAACAAATCAGTGCTTTCATCACCAGTGTAATCGTTATTGTGCACCTCTCTCGTGATCTCAATGATACTCACACTATTGTCTCCTTCACCACCTACCAGCTCCTGCGAATCAGGTATCTCTTCGTACTCAACGTCCTTGGTTGGCACTTCCACTGGAATGTCGTCTCCGATCTTGCGTAGCTTGATGTTGTTTTTCTCATCAGTATAGTTCTGTACTTTCAATGCAGCCGACACCTGCAACACCGTTGTTCTCATTCGCTTCTTAGGCACAGTTTTCACCATCGGCATGGACGATAATGGCTCCACGTCGTTATCATTATCATCACAATCGGTATCACTCAGTTCTAGCAAGATAACCGGCGACGTGTGTTTTGGTGTGCCAAATGAAGTCCTGGCCGTGGAATATATAGACTCCACATCAGTAAACACTTCCTCTTGTTGCTCTGTGTTTTCTTCGACAATCTTGATTGGACTCAGTGGATTACTACTTGCGACTTGCACAACATGCATCCTTGTCCCTTGTGGTGTCTTGACAGGTGATACAATAGGAGTCGAGTCACTCTCAACTGTCTCACTAGCAACTGATGGCTGTTTGTCGTTTACTGGTCCAGAAGAATCATAGATCGATCGCAATACTTGTACTTTTGTACTCACTTCCTCTGGTTCAGGATCAGAGTCCAGGATGAGTTCAACAATATCACTGTCGTCTGCTTGTGTGGATTGCACATTCTCTTCAAGCACAACTATCAGCTGATCCGAACACACCTCCTTGTTCACTGGCTGTTCGAGTGGTGCGGGAACAAACTCTGGAGTACTGAATAGCTCTTGTGTTGGAACAGATGATTTAATCTCCTGTACCGACGCATCAGCACCATCCTCCTGTGTCAGTGCTTCTGACTGAACCTTTGTCTGTGATAGAATAACCACACACGGTTCAGACACTTGTGTTGGCTCCAGCATATCCCCAATAGCACTAATAGTGGTCTGATTAAACACCGTGCTTGAATCGAGATCATACAAACTCTCGAGCTCCTCTTTGGTCATCTTGGTCTCCGGATCCGCCGATGCTTGTGACAACATCCCACACCCTTCTCCTAGTTCCTCTTGCGGTTCACTGTAATACCGTTGTATCTTCTTCCTCAACAATTTATCCTTCTCGTTCGACTCCTCGTGGAACTTGCTCAATGATTCCCATTCTCCCTGACTTATCAATTTAGAACTTCGATCACTCTCATTGCAACCGTCCACATCGCCAAATCGGCTCATCAAAAACCCATCAATACTACCCTGTTGTTCTCCATTCTTTCGTGATCCATACATCTGTCGCACCGATTCACTCAGGGACATATTCTTGCGTGGTTTAGACACTTTGAGCTTTCTCTTTTTCGTCTTTGTGGTGTTCGTATTTGTATTTGTCTTCTTGATATGTCGTATTACCTTCTGTACGGGGATAGGTGATTCTGAGTCGGTGTCTTCATGTTTGAAACTACTTAGACGCGATATTGATCTTTGAATGGACTGTGCGTGTGATTCTTCTGCTAGTGTCTCCTCGTGTATGCTCTGCATTTGTGTATTGTGGAAATACAAATTATCTTCTGCATGCAGCTCTTCCCCTTCGGGACTCATCGTGGTCGGTTGTCTGTGTGTGTGTGTGTGTGTGTGTTGTGATCTATTCGTGGTGTATTGGATTTGACGTGTGGAGTTTTCATCGCGTGCTATTTTTTTTTTGTTTGATTTTGTTCTGTGTGTGTTTAGTAAATCCACCGCGATTGTGGATATGCCCATTTTGCAGTCGAAACTGAGTCAGTTGTTACAAGCAACATGGTTTCTGAAGTGTGACAATTGTGAAAACCATGGAACTATCAAATGCCCCCAACTTGTCACCAAACAACTCCACCAAAAGAATTACTAATCACATCTAATGTTGTTTGTATCATACAAAGAATGACTCAACTAAGCTATAGATACAAACAACTCTGCCAACATCATATCACATCACATTACCAAATTAGTATTTGTCTTCTATTACCGAGATCTAGACAAATTCAATGATCAAATATTACTACTCATTACTGTTTCTCCGGAGCACAGTAAACACAATACAATCAATGACGCTTTAGCCATTTCCTACAAACCACCACATGTGACGTATTGCTTCTCATTACCATCCACCTCCGGAAATTGCCCAAATCTTCAAAAGTGGTAGATCTCTATTCCTAGTAATCAACCCCACCAACCGGTGTTTCCCGTACGGAAATGAGGCTAATGACGTATGGCAGAGAGAAAGAAAGAAAGAAAGAAAAGAAAAAAAATACGCACCACGGATTATTGTTTCTCCGTGTGATATTTAAATGTATATCCACACTTGAACTAAACAAGCACTTTGTTCGAAATAACTATAAATAGAGGTGACTATCCTCTTTCATGGATTGAATGTTGTTTAGTATTTTGTTTCTACATCAGTTATTTATATAATTAACTACCTCCTCCTTCTCCTGCTACACAAACAATCGATTCCAATATTTTAAACATGAGTTCCGCTGCTACTACTACTGCAACTGTTTCTACTGCAACTGAATCTACTAAACATGATGCTTTACATGATGGATTCCGTTCCACTTTTGGTAATTTCCATAAAGGTGCTGACAAAAGTTATCACAAGATGACTCTGGGTACTAAGAAAGTATTTGCTTCTAAAGCTTTCAGTTCTTTAAAACCACAATAGATAAATTGTGGATAATGATCTATTACGACTGGTGGTGCTTTGAAATGCACCTGATTATTAGCTATATATGATGTTTTATGATTTATGAGTTATGCTAAGTATTATTATTATTATTATTATTAAAATATAAAAAGCTCTTTTTTACATTTATGAAAAGATTGTAGAGAATATGGAACTTAGATTTGAAGAAAATTTACAATATTTTGAACGACAGAATGTTTAATACCTCAATTATACATCATCATCGACAGAAGTATGTACACTTACAAATGTTAGAATCCAGTTCAAGTTAGTTAACAAAAATTTGCAACTAGAAGTCCAATCGGAATTAGATGTAACTCGGATACTTTTCCCACCGATGGTATCCTTTTGAATTTTATAAGGTAGGACAATTTCTGGATCAATCAATAATAATTTCTTCTCAATAATAGCAACAATATCCAATAAGGCAATTAATGCAATATCCAACTTATTAAAGTTAAACAATTTACCCAAGGAAAATTCATCTGATGAATATAAATTAAGAACAGTCTTTAATTTACTTGAACCATCTTCATTTGTTTGATTATTAAATTTGATAATCTGAGATTGTGATCCTAATGGCACCAACTTATAGGATTGCAAATTTAATTCCAAACGTTTGACAAGAAACACCAACAATAATACAATTTGACCCAAAGCTGCATTTACTTCTGGCCATATGATTTTATGACCAATACGAAATCCATTAATCGTAGCAAATTTGTCTTGGCTATCACAGGAAATGTGGAAAATTCGATTGTAAATGTTAAGATTTCTTAGCTTATCAATGTGATCCAATTGTACATCATAAGCTGCCTTTGATTGTTCCAACCTCTTGTTCTTTTCATTAAGTTCTATTTGTAGCTTATTTTTCAACTTCAAAATATCATTCAATCCATTCTTTCGAAGATGATCCAATTGTTTCTCGTAGTCATTTAGTTGGCTCTCCAATTCAAGTTTCTGATTTTCTAAAAATTTCAATTCTTTTAAACTTTTCATTTCCAAAGTACTCAATTTTTGAAACTCTTGAATAGATTCAGCTAATTTTTGGTCCAAATCTTGATGTAGTAAATCTGGATTAACTTTGTTTTCTTCTTCCCCTTCTGTTTGGTCATTTTCTCGGACGTATAAATTCAACTGACTGTCTTTATCTTTTAACTTTTTAAGAAACAATAAATAATTATCTTTCTCCTTTTGACTTTGATCAAATTTCAATTTATAATTCTCAATAAGTAAATTAGCACAGTCTTCTGATAATGGGTGATTTATATCTTGATTATTTGACAATATTGAAAATATTGTACTCAACGTCTTTATTCTATTTGACATCCTAAAATCTCTTTCTTCATCGATACTTTGACTTTCAGATTTGGTGTTATTACCTGAACTTTTACTTGTGTCTTCAAATTCATCAGATTCATTAAGTACTAGATATGAATTTGATTCTGAACTAAAGCCAGAATCATTGTAATCCCCTTCATCCTCTTCATCTTCATCATCTTCACTTTCAAAATAATTACGGCGATTCATTGGCTCTTGATCACTTATTTGTTCATACATCTCTAGTCTATCCTGTGGGATATAATCTTCTGGGTTTAAATCTTCTAAAATTTGTGAATTTGCCTTCTCAAATAACTTATTCTTTCTGGTGTTGACTAGTAATTTCAATTGAGAATTGTTTAAATTTTGCAAACTTTTATCCAATTTCAATGGTGAATCACACTTTTGACATTGAAAATGACTATCGCTTGACATGAATGTATGTATGTGCGGTGTTGAATTGTTGTTGAATATCTGGTCAGGTTAATTTAGAGATTGTTATCCTTTTTGTTTGAAGTGTTTAACTGATTAAAAACAAAAATGTGCGACACACATCAATGAATGCGGCGTTGAGTTTATTTTCCTATTTGAGAATATTATAATTCATCCTATTTGTATTGTTTTATTTGTTCGTCTATATAATTCATGATCTTTTTCCCATAATCATCGTCTTTCAAGTCACTTCTAATCAATCCAAATCTACCAAATGATATAATATGATCACCCTTATTACGTATAGTAACGTCTGGAGATAATCCAGCAAATAATAATGTATACGCACCAAATTTTTGATCATGAAACAATAAATCGTATCCAAACTTTCTGAATCCGCCGATATGTCTTTGTATTCCGGTTTTCAAATATCCAGGACAAATAGAAATACTGATTGCCTTTGAATATGGATGATTGATATTCCATTGTCTTGCTTGAATTAAATTAATGGTTTTACTTTGACAGTATTTCGTTTTCAAAGTAACATCTGTACTTTTGAATTCTGGATCCGATAAATGCATACCACCTAATGGGGAAAACATATGGGCACTGGAACTTAGCCAAACTATTCTAGATAAATTATCAGGATTTGTTCTTGCAGTTTTTAAAAATACTGGATCAAGGAGATTCTGTAACAATTGAGGACCTAAACAGTTTGTACCAAGTTCCATTTGATAACCTTGTTTGGTCTTCATAGATTCTGGACATTCCATTACTCCAGCATTATGGAAAATTATATCTAATCTATCTTCAAGAGTAAGGAATTTGTCCACGGCAGGTTTTATTGAATTTAAATCACTTAGATCGACCTGGATAAACTTGAGATTGTCTGTTGTTTTCAGATACTTTTCAGCTATCTCTAACTTGATCTTATTTATGGCATCAATTGATTTGTTTTCATTTCTGGCCCATATATAAATTCTGGCATCGGTATTACCAGCTAATAATTTTGCAGTTTCGTAGCCAATGCCGCTATTACCGCCAGTGATAATCACTACTTTATCTTTTAAATACAGTTCTGGAATATTCTTCTCAGTAAATTCTGGTTTATATGGCCAAAATCCATATAAAACTTGGTACCATTCGTGGAAGGACAATCGTGGGAATATAGGTTGACTCATTGGACAAATTACTGTGTCCCCATAGCCCTAATAGAAAAAAAAAAGACATTGCTAATACCCCGATTTTGTAATCGTCGTGGCAATGTCGCGCATTCTTTGTGAGTTGATTGTTTCTGCGAAGAGTACAAGAGAACGAAAAAATTTTCAGCTTGAGGAAAAAATTATTCACTTCTTCTTTTCTTTCTTTCTTTAGTAAAGTTTTTTTAAGAACATTGAATAATGATATAAAAGTATGTAATTAACCTATCTACATTTTTAATCATGTTGATTCAGTGGTTTTGAACTTAATTTAGTGATGACAATACTGTGTCTTTAAGGTAATTTACTCCTAATGTTAGCACAATGATTTCTCAATAGACTACAACGGTATCTGATTTTTTTTTTGGTTTATGAATTCCACTAATCCGCATGAATAACTACAAAACTAGAAATTTTATACTAACTACTAGAAGAAATTCAATTTATTAATGGGTAAAAGGAATAACAAATATTTAAATAAACTATATAGTCAACCATTGCCAATAACATTAACTTCACAAAAGTATAATGTGTCATTGCCTGAATTATATCCTCATAATCCAATCTCATGGATATGGTATTTAATGAGATATTTTCAAATAAACATATTCTATCCTGTCCCTGAACTGACTAATCATCCTCTACCTGTGATCTACGATGGTGAAATTTTTAAAGTGACCGATGAATCATCCATCAATAACTTGTGGAGACAAGGTTTTTTCGGGAAAGGTGTATTATCTAGATCCGAACCAACATGGTATCAACGTACGTTGGTTAGGTTAAACCTTGACGATGGTGGTAAGGATAGTAATAACTTGGCAATGGAAGACATCACTAAAATTAGACGTAACGAAAGAAAAATGTTTAAATTAGAACGTGCTAGATTTCAAGAATTAGAATTAAAGAAAAGACAAGGTGTTATTACCGATGATGAATTGAAAGATATGGAAAAATTGGACGCTAAATTGGTTGAGTTGAGAAAAGCTGACATCAAGTTTGATGAAAAAGGTAACCAATTGGAGGAAATAAGAGATGAAGATGAAGATATTATTGATGAGGATGGAAAATTGTTGCCATTGGAATATTTACAATTGCAACCTGTCGAAGCCTTTTTCTTGAAATTTGCCTTGAATAGAATTCAAGTCGATGGAATGAACTCCACATTCGATTTATTTCAAACATGTTGCTCACAATATGAATCTGTGGTAACCCCAAACAATAGATTTATTGTGGATTATGCTGTGTATCATTATTTCCGATCCAATGGATGGTGTGTTAGGTCCGGTGTCAAATTTGGTACTGATTTCTTATTATATAAACGTGGTCCACCATTTATTCATGCAGAATATTGTGTGTTGGTCATGACTAAAGACACTGATTATGATTGGTTTGAAATTGCTGCTAAAGCTAGAGTTATTGGAAGTGTCAAGAAAACATTTGTATTATGTTATGTTGATTCTCCAAGTCAGGAGGTATTTGACGAAATATTGAGCCAACAACAATCCCAATTAGATCATGGTTTATTATTCAAACAATTGTTTGAACAGTATAAGATCAGTGAAGTAGTATATAGACGTTGGAATCCTAGCAGGACTAGAGATTAAATATATATATACATATATAATTGTTATCATTTCTTTAAATTATATGGGGGAAGAGGAAGAGGACGTATAAGTGCGTATAATTAAGCACACCATTGTTCTGTGTACTGTTGACCATGTTGACACGACCCCATCTCGAATTTTTTTTCTTTTATTTTACATTTTTTGGTGTCCGACATTTTTGGTCTATAAATAGTCAATAAAATTCGTAGCGAATCCTCATTGGAAATTTTTTTTTTTTTGAGTTTGCCAAAATTACTATGGTCGTGCAGAACTCACCAGAAAACAACAACTAGTAAACACCAACTTAACAGAATTATAACCGTTTTTAATAATTATTATTACCACCATTCCATTACAATATTGACAAAGATAATCTAATAATGTCGAATTTACTTGACTTGATAAATCATGATGACGATGACAGTTACTTGCCTTCACCTTCACCTCCGCAACCACAACCTACAAAGCAACAAGTGGAATCTTCACAACAACAACAACAAAAACAACAACAGCAAGCAGAACAAGAACCAGTAGAAGAGTTACCTACTTCAATTACACAAGAACACATACTAGCAAGTTTCGAAAAAATAAAGACTCATTTCCCTGCAGCCAGAATTAAGAAAATCATGCAAAGTGATGAAGAAATCGGTAAAGTTGCCCAAGCTACTCCTATTATTGTTGGTAGAGCATTGGAAATATTTATGGCTAATTTGGTAGAAGGATCATTACTAGAAGCCAAGAAGCAAGGTGTCAAAAGAATAACTGCATCACATGTTAAATCTGCTATTGAAAACACAGAACAATTTGATTTTTTGGTGGAGGCTGTTGAGAAATATCCTTCATTAAAGAACTAAATCAATTTACCATATTTAATGTGGTATAACGAAATGGATTACGAGATTTTTATAGAGAACCAACCACCAAAAATAAAACATACTGCAAAAAAAAAATCAATCAATCAAAAAAATAATATAAACTAAAACTAAAATTTACACAATTTGTCTTAACAGGGAATCCTTTTTTTTTTCCTACCAATTTTTCAATTCTAAAATTTGTATATTATTCTGTAAATCAAAAATGAGATATATTTAATTAATTTACGTGTATAATTAGGCTTTTATTATTTACAATACCTGAACAAAGAGCGATATTATTGAAGACAAATCATCGACAAATGAGATATTAAAGTTGACACGAAGCGGTGTAATTTTTTTAGTTTTCATTAACGCAAGGCGTGTCGATATCGAAGCTTATTCTCCCCCCCCCCCCATCTTCAGTAAGGGTCGACAATACAAACAGTATCGAGTTCCTGCGAAATACAACAAAGCTCTATGCTTTAATTACATTGTTCTGGAATTCTTCCACCATCTCTCCGAAAACAGTGATGTGCAATTTCCCCGAACAAAAAGATGAAAATTTTAAAGAAGACAAAAACAAAACTATAACTGGTTTAAATCATCGTTCGTTGGCTTTCAAACTTGAGTCGAATATAAAATTAGTCAACCTTTAGTAACAAAGGGTATTTGGTAAATCCACGTCATAGATTTTTCTGTTGATTGCTACAGTTAGATTGTTGCTGTTTCTTAGCCCGTTGTCACCGCCCATTAGTGATTGTCTCGTTTCAGTAAAAAATATCAAACCCACCCTTAATAAGCATATTGAGCAACTCTATGATATCATAAACCCCGGCTTTTGTGTAATGTCGGTTTGTTTGTATTATTTCGCCTTAGCTCCTCCTCCACGATTCTGAGAAGACAGAACAAGGGGAAAGGAAAAAAAAAAAATAAAAAGTATATAAATCCTTTATCTTTTCAGCCCGAAGATTCTCTCCAATTTTTATGAAAGATTTTTACTCTTCTTTATTCATAACCAACCATTACGAACTCAAACTATGGTACACAACAAATCAAACTTGAGTCTTGCAAATAGAAGACAATCCTCATTTTTCAATCAATTACCCCCAGCCGAACCAGATGTTTATTACATTGGGGTCGATGTCGGTACTGGTTCAGCTCGTGCTTGTTTAATTGATACCAATGGTATCATTTTGGGTTTAGCAGAACGTCCAATTAAACGTCAAGAATTGCAATCCAACTATATCACTCAAAACTCCACTGAAATTTGGAACGCTATCTGTTACTGTGTTAAGTCGTGTCTTAGAGATTCAGGGGTCGATGCTCTGGAAGTATTCGGAATTGGTTTTGATGCTACTTGTTCTTTGGTCGCAATCTCCAAACTGTCTGATAAACCTGTTTCTGTTGGTCCTGATTTCGATGATAATGAAGAAAATATCATCTTGTGGATGGACCACCGTGCTGTTGATGAAACCAATGCAATCAACGCTACTGGTGATAAATGTTTGAAATATGTTGGTGGTCAAATGTCCATTGAGATGGAATTACCAAAAATGAAATGGTTGAAACACCACAAGCCAGGTGGTATTAAGGACTGTAAATTTTACGATTTGCCAGATTTCTTGGTTCACAAGGCAACCGGATTGGAAACCAGAAGTCATTGTTCCGTCACTTGTAAACAAGGATTCCTCCCACTTGGTGTCGAAGGTAGTAAAACTGGTTGGTCTGAAGAATTCTTGATGGAAATCGACATGCCAGAATTGGTCGAAGATGATTTTGACAGATTGGGTGGTATTCCAGGTAAAAATGGTATTTATTTGACTGCTGGTGATGTCGTTGGTAACTTGACTGCCGAATCTGCTGAAGAATTGGGTTTAACTACTGATTGTATTGTTGGTTCACCAGTCATCGATGCTTATGCTGGTTGGGTCGGTACTGTTGCTGCCAAAGCTGATGTTCCAGTCTTGCAACAAGAAGACGCACAATCTGACGGATCAATTGGTACTGCTTGTGGTAGATTGGCAGCTGTTGCTGGTACTTCAACTTGTCATCTTGCAATGACTAAAGAACCTTGCTTTGTTCATGGTGTTTGGGGTCCATATAAAAACGTTATGGCAGAAGGCTATTGGTTAGCAGAAGGTGGTCAATCCATTACTGGTCAATTGCTTGCACATGTTTTAGCTATTCACCCAGCTAACCAAACCTTGATTAGAAGTGCTGAACAATCCAACATTTCCAAGTTTGATTTCTTGAATATGACATTGGAAAACTTGGTTAAAGAAAAGAAAGAAAGATCTGTTGTTTCATTGGCTAAACATATGTTCTTCTATGGTGATTTCCATGGTAACAGATCTCCAATTGCTGACCCAAGAATGAGAGCAAACATCATTGGTCAATCCATGGACAATTCTCTTCAAGATTTGGCTCTTCAATACTTTGGTGCTTGTGAATTTATTGCTCAACAAACTAGACAAATTATTGAAGAAATGGAAAAATCTGGCCACAAGATCTCCAGTATTTTCATGAGTGGTGGCCAATGTAGAAATGGTTTGTTAATGAGATTGTTAGCTGACTGTACTGGATTACCAGTTATCATTCCAAGATACATTGATGCTGCAGTTGTTTTTGGGTCTGCTTTGTTGGGTGCCGTTGCTGCTGAAACTGCTGTTGCTGAATATTGTGCCGACAGATTGAAAGCTAGAAGAGCTTCAATTTTGAATCCACCAAAACAGCACCAAGATGGTAGTAGCTCTCCATACACTGCTCCATCAGCCACTTCTACTAGTAACTTGGCAACTTTAGCTTATGTCGGTGGTGGTTCTCATCAAGCTCTATCTCAATTGACACCAATGAATGAAGAAGCTGATTACTTTAACCAATCTACTCAACAACAACAACCACCACTTAAGGATCCTAAACATTCTTCTGCAATCAAGAGTGATGATGAATCTGATGAAGAAGCTACTTTATCATTTGGTTCCAAGACTCAACATCAACAAGGTGTTTTGAAAAAGAAGATGGATGCTAAGGCAGCCGATACAAAACCAGGATCTGCTTTATGGCGTACAATGGTTAAATTGACTGGTCCAGGTAGAGTTATTAACCCAAGTTCTAAAGAAGATCCAGATAGAAGACTTCTTAATGAAAAATTCAAGGTTTTCTTGGAACAATGTGAAAGTCAAAGAAGATTCAGAGATATGGTTGACAAGATTGAAGAAGAAAATATTAAGAATGCTAGTAAATCAACCACTGCTACTGCTTAATGCCAGTTAGAATGTTAGAAATGCTGTCTGCTTTTTTTAAAAACAAAAAAATTATTTAGAAACGTTTTATATATGAATAAAATAATAATAAAAAAAATAAATGAAATAGTTTTGATCTAGATACTACTGTAGATTTTTTTATTGAAGCCGGAGCAATTTCCAACTCGTAAAATATATACGATTTGAAATTCGGAAAAAAAACCAACTGTCCTAATTAATCCTGTGGCGCCAGTTATTCCGTATAATTGAATTCTATTGTAAATAGACAAGGCTCTGAATACTGGGGATGGTATGCAAGAGAATAAAAAAAAGTCAAAAGAAGGAGATGTTGTATTATGGGTTGTTTTCAACAGACTCTCATATTACCTCCCAATAAATCTATATCGATATGCGATTTAGTATTAGAACGATTTACTATTATCATAGAGACAACCAACGTGGGAGTTAAGCAACACGTTGTACTGCTATTTTTTCCTCCTTCTGGTTGATGAACAATTGTTTCAATAAGGGTTTAAAGTTTTGTGGATACTTTTGTTTAAGAAAATTGAACTAAAGATTAAAAACACAAGACTATATTCTCCTCCTCCTCCTTTTAATTTTGTCAATCAAGAGAAATCACAGTAGTCACAATACTGTTACAATTTTTTAGACGAAATTGGTTTGATTTCTGTATGAAAATTGTAAATGCGCGGCTAGGCCATAAAAGAGGAAAAACCCTTAGCTAAATAATCAAAGAGAATGGCATTTGCAACATTACAACAAAGCTTATCTAAATGCTCTTTTGTTTGACATAAAATATACTCAAAATATTAGATTGGGAATTATTTGAAGAATTGCCGTTTATTTATTTTACAGCACGGCTCTTCTGGTGGACCTCTCTAGGATATAGCCTCTCCTGAAATATCGTAAATACGGAAGATTTCTACGAAGAAAAGAACATATCCCCACAATTTTGGCTATATGACAGCAGTTTAATTAAAAATGACGAATTTTTAATTATTGTTGAAATTACATAACCATTGACATGTCTTTCTTTGAATTCCATTATCTTTATCAGTAGACCGCAATTAAATCCAAAGGGCGAAAGAGAATCATAAAAAGAAAAACCTTGATTGCTCACACACACACACACACACACACACACGATTGCTGTTTCAAAGTAGTGCACTTGTGAGAAAAAAAATTTTTAGTTTTTTTAGTCAACGAAAAATCACATCAAGTCACGTGTGATTTACTATTGGCTGCGAAATATTTGCCTTTCAACAACAAAAAAAAAGTTTCTTTTTTTTTTTCTCTCTCTTTTGTATCGTACAACAACATCTGGGGGCGGTAACGGAGTACGCAGATCTAGGGTCAAAATGGTTCACAAATCTTTCAATTTGACAACAAACTGGTCCTAAACAAACCGTTTGATACTTGAAAATCATGAAACATTGACTACATGTTCTTCTTCTCTGGGTAAATTCTATTTTTTTGTTTTTGTTTTACATCAAAATATGATTTTCTTAACTTCTCCAGTAAAAATAATATAAAAAAATTGATCCGAATTCAGTGAATACTTCTACACAAGGTGAAAACTTCTCCCAAATTCTAAAACTTAATAACTTTAATGTAACCAGGTATTAACAATCTTGTGACCCACGTTTTTTTTATCATTTCTGATTGAATATGTTTCCATTTACTCCACTGGTTATATGATTTCTTCAACTTATAGGTCAGGAAGTATAATGTGACACAAAAAAAACTTTTCATTCACGTGACAAGTAATCATTGTGGATCCTCCTAATTTAAATATCAAGTATCCACAACGATTTTTCCTCCTTAAACGTTAGTCATGGAATTTTTCCTTAATATTATTTGTTTAATTAGGTTTATTTTTTCTTTTTCTTTCGTCATTATTATAGAATTCTTTTATTTTTAAAAGAAGTTTAAAAGTTGATCCTTATTGGAGTGGTTTGTATTAGAAATATAATTGCAATAGAATAATATAAATATCAATTCAGGTTTCGTCCGTACTTTCAAATTTTCAATAATTCTATTCTTTTTTTTTTTCTATATTGAATACAATATTAGCAAGATAAAGAATAAAAAGGATACTTCAATTCACATTAGTAATCAATTGTTGCTGAATAGATCATTATTATAACATATAAAGATCCATAGAATTTCAGTCATAGATATACATATAAAAAAAGAAGATCTTTTACAATTTAGTTAAGAAAAGGTATCATCAATTATATATTTATAATATTCGCCTTTTTACTTACACATACTTTACATTGCATATTTAATTTCATTTCATTTTCAATATCAATATGACACATTTACTTGAACAAGTCAAGTCAATAGCGTCTCAACCACCAATTGATGACGTTGAATTGCCTCATTTATATGGTGATGAAGATCACCATCATAGAGAAAGAAAATCACATGACTTCCGTGATGAACAATTCAGTAATGCAGGAAGTAATAGCTACAATAACATCTATGTTCCTGCTTATGAAGAACGTGAAGTTACTGTTTTAGAATGGTTAAAAGTTCTTTTCGCTAATCCATTACGTCAGGCTACTGAATACTTACTTTCATTATTTCCAATCCTTAAATGGATTATGCATTATAATCTTAGATGGGCATACAGTGACTTGGTTGCTGGTGTAACTGTTGGTGTTGTTTTGGTTCCTCAATCTATGTCTTATGCTCAATTAGCTGGTTTAGAAGCTCAATATGGTTTATATTCTTCTTTTGTCGGTGTTTTCATTTACTCATTCTTTGCCACTTCTAAAGATGTTTCTATTGGTCCTGTTGCTGTTATGTCCTTACAAGTTTCTAAAGTCATTGCTCATGTTCAAGGTAAATTTGGTGATCAATATGCTGCTCCTGAAATTGCTACTTTCTTGTCATTAATCTGTGGTGGTATTGCCGCTGCTATTGGTGTATTGCGTTTAGGTTTCATTTTGGAATTCATTTCTATTCCTGCTGTTATGGGCTTCATGACTGGTTCTGCTTTCAGTATTATCTCTGGTCAAGTTCCAGGGTTAATGGGTTACAATAGTAAAGTCAATACCAGAACAAGTACCTATTTAGTTGTTGTTAATACTTTGAAACACTTACCAGACACTACCATTGATGCTACTTTTGGTTTGATTCCATTGGTGATTTTATATTTTTGGAAATGGTTCACTGAAGTTGGTCAAAAAAGATGGCCAAAATACAAGGTGTGGTTTTTCTATATTCAACAATTAAGAAATGCTATTGTTATTGTTGTCGCCACTGCTATTTGTTGGGGTATTGTTCATCCAAAGAAAGTTGCTTGGACTGGTTCTGACAGTGATTTCAAACCACCAATTAAAACCATTGGTGAAGTTCCAAGAGGTTTACGTAATGTTGGTCCAATGACAATTCCAGATGGTATTATTGGTGCCATGGCTTCTGAGATTCCTGTCTCTACTGTTATTTTGTTATTGGAACACATTGCCATTGCTAAATCTTTTGGTAGAATTAATGATTATAAAGTTGTTCCAGATCAAGAAGTTATTGCTATTGGTGTTACTAACTTGGTCGGTACTTTCTTTAACGCTTATCCAGCCACTGGTTCATTCTCCAGATCCGCCTTGAAAGCTAAATGTGGTGTTAAAACTCCATTGGCTGGTATTTTCACTGGTGCTGTCGTTTTGTTAGCTTTATATGCTTTGACATCTGCTTTCTACTATATTCCAAAAGCTACTTTGTGTGCAGTTATTATTCATGCTGTCTCCGATTTGCTTGCAAGTTATAAAGTTACCTGGTCATTCTATAAAATGAGTCCTATTGATTGTGGTATCTTTTTAATTGCTGTTATTTTAACTGTTTTTGTCACCATTGAAGTTGGTATTTACTTTGCCATTGCTGCTTCTGTTGTTATCTTATTGTTCAGAGTTGCCAAACCACAAGGTCTTTTCTTGGGTAAAGTCAAAGTTGCTGAAGTTGTCAATCCTGTTATTGAACATATTGGTGATGAATCCGATGAAAATGATACTACTACTTCTGAAATCGCAAGTGCCAACTCAAGTGATGAATTGGAAATCCATCAAGTCTTATCCAAGAGTGAAAAATCTGATCCAGTTAAGGATAAATCAAAGAAGTTGAATTATAAAAACGTCACTAAATCTCTTGATGTTACCACAGCTGCTTTGGCTAGAAACAATCCAGAAATCAAATTCCATACACGTTGGGTTCCAATTACGAAAGAAAATATCAATGCTGGAATTAACGTTCAACAACCACCACCAGGAGTTATTGTTTTCAAACCAGTCGAATCATTCACATATCCAAATGCATCTCATCAAGTTGATAGAGTATCTGATCAAGCTAAAAAACTTACAAGAAGAGGAAAACCATTCAATTATTCATCTGTGGGTTCTAGACCTTGGAATGATCCAGGTCCATTGAAATGGAACTTGCCTTGGAAAAAGAAGAATGCTGAAGAAGATGATGAAAATGAACCAAAAGAAGACACTCGTCCACTTTTACGTATTGTTCATTTTGATTTCTCCACTGTTTCTTCCATTGATGTTACATCACTTCAGGCATTGATTGATTTGAGAAAGGCATTAAATACTTATGCTGATCGTGAAGTTGAGTTCCATTTCTCAGGTATTTTAAGTCCGTGGATCAGAAGAGGTTTGTTGAATGCTGGTTTTGGTACTTATGAAGATGGTTTACTTTCTTCTAATAATTATGTCAACATTGCTGCTGGTTACGAAGATCTTGAAAATCAAGTTGATGAACCATATTTTGCTGCCACCGGTACAAATACACCTTTCTTTCATTTAGATATTCCTGATTATTCATAAGCATGTTCTTTGTAATAATCTATTTATTTTATGTTAGCATTTTTTTCATTCTTAATTAGTTTGATTTTCTTGGGTTTTAGTTCTTGATTCATTTTTACTTTTTCTTTTATATTTGTTATAGATTGACTTTATTGTTTTAGATTTTTACATGTTTGTAATTTAATTATACAAAAGAATATTTTTTTGTGAATGACTAGAATTGGTTATCTGTAGTTGATGATTCTTTATTACTTGTGGTTGTCTGTGTACTTTTTAAAAACTGGCGATGTTGGCTGTCTGAATTTGCGTACACGAAACGCGTCCAAGGATTTTATTTTTCTTTTTTTTTTTTTTTGGATTCATAAAAAAAATTTTGAAAACCTTTTCCTCTGTATTTATTTTATCTTACAACAACAAACCATAAAGTAATGACTGATACAATAGCTAATGAACCAGAAACAATTGATCTAACGGTTGAAGAAAATTTTGATGAAGTTGAGAAAGGATCTGACTCGTTAAAGAGGAAGGCTGAGAATGAAGAACAAGTGGAAGCAACCAAAAAGGCCAAAACAGATAAAGTAATGACGGCTAAAGAAAAGAGGGAATTAGCTCGAATTGAGAAAGCAAAGAAGAAAGAAGAAGAAAGACAAGAGAAACTTGAGCGAAAGAGAAAATTAGATGAAGAAAGAGAATTGAAACGAAAACAGGCGGAAAAGGAAAAGGAAGAAAAGAAGAAAAGACAAGAGGAAGAGAAACTTGAAAGGGAGAGAAAGAAAGAAGCAGAAAGGATACAGAAGGAAAAGGAGAAACAAGAGAAGGAAAGGATTAGATTAGAGAAAAAGAAGAAGATTGAAGAAGAAAAGAAAGCTAAAGAACTTGAAAAGCAACGTCTTGAAGAAGAAAAACGTAAAGCTGAAGAAGAAAAACGTAAAGCCGAAGAAGCAAAAGAAAGAAGTCAAATGAAAATTTCCAGTTTTTTCCAAGTTGGTCAAAGAGTGAAATCAAATAAATCTACATTGTCAAATAAATCTTCTAACACAGATGATAAAACGGTTGTGAAATCTGCTTATGAAAAGGAATTTTTACCATTTTTTGTGCAGAAAAATGTCACATTAGCAAATACAACTAAGAATGACATTACACAGTCTAAGAACGACTTGGACAATTTATTAAGTGGAAAAGGTGCTTCTTCAAAACAGTCATTTAAGGAATTTCTACTGTCTTTTGTCAAGCCTTCCAGGGGCAATACCACTACAATCACACCGGAAGAGATAATTAATGCTTTAAATTCGTCAACTACAACCGAACAACAAGTTTATCTGATGATTGGAAGTCTTCCCCCAATTAAGTATATCAGTTTCTATGAAAATTCAAAACCGCCATATGTTGGTACTTGGTGCTCACTAGCCCACCAAAAGATTCAAAATGATATAATTAACAATCCATTAAATACAGATCTCAGTGGTCTAGATTATGAGTATGATTCTGACTTGGAATGGAACAAAGAAGACGAAGAGGGGGAAGATCTTGGTAATGATGACGATGATGAAGAAGAGGAAGAAGAAAGTTCAACAATTGAAGACGATGATGATGTCGAGTTTGTTGAAAATGATTCTCAAAATGGCACAAAGAGAAAGAAATTTATATCTCTTACTGTTGTTAATAAATGGAATGATGATGAAAATAAGGAATTTTTTGATAGCTATACTACTGTTAAGCTAGTTGATATTCCTGATCCAATTGATCCATTTTGTAATTATTGGGGTATTCAACCAGCACCTCAGCAACAATCTACAAGTACTACTGGTGTTAGTTCAACAATTAATGAGTCCAATTCAGTCAAAACAAGTGCTACAACTGTAACAGGAACAATATCAAGTCCAAATATTCTAATAGCACAGAAGAAGACCATAAAAGATGCAGATGTTTTATCAAATTTGATTAAGTTTATTGAGAAGAATGATGAATTCACCATTAGTACATTGGTTGAATTATCAAAGAAAGAGTTCAAAGATTTCACCAAAGCTTTGATTAAGAACACCATTCAGGATATTGCTATATATAATAAAAAACAATCAAAGTGGGAGATAAAACAAGAAATGAAAGAGAAGTATCTAGTAAATGTATGAAATATAACAGTAATAAATACAAATCAACTAGTTTTATATCACAATATATTCTGTATACGAGCAGTGCACTCTCCTATATTCTACAATTTGATGAATCTTTTCATAAACGTGATCAAACTTTTATCTATTTTACTACTAATAATAATAATACTTAGCATAACTCATAAATCATAAAACATCATATATAGCTAATAATCAGGTGCATTTCAAAGCACCACCAGTCGTAATAGATCATTATCCACAATTTATCTATTGTGGTTTTAAAGAACCGAAAGCTTTAGAAGCAAATACTTTCTTAGTACCCAGAGTCATCTTGTGATAACTTTTATCAGCACCTTTATGGAAATTACCAAAAGTGGAACGGAATCCATCATGTAAAGCATCATGTTTAGTAGATTCAGTTGCAGTAGAAACAGTTGCAGTAGCAGCGGAACTCATGTTTAAAATATTGCAATCGATTGTTTGTGTAGCAGGAGAAGGAGGAGGTAGTTAATTATATAAATAACTGATGTAGGAACAAAATACAAAACAACATTCAATCCATGAAAGAGGATAATCACCTCTATTTATAGTTATTTCGAACAAAGTGCTTGTTTAGTTCAAGTGTGGATTTACATTTAAATGTCACACGGAGAAACAATAATCCGTGGTGCGTAGTTTTTTTCTTTTCTTCTTTCTTTCTTTCTTTCTTTCTCTCTGCCATACGTCATTAGCCTCATTTCCGTACGGGAAACACCGGTTGGTGGGGTTGATTACTAGGAATAGAGATCTACCACTTTTGAAGATTTGGGCAATTTCCGGAGGTGGATGGTAATGAGAAGCAATACGTCACATGTGGTGGTTTGTAGGAAATGGCTAAAGCGTCATTGATTGTATTGTGTTTACTGTGCTCCGGAGAAACAGTAATGAGTAGTAATATTTGATCATTGAATTTGTCTAGATCTCGGTAATAGAAGACAAATACTAATTTGGTAATGTGATGTGATATGATGTTGGCAGAGTTGTTTGTATCTATAGCTTAGTTGAGTCATTCTTTGTATGATACAAACAACATTAGATGTGATTAGTAATTCTTTTGGTGGAGTTGTTTGGTGACAAGTTGGGGGCATTTGATAGTTCCATGGTTTTCACAATTGTCACACTTCAGAAACCATGTTGCTTGTAACAACTGACTCAGTTTCGACTGCGAAATGGGCATATCCACAATCGCGGTGGATTTACTAAACACACACAGAACAAAATCAAACAAAAAAAAAATAGCACGCGATGAAAACTCCACACGTCAAATCCAATACACCACGAATAGATACACACACACACACACACACACAGACAACCGACCACGATGAGTCCCGAAGGGGAAGAGCTGCATGCAGAAGATAATTTGTATTTCCACAATACACAAATGCAGAGCATACACGAGGAGACACTAGCAGAAGAATCACACGCACAGGCCATTCAAAGATCAATATCGCGTCTAAGTAGTTTCAAACATGAAGACACCGACTCAGAATCACCTATCCCCGTACAGAAGGTAATACGACAGATCAAGAAGACAAATACAAATACGAACACCACAAAGACGAAAAAGAGAAAGCTCAAAGTGTCTAAACCACGCAAGAATATGTCCCTGAGTGAATCGGTGCGACAGATGTATGGATCACGAAAGAATGGAGAACAACAGGGTAGTATCGATGGGTTTTTGATGAGCCGATTTGGCGAGGTGGACGGTTGCAATGAGAGTGATCGAAGTTCTAAATTGATAAGTCAGGGAGAATGGGAATCATTGAGCAAGTTCCACGAGGAGTCGAACGAGAAGGATAAATTGTTGAGGAAGAAGATACAACGGTATTACAGTGAACCGCAAGAGGAACTAGGAGAAGGGTGTGGGATGTTGACACAAGCATCGGCGGATCCGGAGACCAAGATGACCAAAGAGGAGCTCGAGAGTTTGTATGATCTCGATTCAAGCACGGTGTTTAATCAGACCACTATTAGTGCTATTGGGGATATGCTGGAGCCAACACAAGTGTCTGAACCGTGTGTGGTTATTCTATCACAGACAAAGGTTCAGTCAGAAGCACTGACACAGGAGGACGGTGCTGATGCGTCGGTACAGGAGATTAAATCAACAGTTCCAGCACAAGAGTTATTCAGTACTCCAGAGTTTGTTCCCGCACCACTCGAACAGCCAGTGAACAAGGAGATGTGTTCGGATCAGCTGATAGTTGTGCTTGAAGAGAATGTGCAATCCACACAAGCAGACGACAGTGATATTGTTGAACTCATCCTGGACTCTGATCCTGAACCAGAGGAAGTGAGTACAAAAGTACAAGTATTGCGATCGATCTATGATTCTTCTGGACCAGTAAACGACAAACAGCCATCAGTTGCTAGTGAGACAGTTGAGAGTGACTCGACTCCTATTGTATCACCTGTCAAGACACCACAAGGGACAAGGATGCATGTTGTGCAAGTCGCAAGTAGTAATCCACTGAGTCCAATCAAGATTGTCGAAGAAAACACAGAGCAACAAGAGGAAGTGTTTACTGATGTGGAGTCTATATATTCCACGGCCAGGACTTCATTTGGCACACCAAAACACACGTCGCCGGTTATCTTGCTAGAACTGAGTGATACCGATTGTGATGATAATGATAACGACGTGGAGCCATTATCGTCCATGCCGATGGTGAAAACTGTGCCTAAGAAGCGAATGAGAACAACGGTGTTGCAGGTGTCGGCTGCATTGAAAGTACAGAACTATACCGATGAGAAAAACAACATCAAACTACGCAAGATCGGAGACGACATTCCAGTGGAAGTGCCAACCAAGGACGTTGAGTACGAAGAGATACCTGATTCACAGGAGCTGGTAGGTGGTGAAGGAGACAATAGTGTGAGTATCATTGAGATTACGAGAGAGGTGCACAATAACGATTACACTGGTGATGAAAGCACTGATTTGTTTCAAGTTGGGCTCAACAAGCAGGATACGTGCGAAGACACATCCAGTCCTGTGGTCCAGATAGGTGGTGTCGAAAATGATATACTTGATTCATCCTTGATTGAGCCTGTACCTGAACCTGAATCTGTACCTGTACCTGAAGAGGTGCAAGAACAACCACAGCCAACTGCAATAGACAAACACACTGCTACGCAGCTTCGAGAAAAGTTCCAATTATGGGGATTGAAACCGGTTAGAGGTAAAGAGAAAATGGTGGAGATTTTACAGGGGATATCCAATTTCATTCTACCTGAGCATGAACTTCTTGCTGTGGCTGACAAACAAGAGTTGCAATCGTGTATATTTAGGAAACTAGACGCGGTCATCCGGGAGGGTCGAGCCATGTACGATAGAATACTTTCGTTTGAGCCGATTCGGCTTGAGGAGCTCCAGCTGATGTTGCAATCACAAGACCATTATTTAGAACTAGATGTACTCCGTTTATACTGTGACTCGTCTGGTATCACGACAACCAATGCATGATTCACCGTATCGTTATATGTATTTTTTGTAATCTGCCTCTATTTTATCCTCCACGAGTTTGGTGTTGACATATTTGATTAATTTGGAGGATAAACCTGCGTTTGCAATCAATGTACCCGGACCATAAACTATATTGTTCAAAAGGTTCCCATATGGTCTATACATCATGACCTGTACAGCCCAGATGAAATGGTAGATCAATAGAAGGAAAATGGCAACCGTGAGTACTGTTAGGATAGACGCATTAAGTAATCTTGATTTGGAAATACGTTCTTTGTTGGTGGATCTCTTCTGTGCTGATGGTGCTGCCATGTTGATAATGGTTGGTTATGGTAGTAGTGGTCGTGGTGGTGGCACTCCGGCTGGAATTTTTTTTTTTTTTTTTCCAGACGTGATTTCTATTTTTTTTGGTTTGATTGACATGCGATTTTGTGGCGGATGGGGGAAACAGCTTGGAAGGTGAATTTCTAGAGACTCATAATGTGGATATGGTGAACTGGCAGATGGATTGATGTATGATGCTGTCTTACGCATAACAACCAGTCAACTTGTGGAAAATGTCAACCGGGCAATATAGGAATAGAAACTTACTGCAACAGTTAAATAAAAACCTTAAATTCAAATTTACCAACTAGCAAAGTAGTTTCAATAGTTCAATTTTAAGCTTGAGTATTTTCAAGTGCTCATTTTGCAGTTAATTAAAGGGTCCCCTCAGTTCAAGAACCCCCTCTGAGTATGACACAACATTAAGACTACGACATGATACTAGTAGGGTTCAGGTCATGTATCACATTTGTCAAATTATTAATGACATTAGAAATGGTTGCAATGACTATTTTGTTGTGCTATTATTTTAACTTTTTCTTCTTCATTTTTTTTTTTTTTTTGGAGAGATTTGGTGACAATTGTTTAGTAAAAAGAAAAGACTCGTCACACTTGATAATTCCAATTTCTACAGCATTATCATTTATCATTTAAGCCACTTTGAAAAATGGGGTGACGTTGTTATCTAAAGCTAAATGTATGTTGTCAGTTGACATTCGAAATATGGAGAACTGATCAATGGGAGGGAGGAACGGAAAGATATGCTTTGGTTCCATATGCACCCCTCTTGATATTTAAGGTCTATCGGATGTTAGTGCACTACAATGTTGCTTTATCTAGCATGTGCTGCTAATCCGGCATAAGGGAACAACACTTTTTTTTTTCTTACAAACAAAATATTCCTTTTTCTAAATATGAACACGATTATACATTGCAAATCAAGTAATTACGTATGAATATATATATAAAAAAACAACAAACAAATCAAACCTTAGTAAATAACCTATACCATAAAATAATCATAATTGAGAACTGAAAATCAAAAAAGAACCCTCTCCCTTTTTAGTAATTTTTTTTATTTTAAACCGCGATGTGAAAAATAAAATGCAATTAGTTGTGGTTGTGTCTTTTTTGAGCAATTGCCAATGGGGAGACGTTAGAAACTTTGAGTCTGTATTCAGCAAAGGTACGGAAACTGTTACCGTGACTTGGAGCCCATTTGTTGATCACAACAGATCTAGCAGCTGGTTGTTGTGGGATCATCTTTTTGATGGCATTTTTTTGGAAGTTGGATTTAGTAGTTTGGGATAAGAATCTTCTGAACATTGTGATAGTAATTGAGCCAATTGAGTTAATTAATTGTAGAGTAAAAAATAAAAATAAAAAAAAAGAACAGTTCTTAAATTCTAATTTAGAAAAAGAGATGATTTCTACATCTTTTTATATTGTGGTTTCGGGATACTAATCCCTATGATATCCCCCTAGTTAAAAAAAATTTTCATTCTTGTGATGGTGTTGTGAAATATTTCTTTTTCTTTTTTTCTTGATGACACACAAAATAAAAGGTACCGTACGTTACTTACAGATTGTGTTTCGGTTTGGTTAGCTGATTTTTTTTCTGTGTTGTCTTGTTTTGGCTCTCTCCCCTCTTCTCTTCCCATTTTACTACGATGGTTTCGCAATTCCACTCGGCCCAAGCCATGCCACAGTGCAGTGCAGTGCACCCGCTACCAAAAAATGGAGGGGTAATGAAAAAATTTTTTTTTTTTCTGTTCTGTTTGTTCTCCTAAGTGCGAGAAAGAATAAAGAAGAAGAAAAATTTTCACAATTTTTTATTTTGCAATCTGACCAATAATAACAATTTATCAGTTCTTATCTAAAAGGAGTTGAGAATTATTAATCCCAACTAAAGCAAAAGAAAAAAAAAAAATAAAAAAGCGAAGAGAAAGAGAAAGAGGAAGAAGTTGCATTTCACTATTCTTCTTTTGCATTACATTAGGCGTAATCTCCGTGCAGCAAATAGCAATTTATTCACTATTCATTTCTTTCCATCGTTTCCTTCCCCCTAATTATTGCACCATTATTTATTATTTTGTCTAATCTCTAATCTTGTTTTATTTTTCACTGCCCACTTGCACTATGACGTTTTCTTTTAGTGCAACACGTGGAACCACATATTATTCAATATTCTAAACCGGTAATCAGGAGACTTTTTTTTTCTCTGTTCTAAAGTACGGGCTTTAGATTATTCAATTGAATATTCCACACACACACACAAGATCTTGTATTCCATTACATCTAAAATTGGGGAAGTAAGGTGGGGGGGGGAAAGAAATATACTCTTTTTACAATTGCCAGACAGTTATTCTGCTTAGGTTTTCATTCTCACACCATACTGTATAGATGAACAAATCAAACATCCTGCATAATTTAAGAGATAACAATATTGGGAAGGTACTTTTCTTTCTTTTAAACTCCTCTTTTCTTCAATTGTACCGAAACTATGAAATAACAGAAGAGAGGGGAAGAGTAGGTTAAGTGAAAATACGGAAAGACGCTATCATTTATATACAAGCCTTGATTTATTCGGTGAAATATCTCCAAATTGACTCATCGTTCAATTTTTCAACAGATTTGTCTTGATTTGTGATTTAATGCAAGAATGAATGAAATTTGCTACCAAGAAAAAAAAATACTACGTTACATTGGTGCGATTAAGAAAGGGAAATTACAGTAATTTTTTTTTTCTGTTGCTCTCTTTACACACTTGAATTTAATCCGAGGTGTAAATAAATTCTTTGACTCTTTTTCTTCTTCCCCCCCCTTCCTGCTGGAAGTTAAAGTGCGACAACAAAGAGGAAAATATTTGGTGCACATGAGAACAACGCGGTGCTATACTTCCGAGTCAATTTTTTTCTTTTCGGTTCTTTATTGTTTTTGTTCAACAATTCACTATCCTTGAGATTTTCTTAGCATGATAATTTTGATTGGCTTGATAAAGTGAACGATCTATGGTGACTCAAGTTAATTATCTTTTGTGATATTTATACCAGTAACAAATACGTTATGAATTGAACCAATTTCGGATAATTTGGACCCATGGAAAAAAAATTTTTTTCTTTACTTTACTTAAGCTTCTAACAGTACGATGCATTCCTAACCATCTACCGGTTAACGCTTTACGTAAAGTTTTTTTTTTTTTGACAAGTTGTTGATGTCAGAATAATTTTTATGTATAAGGAATGACTTCACTCATTTTTAATTGTTACTTTGTTGTTTCTTATTGTCTTGCTACCTTTTCCCCGACTAACCGCTGTTTCACATGAACAGAAATCCCCAAATTTTAATAGAATGTTATCAGTTCAACTTGATCTATTTTATAATTTTTTTTCTCTCTTCTCCTTTAAATTGACCTAAAATGAGATAGAGAGATAAGAAGGAGGGGTGGAATATAAACAAGTGAAGATCTTAAGTTTGCTCTGGTTAATCTAATACATATGTAATATGGTCAAGAGTTACTGGTTCTAATAACATCTCTGTCTGTCTCTCTCTCTTGTTCTCGATTGCACCTTCCCACAGTAGTTTAAGCACAAAAGAAGAAATTAAGAAAATAGCGTGACTCATCTGGGTACCTCCCCATTATCAACTAGAGAAACTGTTACACAAGAAGGTATAAAAAAAAAAACAAAATGAATCAAATATTCCATCGCCAATACAATTGAGCGTATTAAAATTAAAAACTCCGAAACTAATTACTCAACACAAAACTGAGAACGACTCAATTTAATTTAATCAACTATGTGCAGGACACTTAAAATTTTCTTTCAACAAAAAGCAAAGGTATTTAAATAAATGTTTATTTCCCAACAATCAAATTCAATTCAATTTCCCCCAATTCTTACGTTACACTTTTTTCTTTCTTCTATCCTTTTTTTCATTATTATTAGTAATTGTTTGATTGAATTTAAATCATCAACTTTTATATATCTACATTCTATATTCTCCCCATTCCTTTCTTGTCTGTTATAATAGATTATTGGGATTTTTATTTTTACCATTTTTTTTTTTTCAATTCAATTCAATTCTTCGTCCACTTACCATACACACACACGTACATATAAAAAATGTCTGTACCAGTCCAAAAAGCTAACAGTCAAGATACAAGAATCAGTCAGATGAGAAGAGATTCTACTGTTTTGGGTCCAATGAACAAGATATTGGTGGCCAACAGAGGGGAAATTCCAATCAGAATTTTTAGAACTGCCCACGAATTATCCATGCAAACAGTTGCTATTTACTCCCATGAAGATAGATTATCCATGCACAGATTAAAAGCTGATGAATCTTATGTCATTGGTAAAAAAGGTCAATTCTCACCAGTTGGTGCTTATTTACAAATTGATGAAATCATCAACATTGCTAAAAAACACAATGTTAACATGATCCACCCGGGTTACGGTTTCCTTTCGGAAAATAGTGAATTCGCTAGAAAAGTCGAAGAAAACGGAATTATCTGGATTGGTCCATCTTACAAGACAATTGATGCTGTCGGTGACAAGGTTAGTGCTAGAACTTTAGCTATTGAAAATGACGTCCCTGTTGTTCCAGGTACCCCAGGTCCAATTGAAACCGTTGAAGAAGCTAAGGCTTTTGTTGACAAATACGGTCTTCCAGTTATTATTAAAGCTGCCTTTGGTGGTGGTGGTAGAGGTATGAGAGTTGTTCGTGAAGGTGACGATATTGAAGATGCCTTCAAGAGAGCCACTTCTGAAGCCAAAACCGCTTTTGGTAACGGTACTTGTTTCATTGAAAGATTCTTGGTCAAGCCAAAACATATTGAAGTCCAATTGTTAGCTGATAACTATGGTAATGTTATCCATTTGTTTGAAAGAGATTGTTCTGTTCAAAGAAGACACCAAAAAGTTGTTGAAATTGCTCCAGCAAAGAGTTTGCCAAAACATGTCAGAGATGCTATTTTGACAGATGCCGTTAAGTTAGCAAAAAGTGCCAACTACAGAAATGCTGGTACTGCCGAATTCTTGGTTGATGCTCAAGACAGACATTACTTTATTGAAATTAACCCAAGAATTCAAGTTGAACATACCATCACTGAAGAAATTACTGGTGTTGATCTTGTTGCCGCCCAAATTCAAATTGCTGCTGGTGCTTCATTACAACAATTGGGATTATTACAAGATAAAATCACCACTAGAGGTTTTGCTATTCAATGTAGAATCACTACTGAAGATCCAACCAAAAACTTCCAGCCAGACACAGGTAAAATTGAAGTCTATAGATCTGCTGGTGGTAATGGTGTGAGATTGGATGGTGGTAACGGGTTCGTTGGTTCTATTATCTCCCCTCATTATGATTCCATGTTGGTTAAATGTTCTTGTTCTGGTTCCACCTATGAAATTGCTCGTAGAAAGATGTTGAGAGCATTGATTGAATTCAGAATCAGAGGTGTTAAAACCAATATTCCATTCTTGTTGGCTCTTTTAACCAACGATATCTTCATTAAAGGTGACTGTTGGACTACTTTTATCGATGACACTCCATCCCTTTTCCAAATGATCAGTTCTCAAAACAGAGCCACTAAGATGTTGTCTTATTTGGCTGATCTTGTTGTTAATGGTTCTTCCATTAAAGGTCAAGTTGGTTATCCTAAATTGGAAACTGAACCTGTTGTTCCAGATATTCACGAACCAAAAACTGGTATTGTCATTGATGTTAACAACACTCCAGCTCCACGTGGTTGGAGACAAGTCTTGCTTGAAGAAGGTCCAGAAGCTTTTGCTAAGAAAGTTAGAGCTTTCAAAGGTACTTTGATTACTGACACCACATGGAGAGATGCTCATCAATCCTTGTTGGCCACCAGAGTTAGAACCATTGATTTGGTTAACATTGCCTCCACTACTGCCTTTGCCTTGAATGGTGCATTTTCATTAGAATGTTGGGGTGGTGCCACTTTTGATGTCTGTATGAGATTCCTTTATGAAGATCCATGGGCAAGATTAAGAAAATTAAGAGCTTTGGTTCCAAATATCCCATTCCAAATGCTTTTGAGAGGTGCCAATGGTGTTGCTTATTCTTCCTTACCAGATAATGCCATTGATCAATTTGTTAAAGAAGCTAAAGACAATGGTGTTGATATCTTCCGTGTCTTTGATGCTTTGAACGATTTAGAACAATTGAAAGTTGGTATTGACGCTGTCAAGAAAGCTGGTGGTGTTGTTGAAGCTACTGTTTGTTACTCTGGTGACATGTTGAAACCAGGTAAGAAATACAACTTGGAATACTACTTGAATGTTGTTGACGAAATTGTCAAATTGGGTACTCACTTTTTGGGTATTAAAGATATGGCTGGTACTTTGAAACCAGCCGCTGCCAAGATTTTGATTGGTGAAATCAGATCCCGTTACCCAGACTTGCCAATTCATGTCCATACCCATGATTCTGCTGGTACTGGTGTTGCCTCAATGACTCAATGTGCTGTTTCAGGTGCAGATGTTGTTGATGCTGCTTCCAACTCTATGTCTGGTATGACTTCTCAACCTTCTATCAGTGCTCTTTTGGCTTCCTTTGAAGGTTCCATTGACACCGGTCTTTCTGAATCTATGGTTAGAGAATTGGATAACTACTGGGCTCAAATGAGATTATTGTACTCTTGTTTCGATGCTGATTTGAAGGGACCAGATCCAGAAGTTTACCAACACGAAATTCCAGGTGGTCAATTAACCAACTTGTTATTCCAAGCTCAACAATTAGGTTTAGGCTCTCAATGGGTTCAAACCAAAGAAGCTTATAAAGTTGCCAACTCCATTTTGGGTGATTTGGTTAAAGTTACTCCAACTTCTAAAGTTGTTGGTGATTTAGCTCAATTTATGGTTTCTAACACTTTAACTGAAGAAGATGTCAATAGATTAGCTGCTGAATTAGATTTCCCAGATTCTGTTTTGGACTTCTTCCAAGGTTTGATGGGTACTCCATATGGTGGATTCCCAGAACCATTAAGAACTAACATTTTGGGATCCAAGAGACAAAAATTGAATGAACGTCCAGGTTTGACTCTTCCACCAGTTGACTTTGTTGGTATTAGAGAAGAATTGAGTTCTCGTTATGGTGGTCAAATCACTGAAACTGATATTGCTTCATATGTCATGTATCCAAAGGTTTTCGAACAATTCAGAAATATTATTGACAAATATGGTGACTTGTCTGTCTTGCCAACTAAATACTTCCTTAAACCATGTGCTATTGGTGAAGAATTAAGTGTTGATATCGAACAAGGTAAAACCTTGATTATCAAGTTGTTGGCTGTTGGTGATATTTCTGACAAGACTGGTAACAGAGAAGTTTTCTTTGAATTGAATGGTGAAATGAGATCTGTTTCTGTTGAAGATAAAGCTGCTGCTGTTGAAACCAGAGTTAAACCAAAGGCTTCTTCACCAAACGATGTTGGTGCTCCAATGGCCGGTGTTGTCATTGAAATCAGAGCTCACAGACATCAAGAAGTTAAGAAAGGTGATCCAATTGCTGTTTTGAGTGCCATGAAAATGGAAATGGTTATTAGTTCACCATGTGATGGTGAAGTTGGTGAAATTGTTATTCATGAAGGTGATTCAGTTGATGCTAATGATTTGATTACTAACATTATTCAACATTAGAAAACGGACGTTTTGTTTTTATTAATGGTGTGTATTTAGTTTATATTATTGTATATTAGAAAGAGTTCTATTTTTATTATTATTATTATTATTATTATTATTCTACGAATGAAATGATATTTATTTTTGTTTTTAACAAAATTGATTAAAAAATTCGCTTATGTATTCTGTTTTTGGGAAATGTGCACCTCGTTTGATTTCTATAAAACAAACTAAATCAATTTAGTTAAAGTATTTCAAATAAGAAGCATCCAAAGAACCAGCAGCAATCAATTCTTTAGCAGCTTCAGTTATAGCAGCTTTAGCAGAAGCAGCATCAGCATCTTTAACTTTACCAGCAACTTCACCCAATTTAACATCATCGAATTTTTCAAGTAATAAATCGATATCAGCATCAATTTCAGTAGCTTTAGCAGCATCACCGAAATGATCATTGTCTTTAGCAGCACCTCTAATAGCTCTCTTATTCTTCTTTTTAGCGGCTTTAGCAGCTTCTTTAGCTTTCTTAGATCCAGCTTTAGCAGCAGCAGCTTCTTCAGCAGCTTTTTTGGCGGCTTCTTCTTCAGCAGCTTTCTTAGCAGCAGCTTCTTCAGCGGCTTTTCTAGAACCAGCTTCTTTTTCCCATTTCTTAGCGGCTTTTTCTTTCTTAGCTTGATCTTTAAATAATTTAATTCTTGGATCTTCAGCATGAGCTCTTTCAACAATCTCAATAATTCTCTTGTTATCTTCTTGCTTCAATTTCTTTCTGTTAGCAACGTTTTTACGTTCAATATAACGTTTATGATCTCTATTAGCAGTATCATCTGGAACATCTTCATCTTTAAATTCAAAAGTTTTCCAAGAATCAAATCTACCCCAGAAATGATAGAAAGCATCAACTTCTTCTTTAGTACTTTCTAAAGTACCTAATAATGGAACTGGTTGTTTAGTAGAGAATCTAGATTCACTTTCAAAAACAGGACCCCAAGCTTCAAAGAAATCATATTTAGATTTTGGAGCTGGTGGTTGTGGATCATTTTCAACATCAACAGAATCATATTGTCTTCTTTTAACTGGATCCAACATAACTTCAAAAGCTTTTTGAATAATTTTGAAGAAACCATCATTTTCTAAACCACCACTAGCGGATTTCTTATCAGGATGATGTTTTAAAACTTGTTTTCTATGAGCTCTTCTAATTTGATCTTCTGTAGCTTTACTTCTTAAATGAGATAAACCTAAAACAGCATATAAATTAGCAGTTTTCCATTCTCTTGGATCATGTTCTAATAATTCAGCACTTTGTTCTTCATCTCCTAAATCTTCATCTTCATTAACTTCAATTTGTTTAACATTTTTTTCAGCTTCTAATTTTTCAAATTCAGACCAAGTATGTCCACGTAAAGTTCTAGAAGCATGAGCTAAGAAATAACGACCAACTGGTTCAATTGGACGACGAACTGGAGCGGAGTATTTACCGGTGGCTTTGAAACCGTCGGTGGTACCTGATGGTAAAACAATAGACATTGTAGATTTAATAATTAATGATGAAAGTTTAACCAAAGTCTCTTTTTTGGTTTTCTGATGATTGAAGAAAAAAAAAAAATTTTTTTCCCTGGTTGCTTCAAATTCGATGGTTCAGAAATTGAAAGAAAAAAAAAAAAGTGCGTGCGCTTATCAATTACTTTTGTCTACTATGAATAATTAAAATCAAGTCAATAGAATGTGTATAGATGTATATTTTACTCTTTAATGGCAGACATATCTAAAACTTCTATAGATCCTTCACCTTTTGGAACTTTGTTACTTCCATCTGAATTATCAATAAGACCAACCAATACTCTATAATTTATAGGATCAATAATACCAACAATTTCATATTGTTTACCATTATTATCTTCTTCAACAATTTGATCAATATTTGGTTTGATATCATCTTGGAAAGTTTTCAAATATGCTTTTTTAGACAACATAATTCTAATTTTCATTTGAGCTCTAGCAATTGGAATTATTTGTTTTTCAACTAATAATTTAATTGCATCTAATGCTTGAGTTTTAGTTGGTTTTGTTGGACTTAAATGAAATTTAAGTTCATTTAAAACTTTTTCAATCATACTTGGTGGGTATCTTTTCTTTGATCTTGGATTTATACATTTAGTTGAAATTATATTTAAAAATTCATTTTGTTTTTGTTGTAAATTTGCATTTCTTTCTTTTTCATTAAGTTGAATTTCTCCTTTATTTAAAATTTCTAATATAATTTCATCTTGATTAGTAGTTCCAAAACTTTTTTGTAAATCATCATTATTTGCAACTTGTCCTTTAGATACATTAATGAATACTTGTGGAATTTGTAAAACTTCATCAAGATCTTTTTCAACTTTCAGTCTCCAATCTTGGACTTTATTTTGATAACAAGCAATTTCAAATCTTTTTTTACCCTTTTTCATTCGTACAAGAGAAACATTTGTAAGTTTAATTTGACTATTTGGTTGATTGATAACGGCCATGGTTAGATATTATCTATGCTGATGATTGTAATGAATGAATCTTATTATCAATGTGATGCCTCTCTTTTTAGTTTTTTTTTTTTTTATTTTTTTTTCCCTCTCTTCTTCTTGTTGGTACAAATGAGGATTTTGCTGAGAACAATAGTCTTTTACTCTGCAAATATCAGTTGAATCGATTCTACATCATTAACGTTTAATGCCAAAAAAAATGAATATATTTATACTGTAGTTTTTCTTTTAATGAAATACTATTGACAATTATAAAAACTTATTTTAAACAATATGGAAATCTTTTGAATATTTATGAACATTAAATAAATGCAATACATTCCTTCTTTTCAGTCAAAAAAAGTCAAAAAAAAAATTAAATCACACACAGATAATGATACTAGGTTTTTCTTTTTTTTTTCATATATCTAATTTATTAAATTATAGATTGACTTATTCGTCATCTTCTTCATCGGCTTCAATGAATTTACCTTTAACATCTCTCCATAATTTACCTTTGTTATGAGCATCCCACCAGTTGTTGATAGCAACATCAAAGAAACCTTGGAAGGCAAAGGCACCAGCAAAGATGGTACCAACGTAGATAGAGTTTCTTTCAAGTAAACGACCAAGCATTGACTATAAATATAAAAGTTAGTATACTTTTGTTTCTATCAATTGACTAAATCTTCATAAGAATAATTTTCCAAAGATTCAAAAACACTGTCAGCTTTAACGAGTGATATCTAGCAATAATTAACCATGAAAGACACTTTTTCTGAACATAGATCCAAACATACCATTATGATTTATATATTTGTAGAAGTGATAGGAATGTAATTGATAATAAGTATTGTCTATACTTGTACAAGTTTTTTTTTTTCAAGAGTCTTTTGTAAAGTGAGTGAAAGAGAAAGTAGGAAAAAAAAAAAAATTGGTACAAATTATTTTTCACGTCCATTTGATTGGCTGTGTTGTGTGCAGGAGTTTGTTAGTACATTTTAGAGGATGTTATTAGTTATGAATGTTGACGATGAAATCAAGACAATGAAGTATATCTTGAGGATCGTTTATGATATAGAGTGAGGGTAAACGTCTGTTTAATTAATTGGATAAGCGGATTAATGTCTCTTAACTAAAAAGAAAATTGTGTCAGTTGTAGATGGTCACACGTGCCAATTATCACGAGATAAAACTATGAAGCTTATCTAAGAAAAGATGACTATTAATAGAAATATTACAAAAATAGAATTTGAAAGCAAATTTAAGACGTAAATATATGTATAAGTATTAAATGAAATTAAAATAAATGCTATGTAACATACAAGAAACCAATGAAATTTGAATACCCGAAATGAAAATTAAATATTATGTGTAAGTTCTTTCCCTTATTATATATATTTTGAAGAAAGAATGACTTTATTCTGCAATAACGATGATAATAATGTTATATTATATCATTAGATGAATAAAAAGCCAATGAATGCAAATAAACCTAAAGTAGATGTGGTTTGATAAATACCAGCATTATTTTCATTAACCAGTACTGAAACAGAAGATGAAGTAGTAGAACTGCTGCTTACAGTTGAAATAAACGTAGTAGCTGATCCTCTAGCAGAAGAAGTATTAGCATCATTAGAAGCAGATTCGGTTTCAGCAGAAGCAGAATCAATACTGGTTGTTCCAATAAAGACAACTCTTGTAGTACCAGCACCAGTTGGAGCACTAATTGATATTGGGCCAATTGAAGATCTGGATGTGGAAGTAGTAGAAGAAGATTTAGTTGAACTAGTAGTTAAAGTAGAACTTGATGAGGATAATGAAGTAGTACTAGTGGTTGAATCTTCAGTTGAGCTAGTAGTAGCATCTTCAGTTGAACTGGTAGTAGCATCTTTAGTTGAACTGGTGGTGGCATCTTCAGTAGAAGTTGTGGAAGTTGATGAACTAGAAGAAGAACTAGAAGATTTTGAACTAGAAGAAGATGAAGAAGAAGTAGATGATGATGGTGCTTTACTAGAATCAACAGATTGTCCACTAAGCAATTTTTTAATATCATCTTGAGCTTGATCATATCTACCATTAACTTCTCCATCTTCAGCTTTGATAGATTCCCAAGTACCACTTTGATCAGAATAACTATAAGATTTACCAGAAGAATAATCAGCAACCAAAATAGATTTAATGTGCATAGTGAATGGAGCTTTACTGTAGTCAGTAATACCACCAGCCCAAGCAATAGTACCTGGTTGGTTATCTGGATCACCACCAGCCCAAATACCGGCATAAATAGCCATTGGAGATTGTGGATAACCTTGGGCATTGTCTTTTGGAATAGTTCTGATAACAGCACCATCAACAGACCAAGTAAGTTCATCTTCAGTCCAATCAATGGTATAAGTATGATAGTTTTCTAATGGATTAGAAATATCATGATAACCACCACGATCATAAGTAGCGGTATTACCTTTAATGAAATAATTGGATTGCCATTGGTATGGATCACCACCAAACATTTCAATATCGATTTCATCCAAATCATCAGATTGTAAATAGAAAGATGACACTATACCTAAACCTTCAGCTCCTTTCAAGACAACTTCAACATGACCAAACATAATATAGAAATTTGATTTAATAGAAGGATTATCGAATCTATCATTGATGGTTAATGATAAACCATCAGATTCCGAAAAAGTTATATCACCTTTTTTATTTAAACTTTCAAAATGGGAACCCAAATTATCATCGAATGTTTCCAAAAATGATGAACCTAATGCTGGATCAGGAGAACAATCACTGGATGTTAATGGATTACAAGTACTAGCGGAAGCGGTACTTAAAAATAATGTAGATGCAATGGCAGCGAGTGTACTGAATCTCATGGTCTATTATGTATGTGTTGTTGAAAATAGGTAGGAGATTTCTTAATCACTTATAATGAATAACTATTTTTTTTTTGGTGTTCTTTTTTGCAGTAAACGAAATGTAGAGCAGCAATGAGCGAGTGGGTGTAGATAATAAATTAATTGATTAATAAGAAAGAAAGAAATAAAATAGACTTCATTTGAAGAAAAGATGGGGTTATTTTGGTAGATTTATATATTCCTGGATCCGAAAAGAACGAAAGGGGGATTGCAAATAGAGTAAATAGTTGGGTGATATGCATCTATATCAGACTTTAGGTAATACGAAAAAGAAAAGACATGTAGCATTTACTACTCTGATTTGGGTTAAAATTATTCATACTCTCTATTGTTCTACACAAATCGTCATAGATTTCTGGCTTAACCGGGCGCGCGTCTCGCCAGGATATTTTTTTTTATTGTATTGTATTATATTTAATTTCATGCGTGAATTAAACATTGTAAAGGGCGAGCTAAAAAGAAAATATCAACACTGGATATTTAAATTTAGAAACAATTATAAATCAAGATTATATTACTGTCATCAATTTGTAGTAGAGCTCAGAATTATTAACCACCGACGTCATGATTTTTAATTGTAACTTACTGGTAATGTCACCTCTTCTTTTTTTTTTGTTTGTTTCTATTTCTTTAACGCCATTTGTCATATTAACACACAATTCATGTGGCATAATCGATTAAAGTAAGGTTTTTAATTTTTTTCGAAAACGCAATGATTTGACGATGTCCAGAATCATTCTTTGATACTACACCTTTGCTGGCTGTATATGCAAAGTCCAATCAGTTGCTATTTCGATGAACTAAGATGTGATCCAGAATAATGATCCATATACTAAAATGATTAATCTACTCGCGCCTCCCCCCCCCTTCCCATTGCAATTAGCAACTGTGCTGGAAGTTGAACCCGTTTTGATTGAGCATGATAGAGATCACCGCATCGAGTGCTGGCTCAAAATTACGAATCGGGTCGATCCTGCGTCAACAGAAAATTAAAATAATTTTTTTTTTTTGCACCTCCTCCTTGTCCCACTATTATTTTTAGTTTTCCGCCACCGCCCACTAAGGATTGTGGGTATTTTTTTTTTTCTTAACCTGGAGAAATAAACAATAAATATAAAGAATAGTCAACTACTTCGTCAATGGTGGTGATTATCATTTCATCGTCTACTCATTTTCTTTGTAAATACACCAGTTATTGGTTTGTTCGCGTGTACACGATTTGTGCTTTTACGGTTGAAATTGCATTTACCAGCATTAATTCCATAGAGAGAAAAAAAAGACCGTGTCGTGCATATACATTACCTTACTATTTTGAGTAAAATGATGGAACGGAATTAATGATTTAGTTTTGTCTTGGGTTAACCCAATCATTTCCATCATGGCTTATAACCTAGAAATAGCAATGTTTATACTGTCTCCCCTAGGCAAGAAGACGTCATAAGGTTGTTCATAGATCAAACACAAATAGAGATCTCCTATTTTTGTTTTCTATTTTTAAACTCGCAAATATCTATTTGTGAACATCAGTATACCTTTTCACGACTATTAGTATGGAAATCGGTACAAAATAACTTTTTTGTTTATTTAACGATGGAAAATAGGTCTGTCCAAGTCCTATTTGATATTATTATCATTTTTATAAAAAGAAGAAAATGGTTGCAAGGGCAACATGACACCAGTTGGCAAAATTTTGAGAAAATAAATTGACACCATTAGATGATGAGGTACTGGATGATGCAGGAGGATCAAGTTCTTCTTCGGTTTCATATGAATGCAAAAACTCTTGAACATCTTCATCAGTTGTATAAATAACTGGTGCAACTGAAATGGTCAATCCATCAATATCATAAACAAGATACATGCTTCTTAAGATATCAAACCCAAAGAGCATTCCACCACCAACAACTGAATTCCCCATGATTCCCAAATAACACTTGTCGTTATGTTCAACAATAAAATCTTCAACAGGAATAGAGAAGTTAACACCACCAATTGAGAAATCAAAATGCATGTCCAGTACTATCACAATCGATCTCATAAACAAGTTCATCGGAATCATATGTCCCATTCAAAGCAGCAGCATATTCACGGACCCAGTCATCTGGCAAGATAGAAAATGTGGACCCGGTATCTAAAAGAATTGGGTAGTTATCACCTTGATAAGTCACATTGATTGTAAAATGTTTATCTTGAGTCAATGAAACAGTAGTTAATGTACCCTCGTATTTCTTGTGATCAATTGCACCAAAAAGGATGCTTCCATTAGTTGCATCTGCTGAATTCAAGTAAACTGAGTAGGCAGCCCTTTTGATATATTTTTGTTTTCGTAATTCTACTGGGAAATTATCATAACCATTTGGGATTCCAAGACCCAAAATACCATCGGAAACACTTGATTGATAAGCAACAGCAAAACGCAAGTCTTTTATGGTGGTATTTCCAAATTTAACATCATCCCTACCCCATATACCAGTTGCAGCCGAACCATCAGTATATCCAATAACAAATTCATGCCATGAACCATGGTAAGTCTTGGATTCATCGGAATTGAATGTTCCATTGGCGGTACAAGGATAAGCAGCATCAACATCATCAAAAACATCAGGAATTGATTCTGTTCTATTAGCATGGAAGTCGTTAACACTGAAACATTGGACAGAACTGCCCATAACCCATAAGTCAGACGATCCAGTATCAACAAATACAGTAACATTTTCTTCTTTTGAACCAATTCTCAAGTCTGTGGTATAAATATTTTGCTTATTTGCAAGAACTAAAGGTTCAAGTCTTTTAGATAAGCGCAGTACTGGTGGCTGTTGTTGACGTACATCAAAGTCAACCTTGAAAGAAGAGTGAGCCAAAGAAATAAACAACGGGAATACTAATAACAATTGCAACATTATATATTATCGATAAAGAAGCAAATTGAAAATAGAAGAAGAAAAAGAAAGAAGGAAAGTCATTTGTTTAAAAATCGTTGAACTTGAATTCCTCCCATCACTTCCTTTTCTTGGAAAGCATGGAACATGTGGAAGAGATGGAAGTTGTACAACCTAAAAAAAAAAATACAAAAAAAAATCCTGACTAATCAATTATGTAAGCCGCACGTGCGACCTTATCTTGTGACTGCGGCATTTATCGGAGTTTTTAAATTTATAAATAAATTATTTCTATTAATTAATTTCAAACTATACAGATTAAAACAGAATATATATCTAAGGCCAAGTTGCTTACAAACTTTGAATTTGTTCAAATAATTCAATTCTATAAGAACTTTGGTTCAAGTTGTCGGCAACGGATTTTCTAACATCATCAACCATACTTCCGTGAGCACAAGAAGCGATGGCCAAAGGACCTGACAGTTGTTTGATTTCTTCAGCAACAATGTTGTAGAAATCTGGTTTTTCTTCAATAAATTCAATAAATGACAAACTCTTTTTCAATTCTTCAATATAATCACGGTTTTCTTCGTTATCAGATTTCTTTTCTTGTTCTTGTTCTTGAGCTTCTTCGTCATCAGTTAATTCAGTAGGAGAAATTGGATCGGTTAATCCAACATGAGGTTGAGTAACATAGATGGTGGTTTTGATTGGCAAGTCTTTCAATTTAAGTAATTCTTGGTAGAACCATTCCAAAGAACGGTAGTGACGAACAACCCAGTTTAATTTAATGTTACGTTTGTCGCCTAATCTTTTAGCAATATCAGTAGCTTCATAGTAAATACCTGGAATACCGTTACCACCAGCGATGAAAAGATCGTTTTCAAATCTGTCAATAGCCATTCTTGAACCATATGGACCTTCAATTGAAACTTTAATTTGAGCAGTTTGACCTGGTTGTTTAGACAAGTATTGGTATAAACCATGGGTCATACCACCTTTAACTTTAATGTAGAAAGTAATGGTTTGTTCTTCAATAGCTGAATCAACAACAGTGAATGGATGGGATTGTTAGAAACAAGTTGGTCTCATGAAGTGAATAAAAGCATGACAACCTGGGAATGGTACCCACCAACTTGGTCTTTGAACAGAAACTCTAATGGTTTCGTTAGCAATCAATTGAACAGTGGCAGATCTCAAACCAAAGACAAACAATCTAGCAAGTCTAACAGCACGGTCAAAACCCCAAATGGCAACAGAAGCAATCATAAACATATGGAAACCTTGTTCAGTAGTATGAATCCAGAGACCACAGACAACAAAGATGGCCAAGATGAAATGAACAGCAATGAAAAGTTCATAGTTTCTTCTTCTAAAGAAAAACAAACTTTGGAAAACCATAATACCCATACCAACCATGGCAACATAACCCCATCTAACGTATGGTTTAGCATTTCTGGTGTAGTATTTACCAAGACCTTTACCATTGTAAGTCATACCAACAGAGTGGGCAATACCAAGAATAAAGTTAACACGGTTCATCCATTTGTGAATATAGACAAAACGAGCAAATGGCCAGCCAGAAACCCATTGCATAAAATTGTTTCTACCAGCAAATAAAATGGCTGGTGGAAAAAGCCAAAGACTTATAATACCAGTACGATCAGCAACTTTTCTTCCGAATTCATTGGATTTTTGTTTCCAAATGTAATTTGGTTTGACGTGAACATAGTTGGTCAAGTTCATGATAAGAGCCATGATAACCCATCCGGCGACTAAAATGGATTCCATTCTAGTTGGAAGAACAACAGCAAAGAAACGAAGAACAGTTTTATGATGAGCATGGGTTTTTCTAAACATAGCTGGCAAAGTGAAATACTTTCTGTAAGCATTGACAATACCACCCTTTCATGGATTTAACAAAACTTGGGAAAAGGAAATAAGTCAAGTTACAGATAGCTGCAACAAAGACGACAAAGTACCAGTAACAACATAAAGCAATACCAAACCAATGAGCATAGTTATAGTTGTATCTTCTGGTAGCAACAGAATCCCAAGCAGCTTTAACTAATTTCTTGGTTAACAAGATTGGTTTGTTGAAGATCTTCTTCTTGTTGAATTCTTTATCAGCTTTGGTATCATAGAAACCAAATTCAGTAGCATTTTGTAAAGCAGCCAAATATTCTTCTTCAGTCAATTTGTATTTTTTACACAGTTCTAAGAATTCTTTTCTAGCATTTTTGTGAGGCATCAATTCAATACATTCAGCCATAGTACCCAAGGCAGGTTGATTGTTAACATTACAGAACCCAATTTTATCGGTTGTATTGAAAAAGGTAACGAGCTTTCCAAGATAACCAGTACAAGCTTCAACAGCAAACTCGTTATTGTGATAGATGTGGAAATCACCAAGGGAGTATACCGAGGTGATCAAAGTAACGAGAAGGACTATGTATGATCTTCCAGCCACCATATCTTCTTTATATTATAAATGTGGTAATAATGAAAATAACAAGAAAGTAAGAACCTAGATTCATTTAAAATTTTTAATAAAACAGGAAATAAGACATTGTATTTATACTATTGTCGTAGAGAATCAAAGTGCAAAAATTTTCCATTCTGTTAAAAAAAATGTAATATAAATTCATCATCTTCTATTATAACTGCAGATAGAACTGATAGCAAAAAAATAGGCATTAAAATTCTAATTCCATTCTGTGCTAAAACAATGAACCACAAACTGTGATAATATTCCTTGTTGGGGGAAATATGAACTGCGTAATTGTTTTATTTTGTGGATTCACACAACTGCAAAAAGCTAAAATCAAGTTCACAACAATGAAATTCCATCAAATTACAGCCAATGGGAGTAGAGTGCTATGTCAACATAACCAGTTTGTTTATGCACAGATTAGTAACAAGCAATAAATATCCTTAAAACAAAAACCAAAAAAAAAAGACAATTCGATTGAATGTCTAGATGGAGTTTTTTTTTTTTGTAAAACGCATTTTCCCATTCTTTTGATTTTCTCTTTGGCTGCAATTTGCCTAGAAAACCTTAATTATTGAACAAGGACAAAGACGTTATGAGAGTACTTCTGTTGAAAGCCAATAAAAGGGATGTTCTAATGAATCTGATTGGTGGTATCCTTTGTTGAACCTCACTCATTCAATCAATTTTATCTGATTGATCGACACTTCAAAATATCCTTAGAGCAAACTAAAAGGAAAAAAAATAATTTTCATGCAAACAAAAAAAGAAATAAAATCTCATCTCAAATCAACTTATAAAATTGGCTATTTCTGTCACAAAGTTAGATCCACAGGGTGGCTTTGAAACTATCTCGACAACCACCGGCTGTTCAAATTGGAGGTTCCTTTCTTAAAAAAAATTATGGGTTCATCATTTATTAGCGATTCCCTTGTCAACCACTGCAAAACATAATTCATCCCCTCACCTTTCCCGGATTTTTGCCCAGATAAGGAATTGATCTTTATAGCTAATGACAAGACTTTTCATCTTTTCATCCCTTACACAATCTTACAGAATGTATTGAAACACGTTGTTTTGTGCTCCTGAACGAAAATTCGGCCGGGATAAAAATCAATAGGAAATGGTTAAGTACAATGTAAAATTGCTTTTTTTGTGTGCCTTTTAATTTAGTAAAATATGCATGTAAACTTGACGCAAGGCGTTCCACATTGATGAAATAGATTATCATTTGAAAACTTCAAGTTTGTGATTTTGAAAATCCTTCATTTCATTACATTGAACACTCCTCCCATTGGATTAATTCAAGATTTTTTTCAAAAAGAAGTTCAATTCATCCCTTATTAAAGTTACCAAGAATTTTTGCTTTGTCAAATAAGAATTCTTCTTCTTGTGAAAAGAAGGTCTATTGTAAGATGTTCTCCATAATTTTGATTCTTGACAAAGCCCCTGAAATGAATTTCGACACTGGTTTTCTTAAGATTAGCCTGACTCAATATAATCGAATTTATTTATAACTAGAGAGGGAATTGAAAATAAAATACCTATGAAAAACAATTATCCAATTACGACAGAAACCTTACCCAAAGTCGGTATTGATTTCTAAACCAATCAAATTGGAGGAAACCATCCCATTAGGTTTTGAGTGAAATAATATTCCCCAATTTAAAAAAAGAAAATAAAAAAAAAATTATTAGTAAATTAAAATCTTGTATTCCTCCTTCGCCACAATTAACCCATCTTGCATATTGACGCAATAATTGTTACTCGATTAGCGGTGGCTGTTTTCTTGGCAATCCGGATTTTTTAGATTAGTTTTTCCACCACAAGACAAAGATGAAGATGGGTGGTAATGTAAAAGTAGAATGTGTACCGCACTAGTACGCCTATGATCTCTTTAATTGAGTGTTTAAAATTAGGCTATTGCCGGTTATTACCCGTTTATCCTGGAGAAAATACACATCAGTCTACTCTAACGGTCACACTCATTTCATGAACGGAATGGTTTCTGAAGCAGCCCTGAATCGTTATTCCTTCTCTCTCCCATTCTGAATCACCGAGAATTAACTCTAGGTTCATTCGCATCTGGTTATAAGTATGCCTGTTACTTTATTAAATGTTATTGCTCCCCACGTCCTTCCGGGGCATCTAATATCAGTGTTTGATATTGTTCCTATAAAAATTCTGTTCAAACTCAACTAACCGACACTAAGCCCCTATCTAAGCCATTGGATGTTGAGACTTCGGCTTTCTATTTCATGGTCTACAAAACAAAAGAATTGGGTTCAGTTGTTGCATATTTTGCTACAAAAAAAAAAAAAATTGTTTACTCGTGACTACTATCACGTGCTACTGTATTTTTGTGATTTCATTCTATGTACATGAATATACGGCTATTTACTCAGTTTTAAAGAAACTGTAATGTAACACTATATCATCAATTGAATTCATAGCAGGGTCTTTCGCAAACTCGGGATCAATGAAAAAGAACACAGGCATATCGACTTCTTCTCCTGGTCCCAATCTTTGTTGTTCAAAACAGAAACATTGAATCTTATCAAAATAACCTGCTGCTGGTTCTGGTGTAATTGAATACGTTGCCATACCTGTAATTGCTTCATTACTTAAATTTTTAGCTCTGTAAAAAGCAAGAGCAGTTTCACCTGGAACAACATAGACTTCTCTTTGTAATGGAGTGAATTTCCATGGTAATATACCTGAGGCTTGGCATGTGAAAGAAACTCTGATACGCTTGTTGGTATCAACTGGAATTAACTTATCTGGAGTAAATCTAGCACTATCGGTGATTGGAATACCACCCCATCCTGTTCTTTGACAAATGGCACGATAAATCGGAACTGCAGCAAATGATAATGCTAAAAAGAAAACACCCAATGAAATCGAATAATAAGTTGCTGTTCTATTTCTAAACTTTTGTCTTTCTTCTCTTTCTTTGTTTAATCTTTCCAATCTCTCTCGTTGTTCTTGGATAGTCATTTCCTTTTGTTGCGGGATCTCATGTTGTTGCAATAATCTTGGAATGGTAAACAAAGTACGTGAAGATACTGGCATGCAGCCAGCAAAGACACTTTGCAGTCGTCTGGCTATTCCAATTCTTAATACACTTGATGATACTCTTAACATATTGATCCTATGGAGTTTGATTTCCAAATCGTGATTCAACAGGTGGTGCTATTTTTTTTTTTTCTTCTTCTTCTTTCTCTCGTTTTTCCCGTTTAAAGTTTTTTTTTTCACGCTTTCTCTCCAATAAAGCAAAGGATAGAGAGAAAAAAAAAATTTGTTGATGGAAATCAAACTCCATCAAAAGTATAGATTTCCGACCATATACTTTCCGTTGGTTTAATCACATTCAATACATCCGCTCCTAATAACATACTAAAACAAGATGATTAATAGACTTATAACTAGATCCAATATAGTTTCAAAAAGATGCTATACAATTAAATTGCCAACTCAAGAGCCTGTCAAACCCCGTATTTCTGAGTTTTCTCACGCATTGTACAATACCCTTATGATCTCACTATCCACATTTTTCGTATTGAATATCGTATACAATAAATTGGAATATAATGAGGTAGAATCAAAATTGAAATTGAAATCTCAAGAATTGGAAAATAAAATACAATCACTTGTTGATGAAAAGGATAAAGAATTGAAATTAATACAATCTAAGAATCATAGTTGGATAAGTAAACTAAAGTTTTGGTAATATAATATAAGAATGAAATTTTACATACATATACTATTTATTTTGTTTGAATCTGGTGGTGAATTGAGCCAATTTTGATGTTGGCGGTGACGATTCAACACTTCCTGTAGACGTATTGGCAGCATCATCTGTTGTTCTATTTCCTAATATATTGGCAAAACTTCTTACTGAACTGGAATGAGCAAGTCCTGGAGTACCGAAACTTCTTTCTGATGAAATCGTTGGGTTTCTTTGCAAGTTGTTATCTTTCATTTTCTTAATCAATGCCATACCTTCTTCATACTTCACTCGATCAAATTGTCTCATTCTAAATGATGAATTGTTAACAAACTCGTCATAGTCTTCAAGGTTCAATAAATCAATACACTGTCTTAATTCTGTAAACGTAGTTTCCAATGCAACATTCCCACCGTTCGTAAGTTCACCTTCGCCTTTCAGAGAATGCAAGTTCTTCATGGACGCTTCCAAGTACTGCACATCTAAATCAAAGTTTGCAACAAATGTTCTATTGTAAATATTGGCATCCTTCAATACGTTCAAAAAATATTCGGAGACGAAATCATAAGTTCTGAAAAGACCTAATGTACGTAACTGCAGTGGCAAATTGCTGAAAATAGATGTAAACAAGTTCTCCAAGAAAAGGGCAAAATCTTTAATGGCAAAATTGGCCTCTGTGTTTCTTTCTGATGGTAAATATTCATCATATTCAACCATGTCCAATAATTCATTAATTTTTGTGTCAACCATTCTGAAAATAGCCTCCTCTGCGTGTTTCTTAAGTTGGACAAATTTATCGACAGCATGCAAAGTAAAAGTATCATTCGCATCTATGTTATGTACACCCATACCGGTGTTTTTTCTCAATTCACTATTCACTAATTTACCAATTTCATAGATACCAAGTAAATAGTATTCCAAGTTTGTATAGGTTTGTGCGGTGATTTCCTTGTTGTTTTCATTTCTGTTGATGAATTGCTCAATCTCGTAACCAATACCAGATCCTTTCTCACCACTCAATACAACTTCGATAATATTGTTCACTATGATATTATTTAACTCCCCTATTTCGTAGTTGTAGTAATCTTCAATAAACCTGAGGATATCTTTGATTAATTTTCTAATATGGAAACAGAAATGAACATAATCTTCACTGAATGGGAAAGTCACCGGCAATGCTTTCACATTTGCTGGAACAAAGCTAGCATCTTTCTTATACCAAGCATTAGCGATAATGCTGTTGTAACTAGCTTTGTCGGATACAATCAAAGGACGATAATGATCTGATTGTATCGATGAAACAAATTGTTTCCTGAACGCTTGCACGGTTAATGGTACATAATACTCCTTAAAAATCATCATCATTACTTCGTAAAGTTCTGTAACATCATAGTCGTTGTTATCCATAATCTGTAAAAATTCACCAATAATGGTCTTGAACGAACTTAATTCAACTATATCTTTAAAATCTCTATGCATCAAAAGCTGGATCAATACCGGCTTTAATTTCGTCATATATGACATCCACAATTCATTTGCTTGATTATTGGATCTTAACTGGAATTTGGTAACTAAATTCAATTGCTTATCAGCGACAAAGAATGCTGCAATTTTTCTTAAATATTCATACAATTCGTTATTATCAAACACCACATCTTTTTTACTAACAGATGCCGTAGTAATTGGATAAATTACCCTACTATACTTTGTCATCCATTCCTTATAGTAAGCACTACTCAAGACCTCCAATTCCTGTAATGTCAGGTACACCAATATGGCATCAAATACACTATTCAAGTTAATTTGTAAACTTCCATCCTCAAAAATATTATAATTCAACTCAGGCTCTCTAAGTGCAAGTTCAACTGGGGAGTTAATCTTGTATGGCAAAAATGTCGGGCCATTTTCCTTCTTTATATTTATCCAATTGTTGTGTAAATCATCCAAGTTATTATATAATCCACCAGCAATAGCTTGCAATTTCCTCTCTAAATTCAAGGACAACCATTTGGATAAGTTTTCAAATGATTCATCTTTCACCATCTTAGTTAGATGTGGTATTGAATCTACTATCTTTTTGGCAAAGCTAAAATTCTCCACCTTTTGGATGTGGATATTGATCATTTCATCAATTAATTTTAATGCCAGGAAATACTTCGTTTGTCTAATTAGTTCCAATATTTTATTCATCAATTCAAGTACTTGAATACATTCATTCAAAACAATTTGTGTTTCGTCAATTCTCTGACAAACCCTTTTGTACTTGACATATACGGATTTTCTTGATTGTAACTCATATGCTGATCTGTTTAACCTCAGACTGATCTGACTGAACTGTTTCTTTAAATCTTCGGCTTCTTGGTGTATATTATCAACAGTATTAATGGATGAGTTGATTTCATCCGCCGATTCCATAGAAGCTTGATTCAATTCTTCATCTTTTGACTTGACAATCTCATTCAACTTAACAATTAAATCATTCAAACCATTAGATCTAATCGCATTTTTCATAATTGGTGCCAAACTCTCTAAATAATCCTCCGAGTTTAATGTGGTTTGAAATATATCTTCGTCACGTAATAATAAATTCTCCAACGGCAAGCTATCAACAACTGGTCCATTGGTTCTGGCAGTAGCTTTGGAAACAGTTTTACTACCATTGGATGAACCGTATGTTTTACTTCCATTGACTTGAGTCGGTGGCATGGTTGTTCTCTTTACGCCTATTGATTTTAATTGTTTGACACAAGTGGTTGTTGTTGTGGGCTATTTTTTTTTTTTCCAATTTCAACACGCTAATACAAAAAAAAAAAAAATAAAACTATATGTAAGGACAGAATGTTGAAATCAAGATCTTTCAACTAATTTTTTTTTCTCTCTCTGTACCTTAACTAAATCTAACATTCACATAAATAAATGATCCCTAACCATATTTTGATATTAGGATCCCCTAATAGTGGGAAATTGAGAGTATCTAAGTTAATCAGTAATGATAAAGACTTTCCAGAGATTAAAGAAAACGAATCTCACAGTGGAATCATAATCAAGACTTCTTTAAGTACCAAGTATTATCATATTAAATTAAATATACTAATAGACGAATACCCTGAAGAACGGAACAAGTCAGTCACCGATGAAGAGAAACTATTGGAGTTAGAAAAATGGTTTAATGAATTCAAATCTGAAGAATTTGGTGAATTAAGAGAAGTATTAGACGGGTTGGTGTTCACGGTGAATATGAAAGCAGATTCCCTTGAGTTTATTGAGAAGGCGCTTGAAACTGTGTCGGAAATCAGAACGTCACTAGGAGATGAGGAGTCTCAGTGGGATGGTTTTATATCAATTATCGGATCAACTACACAAGGTGAACTGGTTGATGATGACACAGTTGAAGAAATTGAAGATTTAGTAATCACCCATGGATTTGAGTTTATAAATTTGAACACTCAAGGGATTAATGAATTTAAAGAGAAACAAGGAAAGGATAGAGTTGTGGAATTAATAGAAAGTCATGAGTGGACAAACATGGAATTGTTGAAGGTGAATCCTGATCAATATGAGAAAAACAAAATGAATAAAGTTGAACAGATGAAACAGAACTTATTGGAAGAGAAAGAATCTATGGATCTAGATGTTGTGTTTAGTAAGTTATCTGTTGCAAAGGAACGAGCAGAGGATATGACACAAGAGCAAAAAGAAAAGTATGCTAATGAAATTATTGAAGAAATTATAGACTTTATATAAAATGAGGATATTATTACAACTTTGCTGTGGTAACTTTTTTGTACACTATTTGATAACCAGGATCAAAGTAACACTCTTGTACATCCTCTTCCACTACCCCATTTTCGTGTATAAAAACCGCAAAGTCGATATATGGGATGTCTTCATCAATAACAACCATTGGTGCATGCCAAGTTCCCACTCCATACGTAATAGATTGATTTCCTTTGCAAATAAATGCTTTGACCAGTGATGGATCTGGTAATTTGTCTTTTGTTGAAGTATCTGTTTTAGCAACTATAACCAAATATGATATTTTATGCAAATCCTGACCTAAAGGCAAGAACGTTTGTGTGGAATATGGATGTCTTTCTAACACCTTGGATGTGTATGTTGACTTGGTACTACTATGTTTAATTAAATGCTTTGGAGCAGTGCATCTGAAAATATTCCAATTCGCTGTTTCTTTCTCACCACTGGGACAATTCTTGTAATTGTTAATAATAGGTGCTACTTTATGAATCTTAATAGCGGTGCCATAATTGGCTTGTGAACTTTGGACATTTTTTATTTGATGGTCAGCACTAATGACTCCCCCATATGGCAGAAATGATTCTGGAGTTAGTTGTTCTGCAATTATTTCTGAAATATTCTCAACGTTAAATGTCTTCAATGGCATTGTAATTGATCAAGAAGACAAATAGAAGAAAAAGGTCTGGTAAAGTTGAGTTTATATATATGTATGAAAATGAGCAAAAACTTTTGTGATTAGCTCTGGATAGATAAGATCGGTGTTAACCGAAGAGAAAATAAATCCATGTCACGTGAAAATTAATCCCCCGGGGCAAACACAAAGAGCAAATCATTTGTTTTTATGAATGGCGAACCAAAGGAAAAAAGAAAAAAAAAAATTCAAATAAAAGCAAATCTGGTGCCACTATAATAATACACAGTCAAAATTATAACTAATTTAATAGCTTCTAATCATAAATTCAGCAGACTTTGCTTTTTATACTATGAGTGACTTTTCAAATTTAGATAAGACAAAAAAGCTTGCAAATAGTAATAATCCTGAAGCAGGTATTGAAGATGATTATGATAAAGCAACTTTAATTGATGATGATGATGCAAACTTACCTGATCTTAATCCATCCCATATGATATATATACCTGGAGAAAGTACATTAACTCATGATGGGTCAACTCTAATAGATGGAGAAGAGGGTTCTAGCTCAAAAAATGGTGGTTTATCACATAGCCACAGAAACCATTTGAATGCATCTTTGCAACAGTTAAAATATAATGAGAACAAGATATCATTAGATAGGTCTATCAACCAAACTATCGACTTAATTTATGAGGTTACAAATGAAAATAAAGAGAGACCTATTTTCTATCCAACTGAGATTGAAGACGATGCAAACATCATGTTGAATTCCGCGAAAGCTCATTTGGCTTTGGTTCGTCAGAACAGTTCTGTGAAGACGTTAGATAAAGCAAAAATCGCCAAAGAGGATGAAGAAGTTGTTAAGGATTTGCCAGAGTTTAAAATTTTAAAGATTAATCTCAAGTTTGGCCATAATGATAATAATAATTCTATTTCAAGTTTAGATAAAAAATCAATTGCAAAGTTATTGGAGAAAAAGTTACAGCAGCAAGTTAAATATTTGTTGAAATTGAAGGATAGAATCGATGACACTACTTCAAAGGTTTTTGTTACCGGGGATTTGAATGCCGGTAAATCCACCTTTTGTAATGCTTTATTGAGAAGAAAAATCTTACCTGAAGATCAACAACCCTGTACATCTGTATTTTGTGAGGTTATTGATGCTTCAAAAGAAAACAACAGTATTGAAGAAGTACATGCTGTACCAATAGGAAAGGAGTACAACATCCGTGATGAAACTACATACGAAGTGTACCCATTGAAAACCTTGGAAGAATTAGTCTACGATTGTGATCGATTTAGCTTATTGAAGGTATATGTGTTAGATCATCGTAGTTTCCAAGAAAGTTTATTACATAATGGTGTGATTGACATTAAATTGATTGATGCACCAGGTTTAAACATGGATCTGTACCAAACAACTCAGGTGTTTTCTAGACAAGAAGAAATTGATTTGGTTGTATTTGTTGTGAGTGCTGAGAACCATTTCACTTTATCTGCCAAAGAGTTTATTGCTGCTGCTGCCAACGAAAAGCGTTACGTTTTCATTGTGGTTAATAAGTTTGATCATATTAAAGATAAGGAGAAATGTAAACGTAGAATTTTGGACCAAATTAAAAGTTTGTCTCCAGAGACATATAAAGATGCGCAGGAATTTGTTCATTTCGTCAGTTCTTCTGATGTAATGGACGGTGATGATGGCGGGGATGGTGATGATGATGATGACAATCCGGATGATAATAACAATAACGATCACCCTGATTTTGATCAACTTGACGCTTCTTTAAGGAAGTTTATTTTAGAAAAGAGGTCTATTTCCAAGCTATTACCAGCAAAGGATTACTTGCTCAACATGTTACATGATCTACTGACATTATCAAAAGTCAACGAAAGGATCTACGATGACGAAAAAAAAGCTAAATTAGAAGAATTGAACAGTCAAGTAGCTCCAAAGTATAACGATATGGTATCCAAGTCCTCGCGTATTAACGATTCTATCAATGCTTTAATTGAAACTACTTGTACTCAAGCCTACAATGAAGCAAGTAAAGAAATTATAACTACCGTCAATAACCTTGGTGATAAGCCTATTGTCAAGTATGGTGGACTTCAGTACTTGTTCGAGTATGCTAAAGAAACTCAATTGGCAATGATTGATACCATATTAGAGTCTGTTGCAAGAAGTGAAGAAGTAGCCAAGAAATTAACATCTGAAAGAGTGGAAGAGATCATCAAGTACGGTAAGGAAACACTTGGGGAAGAGTTTTTGAATGATAAAGTTTTCAATTCGGATTTGATGTTCTCAAGAAAGAAGGATACCATTGGTAAATCAATTGATGATACTATTGAAATACAGGATTTCTTTGATCCCTCAATTGAATCGTTTTTGGTGTTTGTTGGATTGCCAGAAAAAATGGTCAATTCTGCCAAATATCAAATATCATACTTCAATCCATTGGGAGTTTTAACTTCAATACCTAAGAATGCTATCACTGTAAAAGATCAATTGCCAACCCAAATAACTTTGCATACCCTTTATTCCTCTGGAAAAATCTTAACTACAGGTGCATTGGTTCATAAAATGTACCAATTTTCACAATACATAACCCCATCAATGGTTAAGAAAATTGCCCTCCCTATAGTTATCGGGGTTTCTGGTATTACTATTTACTACCTCATTAGTGATATTCCAAATGCATTACCAAGAAAACAAGCAAGGAAGATTAAGAAACAAATTGGTCGATTGGACTATGCCCATCAAAATTCTACAAGAATTGCTCGCGAATGTCGACAAGTCTTGAATTATCCATCTAGACAAGTTATGAATAATTTCCAAACCAGTATTGATAAAAGAAATAATGAAAAGGCAAAATTAGAAAAGATTATTAAAGATGCTGAAATAAGTTCTGGTTTCTTCAAACATTTATTTACAAAGATTCATGTTCAACAAGAATCCTTGGAGAAAGTTGAATTATTTTAAACTTGATTGAATATTTATTTCTAAATTAACGAATTTGTATATAGTTTAAAAAAAAAAAGAAAAACACTCTTTTTACAAGAAACAAAACAACGAAAAATATTGATTAATTATTCAATTTCTAAACAGTGATTATGTTATTTTCGTTGAATATATATCAAAATTAACGTTACAATAAATGTCACTGAACAAAGTGCCAAACTTAACTCGAATGCACCTTGATAGCATCCGTTCCCAAGATAACATATACCGTCTTCTGGATCAGAATTAGAATCGTAAATCTTACCGAAAAGTTTATTCAAGATCCATAATGTAATTAATGGTCCAGTACAAACCAATCCCCAATTTGAACTAAAATGTTTTGTACCAAAACCATCAGCAATAACAGCAGGATAAGTACCAAAAATCAATCCATAACTTCCACCAATCATAGCTGATGCTAAAGCGATTAAATGTTTATCATTAACATTGGCTAGTGTAATGTATTGTCCAAGAGCCATTAAAATAAGCGTTACTTGAACAATCCATAAACGTTGAATATGCCATTTCTTATGAATAAAATCACTTAAAAATCCTGCTAATAATCTTCCTGAAAATGAACCTATTGAAATTATTGATACCTGAAGAGCTTGCAAAGATTGTACTGCATCTCCTGATTCATTTCCATCGCCATTCCTGTCTTGTTTATTCTTACCATAGTAATATTGAGCAGTAACTATGAAACCAACAGTGTAGATATACATCTGACCAATTCCACTGGATACTGAAACTATGAAATAATGTATTAGAAAAATCTTCCCATTCTCTTGTTGCAACACTTTTGGAATAGGAAGATATTTGAATAACCAATGGTTTGATAAATTGTTATTAGTATTGGAATTGTTTTCATTTCGAAGGTTTTCGACAAGAGTATTTGCTTCTGATTCTTGTAAACTAACAGATGCTCTAGGAGTTCGTTCACCAATACCCCAAAAAGATATTGATCCTTTCAAAGAATCGTCACGTTCCATTGGAGTGGCAGGAGCTTTAACTACTGCCTCGGGTTCTGATAACAACGATAACTCTTCTTCTATAATAACAGCTGAAGAAGACGTATTATTGTTATTTCCATCAAAATAGTTTGGTGATGGACTTAATATCTCAGGACTTTGCATTTCTGGATCGCCTGGTAATTCATCATTATGGTCTAAATAAATATGAATGAAAAATGATCCAATAAATGTCATACTACCACAGAATATAGCTAAAAATTCTAATAATCCACCAGTATTACCATTGAAATAAGTAGCTGAAATTATAGAAAATACAGTAGCTGCAAACCCATATGCACTCACAGGGAATGAACCAGCTGCACCTCGATGCTTGGGAAAATTTGCTTGTGAAGCTTTCAAAGTTGCAAAATATGAAGTTATTGAACCAAATCCAGCTGATATCATAGCAAGACAAATTATAAACAAATTATCATATTTGAATTCATAAATCTTGTGTAATGTAAAATAACCCACGAATATACATATAGATCCTAATAAAATACTTTTTTGTGGACCAAAATGATCAATTATTAATCCTCCAGGGTATCCACCAACACCAGAACCTAAATTTGAAGCTAATGAAATCGTTGATGAATCTGATGCCAGTAATCCTATTCTTTTAACAAATTGTGGAGAATAAACACCATATAAATAAGGTGTACCTGAAGCAAGAGCAACTAATATTGAAGTTATCAAAGCAGTTAATCTCCCTGGTAGATGTGACGACGAAGATGATGAGGATTTGGGATCGTACCGTGCATTGAAAAGCGACATAACTATTAGTATACTATCAAGTTTTTTATTGTATTATATTGTTGTTGAAAGCAATATGCAAAGGTGAATTGAATATTAATTTGAGGTTTTAAAGATAAGGCACAACATAAAAAAGAAAACACCGCGAAAAAAAAATTCAGAGAAAAAAAAATTGGAGACGGGGAATGCAAGTGAGCAACTGTGGGACAAACTAAAAAAAAAAAAGGGAGCAACTCGTAAAAGTTGACTGTGCTTACAAAGAAAGATGCATTCTGGGATATCAAGAGTTCGAAATGTTAGCAATATTGACTTTGGTTAGCAAATACTGGTAGTCAACTAAATATTAATTTAATGTCCCTTTGGTAAGTGGACAAATTTCACCGTAGAATTTTTATTTATGAATCTTTTTTTTTTTTGAAGAATAATATATATGTATATGGACCTATAAGTTTTTTTTTGAATTTATGTTATTACCATTCACATTCACCAGTAGCTTTATTAAACACATAATCTTTACCATTTATGTTAGCAATTCCTTCTTTCAAACTACACTTCCATTTTGATTTTATTCTTTGCACTTTATCATAAAGACAAAGAGCAATTTGACCTTCTTGATCATCGTCTTGGTCTTCTGGATCATCGTCATCTAATTCTGAATTTATATCACTATCTAAATCATTGGAATCGTCTAGGTCACTATCTTCATCATCGTCAAATGCACCATCAAATTGAACTAACTTTTTCTTGTTGTTTTTCTGGAGTCTTTTTAATAATTTAGTTGGTTCACTGGTATAAATCTCCATTTCAAATGTACCATCAGTTTGATTGATTCTTGGAACCTGTATACCTAGAACATTATCTTCATTGACATTTTGTGAAAGACCAGGTTCAGTTTTAAGTTTAACTGGAGCACCATCATTAGCCGGACTATTATTAGTACTATTGTTGTTATTATTATTGGTGGTGTTGGTAGTAGGGGTGACGTTATCGTTACTGGTGGTATTTGGTTCTGCCTTTAATTGAACCTCAGGTTGCGGTTCTGGATTAACTGGAAGTTGTACATGTTGCTCTTCCTCTTCTTCTTCTTCGTCCTCTTCATCTTGTTTTTCCCAGGAGAAACTGGCTACTCCAGCTAATGTTAACTTCTCTTGCCATAATTTCTTTAATTCTTGCAATGTACTTTCATCAATTCCACTATTTTCAAAATCTTGTCGAGAATCATTGATTACATCATCAATCACACTCTCATATAATTTACTTGACTCTATGTTTGACATTTTTTGTTATTGTAAAATTTTTTGTCTGCTTTTATTCTTGGTCACAAATTGTTTTTCCTCTTTTCTATATATTCGTTGAACTTGTAAATAATTTATAATCAATACACAACAACTTTTTTTAAAATAAATAATACAAAGGCAATGAATACGTTGATTGTTATTCTGTTCTTCCACTAATGGCAATTCATGGTAAAAAATTTCGTTCGTTTCTTCAACAGAGAGAAAGAGAGAGAGAAAAAAAAAATTGGTTTTAAAATATGTGTGGTCGTGTACATGGTGACCGTTTCTGCATCTGTTTCATTTTGGCTAACAATATTTATAAGTATACTCAAAGCTATTTATCAATTATTAAAGGATCTTTTTCTAGGTTGAGAAGAAGTTGCCTTGGGACTTAATTTAGCAGTTGATGGATTTTCATTTAAAGAATTGATTCTTTCTCTTAAATATTTGGCTTCTTCATTCCCTTTATCAATCTTGGCTTTCAAAAACTCAACTTCTCTTTCTAGAGTCTTCTTATCTTGTACAAGTCTGTCCATATCTGCTTCAAAGGTTTCTCTTAAAAATTTCACTTTTTCGATATGCTTACGTGAATACTCAGCATGCAAGTGTTTAGACAATTTATCCCATTCTGCATCGGCTCTATCTTGTAAGTCGTTTATTTCCTTAACTAAATTCTCTTTTTCTTTGTTGGACTCGTCATTTTGTTGTTTTAAAGATTCAACTCTATCGACTAATTGATCCATCTTGGTTAAATAATCTTTAATGGTTTCATTTTTCTGTTCCAACTCTTTGGTGGTTTCATTGAGTTCTGTTTCCTTCGTTTCAAGTTTTGATTTCAATTCCTGTGATTCCTCTGCTGGTACTTCTCTAGCTTCTAACTCATCAATCTTAAGCTGAAGCTTCGAGTTGGCATGTTCACTCTCTTTCAATTTATCTTCTAGACACCTAATTTCGACTGACAAATCTGTAACTGAATTTTGCAACTCGTGGCCATTTTTAAGAGCCTCGTCTCGTTCAGCTTCTATCTCATGTATTTTTGCAGTTGCCACTTCATCATATTCTTTCATCAATTTTTCATTGGTGGAATTATCCTCTTTCAATTGTTGGATTCGGGTTTCTTTCACTTGAATTTCACTTTCCAACTTCTTGTTCTTTTCTTCCAATTCGTGATAGCGATTTCTCAAAGACGTTTGTGAAGCTTCCAATTCTTGTAAATCATTTTTCAATTTTTCAAACTTTGAATTAGATACATTATCAGCGTAGGCTAATTTTTCCAGTAATTCTTGATTTCTAGCCCATAATTCTTCCTTTTCCTTGACAACTTGATCCAATTTCAAAGTCATATCAATGTTGGAATTATTGGTGTCAATTATTTCAGCCTTGAGGTCTCGTTCAAGTCTTTGTGAGTCATTGAGGTGGTTCTTCAAGTTATCATTTTCCTGTTGTGATTCATCCAAAAGTAGTTTTTGCTCTGTTAACTTACGTTTCAAATTATTAAGTGAACTATCTTTTATCTTACAATTTTTCGTCAAGGATGCCAATTCCCTCTCAATGTGATTTAGTTGAATAGTTAACAATTGTTCAGAATTAACCAACTTATCTTTCATCTCCTTCAAGTTTCTATTCTCTTGCTGACTAACAATCAATTTCTCGTTCGCAGCATGTAACTGTTCGTTCAATTGCTTGATGGTTTCATCACGTGAATCCAAATCTTCAAGTAATCCTTTCGTCTTGTTATCATGTTCCAGTTGTATCTTATTGACTTGATTCAATGAGAATACAGGTTTCGAATTAGGAGACAACAAAAAATTTATCGTGGGTTCATTTTCAAGTTGTTTCAAAGTGAGGTTTGCTGTATCATCTTCACCATCTTCAATATTTCCATTACCTCTCTTTGATGGACTTGTATTATCTTTGTAGTTTTCAAAATTTTCAGTTCTATCCTCTTCGATAACGCGTACGTTTTGATGGGTTTCAGGACTTTTAGCAACCGGTTCGGTCATTCTTTCTGGAGTAACATAATCAGCCCTATCTTCTTTAATTATCTTATTAATCTGAGTATGTTCGAGAGCTTGTTGAAACTTTGGTAATCCCTGTTCTTCTGCATCTTCAGCTTCGTTCACATCCTCTTCATCATCGTCATCATCGTCAATAACACTAGTTGGTCTATGTTTCTCGACGAAATCTTCTTTGACTAATTCTTCGATTCGATCTTCTTGGGTTTCTTCTCTTGTTTCAATCTCTTCTTTGTTCAAACTAGTTGACATCTTTGGAATTTTACTTGGATGCAGTAACTCTCCACCAAGAGTACTTGCTTGATGATGGTGGTCGCCGTTTCTAGATCTCTTCAATGGTGAACTAAACGGTTCTTCGGAATCTGAAGAAGATAAATCCAAATGTTTCCTATTCTCTTTGTTTTCATCAGGAAATGCAAGTTTTATTTGTTTATCCATATGTTGCTTAGTTCTCTTTATACTTTCCAAGTTTATTGGTTGCCTTGATACCAACCTTGGCGAAGTGATTGGATTTCTAATTCCCGCATTGCTAATCAATGGTGTGTTTACCAAACCTCTTCGTTTAATGCTATTATTATGACCAATAGTATTCCTACGAGCGTCATGCTTGGCGGACAATCCATGGGGATGATGAATAATTCTTTGGGGTGTTCTGTGATGAGGAATATTTGTTATATTTGATCCGATGGAGTCTGTACGGAAACTGATCTTGATGGGAGAGAAATCTTCATGAAGAGCATCATCATCATTATGTTGTGATACTGGTTTTGATGACATGGTGATGAGGAGTTAATGAGTTGTTTGCTTTTTTTGGTTCTTGTACTTAATCGTTCGCTCTTTTAATTCTTTCCTTTGTTTTGATATTCATCAACAAGGCGTCTCAGCGTGACTTCTTGTGTTTGGATATTTTATTTAATTTTTTTGTGGTTGTTGATTTTGCCCTGTTGTTGAATTTTCATCCCTTTCGTTTAAGACGCGATATTTTTTTGTTTTGGTGTGTTTTGATTTGTTTTTTTTTTTTTGTATTCAAAATGGGCTTAGTGCAATATGTCTACAAATCTTTATCAACAAGAAAGATTGTGACTTTTAATTACGAAATTGCAACGGTATAGGCTATGTATTTGCTATTAGACACAAATGGTAGGGAAAGTAAAGTATAGATATATATATATAAAAACAATTCTATCTAGTTGACACAAAATAAAAGCACAACAACAAATTGAAGGAGAATAGGAATACCGTGAAAAGAGTAAAATAATAATAGAGATAAGAGAATGAAATTGCAAAAAAAAAAAAAAATAGAAAGAAAAAGAAAACTCCAGCTGTAAAAGGAAATAATAAAAGACAAGCAACCAATAATAACAACAGTATAAAGAAAGCAAATATCAAATAAGCCCAGTTATTTGTAAAAGGGAGAAGCAATATGGTAAGTTCCATTTGATCATGAGAAAGATATCTAGTCTATCTTCACTCTGTTTACTTATAAAAAGGATAAAGCAACATATGGATTACTTAAAGAATATTTCAATCTCTAGAGTAAACCTAGAGAGATTAGTATAAGGAGTAGTAAGAACTACCTGAGGCTGAGTAGCTTGGGATGGTACTGTTGCTGTATTTTGTAGTGTAATGAGATGGGGCAACAGTAGATGATTCATCGTCATAAATGGTGGAAGTGGAGGTGAAAGTAAGATATTCAGTACTGGTAATGTCAACATAAGTAGTCAAAGTAGTGGTGATATCATCAAGGGTGAATTCTGCAGTAACTGGGAATTGGGTAGTATGAGTAGAAGTAGAAACTGTAGTGTATTCAGTGACAGAAACTGAGGATGAAGTCTTGGATTCAGCACCAGCTGTAACGGTAACAGTGACAGTGGATGGAGTACAGTAATCAGCAGCTTTAGCTTCTGGAGTAGCAGAACCAAAAACTTCAGTTAAAACTTCAGTATCACCACTTGCATCAGTGATTGTAACAACACTGGTAATAGTAGAAGTGGTGGTACCTTCTTCTTCTTCTTCACTGGATTGAGATTTGGCTGAAGTGATAGTAGTAGTCAAGGTGTTAGTGGCAGAAGTTTCAGTGGTATCAGACATAGTCAAAGTGACGTATTGAACAACAGTGGAGGTAATGGTTTCATCTTCTTCTTCTTCTTCTTCTTCACTAGTGGAAGCAGTAGTAGTTTGAGCTTTAGAAGTGAAAGTAGTAGTCAAAGTGTTGGTTGCTGAGGTAGCAGTAGAGTCAGACAAAGTCAAGGTAACATATTGAACAAGGGTTGAAGTGATGGTTTCATCTTCTTCTTCTTCTTCTGCACTGGTGGTTTGAGCTTTAGAAGTATAAGTAGTAGTCAAAGTGTTAGTGGCAGAAGTTTCAGTGGTATCAGACAAAGTCAAAGTAACGTATTGAACGACAGTTGAGGTAATGGTTTCGTCTTCTTCTTCTTCTTCTTCGGTGGTTGGAATGGCTGCCAAGGAGGAGGCTTCAGTGGTAGTAGCAGACAATTCAGTACTTGGGATGGTGGTGTTCTCGTATCTCTTTACAAAATGTAATGGAGGTGCTGCATGAGCAAGGGCAGTGGCTGCCAATAATAAAAAGTAGTTAGAACGCATAACGAAAGACTAGGGTTGAAAGTTGAAAGTTGGGTATCTTGTAATAAAGGAATGGACGCGATTAGTTAACGCAAATTGATGGTTTGTAGGAATGTGTGTTTGGTTTTATAACTTTCAAAAAAAATCAGAAGTATCAAGAAGGTATTTTTCTTTTCTTTTTTTTTTTTTAACAAAATTTTTAATGCAGAAAGAATTGGGAAAATCTTTTAAAATTTATACAATAACAAAATTTAAGAAATGTACAACAAGAATTGGCGTGTTTTTTTTCATTAAATAACTTCGTGAAATGTGCCTGAACCTGATAAATGTACAAAATGTTATTATGTACAATTGTGTAATCGTTTGCATCAATTTTGTTAGCACCAAAGTAAAACAAAAGAATATGCACAGTGCGTGTACTTTTGTTGTGTTTTTATTTCTTGGGTTTTGTGCACGTTGCGAAACATTTTTAGTCGTTGCTTTGTTTACCTTTTCTTTCAAAACGAAAAAAAAAGCGTGTGCAACAATATCGAATCCAAAGTTACAATACACTCGAAAAGGAGAGGAGACTTTGGTTTTGCTTTGATTAATTGCAGTGCTCGGCAAGCAATAACTGTGGTATTGTTAATAATTAATTAAACTCCAGAGATTGTGATCTTTCAAAGGAATAAACGTCCTTTAATTCACTATTATAATAGAAAATTCAACCCAATCGAAAGGGGTTCTCACTCTTTCTCTGTCTTTAATTTTTTTTATTTTTTTACAAATGCTGACTCTTGGCCTAAAGAAATTATTAATGTTTGTTTACTAGTTAGATACCTAAATAGGACATGCTATCCATGTCGTACTAACCTTATTCTTGATACTTCCATCATTTTATTTTTTGATGTGTTGTAGTCGCCCTATTCGAATAAGCACACCTTCCTTTTAGGGCGCTACAAAATCAAAAGCCGCCAAAAAAAACACGCAGAAAAAAAAATGTACTCCACTGTTACACAAACATAATGCACTGTGCGCGCATACACGTATTTGGTTTGCTTATGATGAAAAAAACTATATGAACACTAAATTAAGCATCTCATTAATTAAACTTAATGATTTTCTTGCATATTATGTTCGGTCATAATTCTGGTTATGGGGGTTTTTTTTCATTAAAACTATCAAATTATGAGCTTTTTACTCTTCTTTATACCTGTCATTAAACTGGTCCCTGTTGATATCGAAGGGAATTGTAAGGCGGGTATATTTAACAGGACGTCTAACACTGAAACGAGGAATGTTTTTCAAAACATGCCGATCCCTGTTTTTGTTTAAAAATTGTTTCAGTATAAAATCCAACAATGAACAAGAGAATGAGCCTCAAAGGGACAAGTTGTCGTCAAATGAGGTTTTTGTCTTTTCCAATTGTTCTTTCTTTTTGATATAGTTTCTTTTCCAGACAAAGAATAGAATTATCTTGAAACTTTAAGTTTTAAAGTGAGTTCTTCGTTCGTCGTCTAGGAAATACTGTAATGACAAAGATAAGGATAATTGCAATTATTCATAAATAAATTACAATTTTACAGTACATTGTAATCAATCGAAGGTGATGGCCAATAATGTTATGCTTTATTCTTCGTCCATCAAGATGAGCAGTTGATGAGGATCTTCAATCTTAAACATATTTTCGTCGTGCAATTTTTCAGTTTGTTTTACATGCATAGTGAACCTCGAAATGGTCTACCTGTTTCAAAGAAAAAGAGATGAGACTGTTTGCATTTTGTTCACGGGAGGATAGATGATCATTGTCTTATAAGAAATCCTTATTGGCACAAATATTACCATGTAACACACGAAATGAACTTGAATACAAAAAGCAAATAGGGGGCATCTAATAGTATTGTTGCGTGAGCATTATTATCATTAGAAGTAATAAATTTTCATTGTTATTGTTAAATTGTTGTACCTTGAATTCAAACAATCGAATGAAAAAGGTTCGCCTAAGTGATATGAAACAAAAATACATAAAACTAGAACCATTTGTCGTTTGTTTGTTTTTTCTTTGCTTACACGGTGGGGTTTTAACAAAAGGAATGCACGAGACTTGGAAGACCAAATATTTAAGGTTCTTATAATAGGCTAGTTTAAGCTATTTCATATAATGTAGTACTCATTTTTATGGGTGTCATGTCTGTTACCACTTCTCTTTCAGACAAAAACAAACCCCAAAACCCTAAATTACAGGGTCTATAAATTGAACCCAAACTATCTCTATTTAATTGGTTGTCTGTTTACTAAAAAAAATATATAAAGAACTTCTAGATCATACATTCAATTCATTGGTTGAGATCTTGTTCTACCATAGCAGTTTTGTAAGAATTACGCTCATATTTATGCTACAAGTTAAATAACCTTCAGCCAAAAATTTAGTCCATAATTAACTATTGATGAGATATACTCGATGTTGGTTGGGAGTAAGTCCGTAGAATTAGCCCGATATTGTTGTGGTTGAATCTGGCATTTTGGCAATCCTCTGCTGCCATGGCTGATAAATCGTGAAACAGAGTGATGATTAAAGTAACGACACAAAGATACCAGCTCTTCAGATGGGCGCTTAAAATGTGATACAACAATCTCTGGTGTCCCTTTTTGCCATGAAAAGAAAAAAAAAGTAGAGAATCTAGTATAGTTTTAGTTTGTGATAATTTAGATCAATGTAAATCTTTTCGTAACGTATTTGTTAAATCTTGACATGAAAAATAAAACAATTCCAACTAAATAACATCAACATGGCTTAGTATGATAATAAACGGTTCGATTTAAAACTTAAACTGTCAAACTTATTCACAAATCAACTATTATTAATTATTGGTTGAGAAGTTGACTCATATTGGCAAGCTTATATTTATCACGTGATACGATCACGTGTGATAGAACTTTTTGAAAATGATTCAGCAAATAAAACCACTAATTGATAGTAAGCCATCACACATTTATAATCAGGATCATCTAAATCGTCTATCTATTACTTACCGTAGGGTAATTTACAGATATATATTTTTATTTGGCGGTTCATGTCGATTTTTGTTCTCAAAATGGCTTTACTAACAGTTATTAATTTCTGAATTTTCAGGAAGAAAAAATTCAAATTTTTTTTTTCTTTGGTGTAAAATTATGTTGTTGTTTTTTGTACATATTTATAAACAAAGTCCCACACAACTTATATACACACAGTCATATTCTATTTTTACAGTTTTTCAGTAGTTTCATAAATCTGGAATACCACCACTTGGTCTAATTAACTACCGTTTACTTTTATATATATATATTATTGATATAAACTGTCGTAGGATCATGTCATCACCAAATGCCCCTGGATATTCAAGTGATTTACCACTACAGCGGAAACAGCAACAACATGAGGAAATGGTAGATTCCACACAATCTGAATTTGAAGAGACAGAAGAATCTGATGCAGATGAAGATGAAAATGGAGTTGTTAATGCGTTTCCATCTTCAAGCACAAATAACTTTCCAATGCTAGCCATGAATAATATGAATGGAAGTGCAACTAATACTATAGTCTCTCAAGGAAATTTTCGTATTTCAAACCCCAACTTGACTATAAATAATCAACCCCAAAATGATTCAAATCAATCCAATTCATCTTTAACAACTAAAAGCAACAATACAAGTCCTACAAACAGTAATGGTTCGACCCCGATTGACCTGGATCATCCAAGCCAAGTGCAAGATCAAGATCAAGAAGTCCTTAATGAAACTGGGCTAGAGGCATATTTTAGAAGAAAAGCACTTGGTATTATTAACCAAAGTGCAATTGATAAAGTAACGAAATCACCAGTAAGACCTGTCAAGAATAAGTCCAAATCGAAAAGAAAGACAAACTCAATCATAAGTTCATCCAATTCTAGTGGATCTGTAGATGAGGAAAACGGAATACCTTCGCAATTGAACGACCCTGATGCTACTACTACTACTGCTGCTCCACCGCATCAAAGACGAAGAGAACTTACGGCAGAAGAAAGGAACTACATATATGGCATCAACGATGGTATAGTATTGCTACTGCAAAAATGTGAAGAAATGCATAAAAAATTTGAAGAATTGTTAATGTCACATAAAAAACTAAGGTCACTTAGGAAAACAGACATTGCAGAGCTTTTAAAAAAACTGAAACCTCCTCGTCTTTCTGGAAATGATTTAGCACAGATTTCAGGGTTCAAATATGAGACATATAAAACAACTTTACGACGTCGTACAACTAGATTGAATGGGCATACCGCAAGGAGATCCGGCCGTAGAAGAAAAGAAGATAGAGAACCAGACGAAGTCAATAATGATAATCAAAATAACAATGTACAATGATGTATAGGTAGAATAGATGTTTATTATTAATCGTGATATTCGAGAAACTGTGTACTATTTTTTTGCAATTACAGGTTAGCAAACTATACTTCTTGATACGCGGAAAAGAGCGCAGAGCAGCGCGCAGCAAAAATTTGGTCGTGGATCTTTGCCCAGAAGCGGAATTATTTGCGATAAAGCAGTAGATTTAGTGATATCTTTTTCGTTTGATGCCATTTACCCACAGTTTTTAAATTACATTTTCATTCCACGGGTTTTATCCCTTATTATAAGATATTAAATTCATACTTTTTTTTATATATATTCTTGACGTAAGTTTTCTTTTTATTAGGTTCATCGAAGTTATTATATACATCAATCATGGTTGCACTTCCATTAGATGAAGATTTGAGATCTGGAAAGAGGAGATTTTTCTTGTTTGGGGTAATTGCTATCGTTGCTATCTTGATAACGTTGTTTTCAACCAATTTGTTTAGTTACTTGAGGATATACCTCACCTCAATTTCAAACGAAAGTTCTCTATGCCCACTCCATGATCCAATTGCTCCTGAATCTTTCTACAAGGACAATTCCACGGTTTTGCAGATCTTAAATGATAAGAAATATAAGAAAGATTCAATCAAGAGATTAGCAGGTGCCATTCAAATCGATACTCAAATTTTCGATAACCCACCAAATGTTCCAGACTCACCTGAATACTGGAAAAAATTTACTAAATTTCATGACTATTTGGAAAAAACATTCCCATTGGTTTATAAAAACTTGGAAGCTACTAAAATCAACACTTATGGTTTGGTTTATTCTTGGAAGGGTACCGATAAAGACTTGAAGCCACTTTTATTGACTGCTCATCAAGATACTGTTCCTGTTCAGAAGGATAGTCTTGACCAATGGACTTATCCTCCATTTGAAGGCCATTACGATGGTGAATTTATCTATGGCAGAGGTGCTTCGGATTGTAAAAATGTCTTGATTGCTATTTTGGAAACATTAGAAATCTTATTGTCCAACGGGTACGAACCTAAAAGATCAATTGTTGCCGCTTTTGGTTTTGATGAAGAATCATCTGGTTTAATAAGCTCAAGTCGTATTGGTAAATATTTGGAGAAAACTTATGGCAAGGATTCATTTTATGCATTGATCGATGAAGGTAGAGGATTAGGTATTGATGCTTTGACTGGTACCATTATTGCAAAGCCAAGTACTGGTGAAAAAGGTTACCTTGATATTCAAGTTGAATTAACCACCCCAGGTGGTCATTCTTCAATCCCACCAGATCATACCTCTATTGGAATTATTTCTGAATTGAATTATGTAATTGAAAAGGATCCATACCGTCCAATTTTAACAGAGAAGAATCCAATTTTGAAATATTCCCAATGTGTCGCCTTACATGATCCAAAAAATAACATTCCTAGGTTTTTGAAAAAGGCATTTTTGAGAGCTGGATATGACAGAATTGCCAATGCTATTCTTATTGGGAAAATCCTGGAAAATAGATTTACAAAATATTTGGTCAGAACCTCTCAAGCAATTGACATTATTAATGGTGGAGAAAAGGCTAATGCCTTACCTGAAGATACTAAAGTATTGATCAACCATAGAATTGCCGTCGAATCTACTGTTGAAGAAGTCAAAGAACATTTCGTTACCAGAGTTGTTGAGGTTGCAAAGAGACATAACATATCAGTTGTTGCTTATGGTGAGTATGTACACAAATCTGAAAGCGATTCAGGTTTGTTCAACGTTACCGTTAATTCTAAACCATTGGATGCTGCTCCTGTTACCCCAACTAATGATACAGTTTGGTCCTACTTGGCTGGTGTTACGAGACATGTTTATGAAGACTTGGTTTTCACAAACATCACCTATCCTATTGTCACTGTACCATCAATGCTGACTGGAAATACTGATACAAGACATTATTGGAATTTAACCAGAAACATCTTCAGATTTAGTCCTGGTTTTATTAGCAATTTCCCTGGTGGTACTCGTATCCACAGTGTTGATGAAAAATTGCCATTTGACAGTCATTTGCAATTACAAGCTTGGTTCTATGAGTACATCCAAGCCATTGACACTGTTAAAGCAAATAATTAAAGATAGTTCTAAATTTTTTTCACACAATTACATCATTTTATATTAAATATTGAACAAAAATAATAAAAAAAAACTGTATATCTTTTTTTATTTAAATAAAAATACATGAATCAAATATCTAACCCGTTTTGTTTAATATCCCACAAGTATAATGTGGTTAAAACTTCCTGAAATGCTTTACCAAAGCTATATCGTTTTCCACGTTGAGTTTATCTTTCTCTCATTTTCTGCTCCTCATACACTCTCTCTGTACAACTATTCATTGATTAACTCTCTATTATAATCTAGTTTACATCTTTTCTTTCCAAAGGATTATATCTCAAGAATTTTTCAATCAAATCAACATGAGTTAAAACCATTCTTCTACAACAATATCTCTTCAACTTCAATTTGTCCAAAGCATCACCTTCACTGATGGTTTCATCTTGTAATAATTCTAAATATGTTTCCCATTTATCACCAACAACTTTACCACAGGAAAAACAACGTATTGGAATAATCATTATGTGAGTTTTATTATGTTATTGGAGTATTAGTAATAGATGATATTGGTTGTAAAATTTATAATGATTTCTTTTTTTTTTGGTTTTTTTTTTATTGAGTTTACTGAAGTGATGGAGTCGATTTTTTTTTTCACACATTCTGCACTACTTTTCACGTTTTTTTTTTTCTCTTTCTTCTTCTTATTCTCTCGCGCATCAACCATAGACCCATCTCATCTTAAATATCCCAGTTTAGGGAAAATTTTTAACAAGGACTAGATTTACTTGTTTATCTTATACACCCCAAAAATTAACAACACCCATGCCAAGTGCCAATTCAGACTGGTCATTATCTATGGCTACTGGTGGTAAGCCAGTTTTCTTGCCTTATTCTCAAGCATCAGCATCCGTGTACTCCCTGGATGGTAGATACATCATTATTGCATTGGCTCATCAATTACGAGTTTATTTTATTTCCACTAGACAATGTATCAAAACTATTGACTTGAATTTGGAAGACTTGGTAGATATAAAATTAGATGTTACTAATATGAACCAAGTACTATTATTTAAAAGTTCAGGAGAATTGGTCACAGTTAATTGGAAGGATAAAGTTTCACAACCAATTGTATCCAACATAAACATCAAATCTAATTTACCTATTTTATCGGTCATTTCAGTAAAGCATTTATCATTTATTATTATTACTGGTAGAATCGACAAGAAGAAAAATGGAAGCTCACCACATACTCGTTACATTAACTATTTTGATAGAAATCAGGAAACTTTGACTCCAATAATTGAAGTTAGTAACTCTATTAACTTTGCTGTTTCTTTAGATAATTCTAAAATTGCTTTTGTCACCAGTGACAACGAAGTTAACTTGTTTGATTTATCTGATATTTACAAACTTGACAATATTGAAAACTTGAAAGATGATGACATTTCTAATGAAATAATCCCATTTGTTTATAAGTCAGCAATCACCGCTATTGCTGTCTCCAATGATTCCATTGTCGCACTTGGTACAACATCAGGTCCAATTCAAATAGTTTATGGTGGTTTAATTACACCAAAACCACAAAGGGTCTTGAAATGGCATCTTGATCAAGTTAAAAGTTTATGTTTCACCGAAGACAACAACTATTTACTTTCAGGTGGTATGGAAAAAGTATTGGTTTTCTGGCAATTGGAAACTGAGAAGAAACAATTCTTACCTCGTTTGAATGGTACCATTGAAAAGATTTCTATTGATACTCACAAGAATGATTACATTTCATTAGAATTAAGAGTTGATAGCATTGATAACATCCACGAAATTTTGGTTATATCTGCCATTGATTTGGTTTCTAGATTATCTGTAAACACCATTCGCCCAAGATTCGCTCACAATATCAAAAACACTATCAACAAGACCAAGAAGAAGTATACTAAAAATTCGTCTGATTTTGATAAATTGAAAATCAGATACGACTACAGTTGTAACTTTGAAATCAATCCAAAGACCAAAAACTTGTATTTCCCAAATGATTCCAGTATCCAAGCTTTTGATTTATTCAAGAATGAACAAGTATTCATTCAACATGCTGCTCCAGTCTTGAATGTCGGTAAGGTTAGATCAGAAACAAAATTATTGGATCCTCTGGTCACTCTATTGAAATTTACTCATGATGGTGAATGGATGTGTACATTTGATGAATTCAAAAATACTGAAGTTGATGATTTATTATTGAAGAATGAAAAACAATATGCTTTAAAATTCTGGAAATTCATTGAAAATAAAGACAATACTTCAACTGCTGCTACTCCTGGTAATTCAAGTAAAACTGGACATTGGGAATTAACTACCAAAATTATAGATCCTCATGGAAATAACCCAATATTATCCATGATTCCAGCTCCAACTTCATATTTCAATGGGTTGGCATTTTTAACTGCTGATAATAAAGGTGGTTTAAGAATATGGAGACCAAGTTTCCCTAAAGAAGCTTATAAAACCTCATCACAAAGATCTCAACAAACTGCATGGACATTAAGAAAATCAAGATCTCCTGGTGCTTTATCTTCTGAAGCTGTTGCATTAAGTTGGTCAGATGATAGTTCTTTGATCTTCTTGGGTCATGAATGTACAATAACTACAATCAATTCCAAAACCTTGGAAGATACTCCTGATTTTAAAATCCCATCATTATCAGGTTCCAGAGTTAGATCCTTGAACCTTGTTGATAATAATCTTGTTGTTTTATCCAAGACAAGAATTTCCTCATTTGATTTAATTTCTGGTGAATTGACTGGTTTGGTTGCAAAAGTGAATACAACTTATGGTGGTAAAAATTTAATTGCCATTGATCCTGTTAAGAAATTGATCTGTTTAGCATTAAATTATTATGATACTACCGCCACAGATAATAATGATAATGAGAAATTTACTATTAAATCAAAAATCTTAATTTTTAAACCAAATCAATTGAAACCAATATCTGTTCAATATCATGATACTGGAGTATCATCAATCCGTTATTTTAATTCATCATTTATATTTGTTGATTTGGATTGTCGAGTAGGAACTATTTACAATAATGCTACTGATGATATCACTGATGCTGTTGAAATTGGTTTAACACAAGAAATCAACAATATGCTAATAACTGCACAAGCAACTGCTGATGTAATAAACGATAGAAATGTCGAAGTTAAAGTTGGTAAGCAAAATAAAGCAGATGATGGCATGGATATAGATGATGGATTACAATATAGTCAAAAAGTCATTGATCTTCATACTTTCCAACCAATTTTCCAAAATATCGAAGGTGTTCAAATTGAATCATTGTTTGATCGTATAGTTAATGTACTTAAATAGAGTTATAACACAGTAAAATATAACGAATTGAAATAAAAGCTAAAATAAAATAAAATAAAATAATAGTAAATATAACTAAAATAAATTCAAGCTAAATTAACACCGACTATTTACACAAACAAAACAAAAATTAATTGTCGAAAGAAAATTATAAAAAAGGAAAAGCCAACCCAACTGATTTACCAGCCAAATACTGACTTTTTATGTTCGTCCTCGTGACCTCCTTTTTGTGTTGTTCTTTGAATAGCTAAGACACTTTCAATTTTACTCAATGCATTCTCTAAAATATCCTTTCTTTCTTGTAGTTCGATATGTTTCTTAATCTTTGGATCTTCCTTGGCAAGCTTTTCGATTTCATCTTTACTCAAATTGCTGAAAAATTTCAAATCTAATTCACGTGGGAAGTTATAGTAGAAATCACTTAATAACTCCACATTTAAAAATAATACCGCAGTATTTGTTATCTTTGTAACTACAGCATCAAGGAAAATTTCTGGACATTGGTACTTGCTCTCCTTTCTTTTACATTTCTTCGAATTCTTAACAAACTGGTACCTCATTTTAAGTAATGATAACCTTTCTTTAAGGAAAATAGCATCTTTACCACGTTGAATCAAAGTAGGAGAAAATCCCAATGCTTCATTTGTGGACAAATCAATGTCACTATTCTGTTGTTGTTTCAATTTCTCCAAGTATGTCACAACTTGTTGCAATTTTCTGCCACCAACTTGACTCTTCAAATCATGATAAAGCTCATCACATTGTCTCATTTCTTCCTTTAGTAAATTGACTGCGTTTTCTTTGGATGTTTGCCATTCACGATCTTCTAATTCAATTTCATATTTGTAAGGTTTAATACAATTTTCAACTTGATCAGCAGTGGAATAGTACTTGTTGCTCAAAACTGATTTGGCTGCATCGCGAACAGCTGATTTGGCCATTGGGTGATTTCTCAACTGAGTATTATCCACCAAATTTTCCACCTCTGTAAGTAATGCATTGGTTATCAAATTAGTTGAAAGTCTTCCAACACCAAGCTTGGTCAATGAAGAAGTTATTAAATCCAATTTCTTGTGCCAATAAATATCATTATCAATGTTAATCTGAGTTAATTCTCGTAAATCCGGTTCAAAAGTATTATTTTTTAATTCAAATGGTTTGTTCCAATATCTCTCTGCCATTAAATCTAAAACCTTTTGGTCCAATGCGCTCTTCAAAATTGATTTCAATTCATTTCTGGAAAAACTGTGGCTCAAATCCTTTGTACCCAATTTTAAAACATCAATGTTATTAGCCAAATACATTTCTGGAGTCAACGGGCGATCATTGAATTCAACCTTAAATTGATAGGAAGTCTCTTCCAACTCTTGTTGAATAGCCAAATGGGTTGGTCTCAAGGAAGCTGCCATCGTCTTTTCCAATACCTTCATTAATTTTTTCTTCAAGTTTCTGGTTCCAACAGTACATCCAAAGAATGCTTCTTTGTTTTCCTTCAAGAATGTATGCTCAAAATTCTGTTGAGCAACAAATGCTTGATAACCACTGATTTGCTTTCTAGAAAACAATCCACCAGCACCCGTCTTTGCTGCTGGTGCTTTGGTAATAACACCAACATAACCTAACCTTAAGGGATATTTTTTATTCAACAAAATCTTGCGTGCTACTTCCGGATCAACCAAATCCAATTTTGTAACAACACCGATTGTTCTTTCTCCTCTTGGATCAGCCAATCTTGAAGCTCTCAAGGCAGCTGAGTTGGCTAAATCAACATCAGCAGCAGAAATTGCAAGGATAACATTAGGTGGTTCCAAATATCTGTTACACAACTCTCTAATTTTATTCTTTAATTCGGTAGGTTGATCTGCCGCTTCAACTTGAATATACCCCGGTAAATCAACCAATGACAAATCGGGAACTCTTGGGGATCTAATGGTAACCTGAATAGGATCATTTGATATACATTCAGAGGCAGGAACCGCCATGTTTAAATCGTATAATATTTTTTGAACTTGGTCGAAATCAGTCAAGTTGAACATTTTCAAAGCAGGAAATTCAGCAACATTGGCAGCAGCTTCAGGAGTGTTAACCAAAGTCAATTCGATAGGTCTTCTGGTAACCATGTTTGAACCTTTTGGTAAAAACTCTTGACCAACAATACATTCCAAAACAGAAGATTTCCCACTTGATTGAGAACCAATGACAACAATAGATGGTAATCTAATACCATCATGGTTTATATTAGTCAATAAATTTCTAATCTCGATCATTTGACGTGTTAAATTAAGCATGTGATCATCAGTTTCGTCATTTTCAAAATCTTCTTCATCATCATCTTCAATGAGTGTCTCTTCGTCATCGTCTTCTTCAAGGTCAGATTCAGCAGTAGTCGATTCACCTTCATCTGATGTGAACCCAACTGCTGCAGCTGCAGCTCCTGCAGCGGTTGCACCACCTCCATTATCACCTCCTCCTTGTTGGCCTCCATTAGAACCTGATCCATCAGTAGTTCCAAGACCCTTGAAAAAATCACCTGTTTTATCAAAAAATCCTTCAGATATATCCTTTAACGCTGATAATTTATCCTGAGTAAAACTACTAGCCTGTTCAACTTTATAAGCAACGTAGCTTCCGCCTGCGGCCATAGCACCTCCCACATAAGCAGGCATTTTCACTACTCTAGTTACTATTTTGAAAAACCCCAAATTTCTAGTAGGAGTATACGTGGGGATGTACTTCAACTGAGTATGAACTCGTGCCGTTCTCAATAAAGCAAAACTTTGTAAAGGAATATGACGCCCATGTGTTAGTAGCCGACCACCATTTCTATATATCATGGTGAATGGTACTAGTGTATTGCAGGATATAGTTGTGTTTATCAATCAGAAACTAAAAAGAAGGGTTGGAGGAGGGAAAAATTAATCGCACGGTTTTTCTTTTTCTTTTTTTTTGCTTTCTCTGTTTTGGTGAGAGTGCGTAATGGTGGCAATCAAAATCACAAACCCAATAAATCCACCGATCACCACCACCACCACCACCACACACGGGCTAACCATCCCAATCAGCAACAACAACAACAAGAAGATCAACCAACAGGATGATGAGCAAAAAATAAATCTCTCTTGCGGGGAATCGAACCCCGATCACGCGCGTGACAAGCGCGTATTCTGACCGTTAAACTACAAGAGATTGAAATTGCTTCCAACAGGATTCGAACCTATGATCTCCTCATTACTAGTGAGGTGCCTTACCAACTTGGCCATAGAAGCTGTTTCTTGTTGGTGTGAGCCCCCATGCCCTGGCCCGTTTTGATGCTCTGCAAGCTACCTGTTGCTTTGTATGTGTGATGTAGGTGGTATTTGATGGATATTGGCGTAACACCGACTTCGATGGTATATTAATTATGGTTTCATGATTGGAATGTTTATATTAAAATTTCAATTACCACCAAGTATCTGATATGAAACTTGTCCACCCCTGATTAATTACGGAGGAAGAACCTCACCAGGAGGAAACTTGAAGTAGCCATTCCATTTCATTTGACGAATTTTTAATAAATTTTGGAGGTAAAGTGTTGTTGCTTACTAATTAGTTTATATTATAATTCTAAACTCGAAAATTGTGGCAGTGGCTTTAAAGTCAAATTAAGACAAAATTTTCCTCTTTACTCCGCAGCACGGACATTATTCAGCAACCCCCCCCCCCCACCAGCTCTTATTTTTGCTCTGGATTATAAATAGCCATTTAGTTTTTTCGTCTTGATCGAGTTTCTGTTTTCTCCAATTAATCACCAATACAATAATGGTTCAGCCAATTAAATTATATTCAGTACCAACCCCTAATGGTATCAAAGTTAGTATATTTTTAGAGCTCTTGAAATTACCCTACGAAGCTGTTTTTGTTGATATTTCAAAGAATGAGCTGAAGTCTGACTGGTTTGTGAAATTGAATCCAAACGGTCGTATCCCAACCATTACTGATCCAAATTTTGAAACTGGACCAGTCACAATTAGTCAAACTGGTGCTATTTTGCAATATTTGGCTGATCAATACGATAAAGACCACAAGTATTCCTACCCACAAGGAACCGCTGAGTATTATAAGACTTTGGAGTATCTTATTTTCCAAGTTGCTGAAAATGGTCCAATTCAAGGTCAATTAAATCACTTTAAACTTTATGCCCCAGAAAAAGTTGAATACGGTATTAATAGATACGAAAATGATACTAAAAGAATATATGGTGTTTATGAAGATATTTTGTCCAGAAATTCTGGCAATGGAAACAAATACTTGGTTGGTGATCGTTACACTGTTGCTGATATTGCATTGTTTGGCTGGGCCAATTCTTTATCCAGAGTTGGTATTGATATTAGTCAATGGCCATTATTGAACAAGTGGTTCCATGCAATCAAAGAATTGCCAGCTGTCGAAAAGGGTATCACAGTTCCTCAAAAGCCATAGAATGGTAGAAACCAGTTCAGTTATCTTTATGCTGGATGGAAACTTGGTCAATGAAAAAAAATGTTTATTAAATCAAGCTACGTAAGAAAGCAAAAGAAATATAAAAAATAAGAATGTAATACAAGTACTTTTTGTATACTCTGGTAGACTTGTTGTTCTCTTCAAGTATAGGTTGTAACATCTCGTAATTACTACATTTATAGGTTCCGTCTTGATGTCCAAGGAAATGATAATTGGCAAAACTATTATGTAGATTCAAGTAGTATCTGGATAAACTTGAATATGGTTGCGATGATTCCTTCAAGTACTCGTTGAGTTGAGATTTGTATTTAATAGATGATGGAATGCTTCTTGGTTGGTACTTTGGAGGTGGTGTACGAGGAGGTGAGCGCGGTGCCGATGGAGATAATTGTATAGCTGTCTGCTCTGGTGGTTCATAGTCCTGGCAGTACTTTTCCCAGGACTCAACAAGCGAATTATCTGCTGTTGGTGGTGGAAGTGGTAGTGGAAGTTCTGACGTGATGATTTGTGAACACTCTAGTTCTTCAACTTCTGTAGTGCATTCGAAATAGAACGGTTTTTTGTTACCGGTCACCCGATAGCATACTGCATTCAAAGTAGAATCTGCTAACTCATCTAATGATAATTTCTCTGTGGGGCATCCAGGAATGTTGTGTGTCGTTTGGAACTTGTCGTCAGAATACCTGGCAACGATGGTGACTTCATCAGAATCGTAGTCCTTGATATCTCGATCTCTATGCTTGATGTATGATGAGTTTCTTTTCAATTTGAGCTTTATTGTAGCGCACTTGTGTTTCACCAGCGCAAGTCTAGTACTGTATTTTCTTTTTATGGACAGACATCTACTCGATACAGAGTTTGTCGTGGAAGTACTTGTGGTTGAAGAAAAGCTACCATTGCTATACTTTAGACTTAATAACAAACTGTTTCGCTTTGAATCTGGAACAACCATCATTTAAACTGACATAGTTGTACTGACGAAATATTAAGGAAGAAAGAAAAAAAAGGGATATATCGAGTGACGTTCATCAGACAAGGCTTGGTAAGTGGGATTCAGGGGAAGATATCCAAGTATTTATATATATTAAAAAAAAAAAGCAAGTAGAAATTTCCAAACGTATCGCTCGGGATTACTATAACAAAAAAATTTCTTTTTCAGGGAACTTTATGGATAAGGCGAGGTAGAAAAAATAGAGGGTACAAAATTGTCAAGCAAGCAGGTGAGTAAAGCACTGTAAACAATTTAAATGTACGATTTTCTTCAACTTCAAAGGGCTAGGCTACAATAATAACTGCAACTGCAAAGTTGAACGTTATGGGCCATTTATCTCCTATTCAAATACAATATCCGAATGTACCTGTTTTCATCGAGTCCTCTTCTTCTTTTATCAAGCGGGAACTATGGAACTAAAAGAAGAGCTAGAAATGACGCAAAATAGAGAAACGAAGGAGAGAAAAAAAAAACAATTTAGCAAGATTCTTCTGTTCCCCTTTCACATTTCGTCATAATCAAATACCACCTTGTTTTCATGGAAGAATGTAAACTTAAGAAAAACTAAAACCACCTAAAATTCCTACTTCAGTCGAAATCTCTGACAAGCGTGAAAATACCCCTAATTCTTCGTCTACCTCCAGCATTCTAGTATTTTGTCAATAATCTCGAGGGGTTCACTTCATCTTGTCTGTCTGTTTTGCGTTATGTAACTTCACATATGCATCTTGAAATTTTTGTCTGTATAATGGTGTGGTTTTCACACACGCACACACTTTCTACATCTCATAATTTAGTTCTTTGTTTTCGCTATTGTCTCTTAGATGGAGACAAAGAACACCTGAAATGAAAATTTCAGATCAGCCATAATACCTCCACCCTTTCACAGATCTCGTTACCTCCTGTTTGTTGATTCTCAGTGACAAATGACAACGCTCGATAACTTGGTATCACGTTGTCCCAATGATTGAACTAACTTGCATAAAAAATAAAAAAAAAAGACTAGCATTGCATGAAAAAAAAAGATTTTGAAAGCATATTTTTATTATGGTTTCTTGATTTGGAGTTGCAGTTTCCTGATTTTGATTCATATGCACAGTTTGAAGCAACCCGAGATTGGTTGTACAGTATTGTACTGATATTTGACGTAGATGGAGGGTGCTGATAGGGTATAATTAAACTTTTCAATTTTAAAACACCAGGTGATTTTCACTTAACAGACAGAATCTTTTGTGACAAAATTTACATGCAATAATTTTCCAATTTTTCAAGAAAACCAGAACCCCTAAAAATAATAATAAAAAAGTGGGGAATAACATCACAGACAATCTAGCATACTCGTTAGCTTAGAATGATAAATATTGGCCTGTTAGAGTAGTGTTTGCAGTGGTTTCTTAAGTTTGTGGGATTGAGAGTAAAGTCGCTTGTAAATCACTTAAACATATAGTACACCATTTCAATGTTCCCTTTTCATAGTTTACGTATTATTTCATGGCAAGAGTTGACACAATATTGTTTGGTCAGAATATCTAACATCTCAATGTGAGAAATTTCATCACTTTTACCACCTACATCACACATACAAAGCAACAGGTAGCTTGCAGAGCATCAAAACGGGCCAGGGCATGGGGGCTCACACCAACAAGAAACAGCTTCTATGGCCAAGTTGGTAAGGCACCTCACTAGTAATGAGGAGATCATAGGTTCGAATCCTGTTGGAAGCAATTTCAATCTCTTGTAGTTTAACGGTCAGAATACGCGCTTGTCACGCGCGTGATCGGGGTTCGATTCCCCGCAAGAGAGATTTATTTTTTGCTCATCATCCTGTTGGTTGATCTTCTTGTTGTTGTTGTTGCTGATTGGGATGGTTAGCCCGTGTGTGGTGGTGGTGGTGGTGGTGGTGGTGGTAATGATCGGTGGATTTATTGCGTGGGTCAAGAAAATTCAAGTTTAATTTTTTTCCACTTCTAAAAAACATTTGAGCCTTTGATCATTGAAATATGCTGATGTCTTAAACTTTGAAAAATTGATTTTCTATCGTATATCTGTTAGAACATAGAAGGGGTAATATACGACGTCTAGTTATTTTGACTTACCCATGTATTTAGCCTGTAGATGCTACTGCACTTCATTGCCTAGTTACGAACTCGCCCAAATATTTATGTGTCGTTTGGAGATTGTGTAAGTTGTCAATTGCAATTTCCAAAACGCAATATTGTTGGACAAATAGAAAAGATTTAGATTACTGTATATTGTTCTGTATTATTTGAAGTTGGAATGAAGCTCCAAGTACTGCGATTAACAACAAATAAAATAACCATCACATGGATAAGACACAGTGAAAGCTCTTTAAAAATCATGCCATGTTTTCCATGAGGAAGTTCAAGTTAATACCACTACTATATTTTATTGGACAGAAGCTTGTAGAGAACCAAGGTTAATCCCTTAGACAACAAATAAATGTAAGTCAATTTTTTTTTGACAAAAATTGTTTTATCTCTGTTTAGTTTCCACTTTGATTTGTCTGAAACGTAGATTATATCTGAGAATCGTTCTAAATAATACTTGAAACTTGAGAGAAGAACCATAGAATGTCAGATGGACTGAATCTTAGAGTCATACAAGTATGCTCTCTTCGACAAGAAAACATCCAATAAAATAATTAACATCTGAATGAGCAGACCTTTTACCAACTCCAACAAGAAGCCAGTTTGGCAGAGTTGCAAGAATGGTTTAGTGGTAAAATCCAACGTTGCCATCGTTGGGCCCCGGGTTCGATTCCCGGTTCTTGCATTTTTTTGTTTTTTTCTATATTTAGAGTAACTTTTTTTCATACATCATTTAAATTTCTTTCAATATCCATCCCGTTGGATCTTTTTTTTTTATTGCATAACATCTATCCTATATTAGTCTTGAGTTCATTCAAAGAACCAGCTCACTGGCCAAATCACTTTCAACATGATTTGTTAAGATAAGGCTTAGTTTGACGCGACACCTTGGTGTTGTCAATATCGAAGCTTAGAAAAATAAGTGTAAGAGATTTTTTTCTTGGCAAAAATAAGCCCCTGTATTTTGCAACTTCTTTAATAAAAGTAGACCACTAATAGACAAAGAACAGATAGTATGAAGTTGATTTAAATGTTTCATGATCATCATATCAGATCGTATGACGTCGTCACTTTTTTTTTATTTCCTCCAACGACTGTCATTACCCGAAATCGTAAAAACAAGGAGGCATCCATTTTGTTTATTATAAAAGCCAAAATCAAACGTCTCACAGTCTAAACTACAAAGTTATTCAAATGAGGAAGTATTCGGTTTGGGAAAAGAAATAATGAAAGCTTAATCTTCAAGGTGAACACTTATTCTGAATAGGAAACTTTAACTATGAGGAAATAAGGGGTCGAGTTCACCATTGAACTTGATATTCATAGTTACATAATCCTTTCTTATTTTACACGAATTATATAACATGAAACGCAACAATGTGGCACATTAGGATAAATATTAAAGAAGTACAATAGCCCTTTGTTTTCCGGTACTTAACTCAGATTGCTTATTTCTACCTGGATCATTGAAAATTTTTCTCCACTATTAATGATTAGTACCTTATTGCGTTATTTTTCTCATGGTTTATTTTTAAATTAGACAAAAAAATTTTTTTTTTTTCTTTCCCCCTTCCCCCCACTATTAAGGAAATAATCCAATTTGATTTACATACTAACTATTGTGATTTATTGCGCCTAGGCGTTATTATTTCCTTCAGAGTTAACCCCACATGAAATTCGGTTCTAGTGCTCAAGACTAATTAAAAGAAAAGAAAAAAAAAAAACAGTTTCTTTTATCTGCCTAGCTACCCGTCAACGAATGACATCGCTTTCATCCTTATTGGTTGATGATTATTGTCATGTTACCGATATTGTACGGCTTGGAAGATTTTTAGTTTTTGTCCATCATTTTTATGATTTTTACTTTTCAATTTTTTTTTCTTTCGTTTGCTATGGTTTAAACAAACATCCTTTATTCGTACTTGAACACCCTAGAAAGATTCGATTCTAAGAATAGATCATTTCAAACTCGGATAAAACAATAAGTCTTAAATTTATCCCAAGTAACAGCATTAATTTAAATGTTGTTGTTATACGTTCATCCAGAACTACAAATCATCTCTACTTAAAATATTTCCTAAACAGGCAATTCTTGCTACCAATTGTTTTACTTTTTTTTAACCTTTTTTACAGAATTGCCTTACGTGCTGTAATCTAAAATGCTAAAAGCTAAATTGAATGGTTGATCAAAATGCCTTTATCCTTTCTCCTCAGCATTGTGATCATTTGATTTCTTAACTATGTCATATATAATTCTGTTAAAATTTCTTAGAAATTAGGCGTTTTTCCTTTTCAATCTTTTTTTTATCATTTCTGTTTCTTCATCTATTCAAATTTATACCCAGCTTTTGCATCTATTTTTTGTTTTGCATTAATTTTCACAGGGCTAGCTTGATCTCATAGAGATACCAAAAAAATGCCTAACGACAAGAAGCAGAGTCAGCCTTATGCTGGTTATTATACCCAAAAATCACAAGGGCAGCCATACTATGGCTACTACAGTGGATTCAATAAAAGTGCATCAGCACAAATTCACCATTTAGCAAGAACCATGACACAGGGTGCACCATCATGCTATGACGATACCCAAACTGCAGCAACTATGCATCCAAATGGTGTTAATCCAATATTTGACAAAACCGATCCAACATTAGACCCAGAATCCCCTTCATTTAGTTCCAAACGATGGGTCCAGAATATGTGGAAATTATACCAAAGTGATTCCGACTACTATAAACCTGGTAAATTGGGTGTTGCCTATAAGAATCTTCGAGTATATGGTGATGCTATAGAGAATGATTACCAAACAACAGTGTCAAATGGAGTATTTAAATTTGCCAAAAAGGTCATCAACAAGTTTCGTCAGAAAACAGACGATTATACATTTGATATTTTAAAGCCTATGGAGGGACTAATCAAACCTGGGGAAGTAACAGTTGTATTAGGTAGACCAGGAGCAGGATGCTCCACATTTTTAAAAACAATCGCTTGTAAAACAGAAGGGTTCAAGATTGCTGATGGTTCAATCATTTCCTACGATGGTATTACGCAGGAAGAAATCAAAAGTCATTTACGTGGAGAAGTTGTCTATTGTGCTGAAACTGAAACCCATTTTCCAAATTTAACTGTTGGTGATACTCTTGAGTTCACAGCTTTGATGAAAACTCCTAGAAATAGACCAGCAGGTGTTTCTCGTGAACAATATGCTAAACATATTGTAGATGTGGTTATGGCTACCTATGGTTTAACCCACACCAAAAATACAAAAGTTGGTAATGATTTTGTCAGAGGTGTTTCTGGAGGTGAACGAAAACGTGTTTCCATAGCTGAAGTTTCATTGGTGCAGGCATCAATCCAGTGTTGGGATAACTCTACCAGAGGCTTGGATGCTGCTACAGCTCTAGAGTTTATTTCATCTTTAAAGACATCAGCATCTATTCTTAATGATACCCCAATGATTGCTATTTATCAATGTTCCCAAGATGCTTATGATTTATTTGACAAAGTTATTGTAATGTACGAAGGTTATCAAATTTTTTTCGGTTCTTCGCAACGTGCTGCCAGTTATTTTAAAAAAATGGGTTATATTTGTCAGGATAGACAAACTGTTCCTGATTTCCTAACTTCAATTACCAATCCAGCAGAAAGAATTATAAAACCAGGATATGAAAGAATAGTCCCAAGAACTCCAAAGGAATTTTACCGATACTGGAGAAGATCTCCCGAAAGACAAGCGCTTTTGGAACAGATTGATGAATATTTGGATAATTGTGAAAATTATGACCAAAAACAAGAAATATTTGAAGCCATCAGTGCCAAAAAGTCCAAACATACTCATAAAAAATCTCCATATACCGTTTCATTACCTATGCAAGTTAGATACATTATGAAGAGATATTGGGATAGAACAAAAGGTGACCCATCAGTTCCAATTTTAACAGTGTTGGGTAATGTTGCCATGGGATTTGTTCTTTCTTCAGTTTTCTACAACTTGCAACCAAACACCTCATCATTCTACTATCGTAGTTCAGTAATGTACTACGCCTTACTTTTCAATGCATATTCATCTGTTTTGGAAATTTACACTATTTATGAAAGCAGACCAATTGTTCAAAAGCAACGAGAATATGCGCTCTACCCACCAATGGCCGATGCAATAGGATCAATTATTGCCGACTTGCCTTTAAAGATCATTTCAAGTGTTTTGTTCAATATCATTTTATATTTTATGGTTAATTTCAAAAGAGAGCCAGGTGCTTTCTTCTTTTATTTATTAATCAATTTCTGCTCCACTTTATTCATGTCTCATTTATTTAGAACAATTGGTGCATTCACAAACTCCTTGGCAGAAGCCATGACCCCATCGTCACTTTTGTTGTTTGCTATGTCTACATTCACAGGTTTTGCAATTCCAGTTACCTATATGCTTGGATGGTGTAAATGGATTCATTGGATCAACCCACTTGCATATGCTTATTCTGCTTTAATGGCAAACGAATTCCATGGCCGAATTTTTAGTTGTAGTAATCTTGTTCCGTCTGGATTTGGCTATCCTTCAGAAGGTCCTTCGGTTGTATGTGCTGCTCCTGGTGCAATCCCTGGAAGTTATTTTGTGGATGGTGACTTGTACATAGAGTTATCCTTCAATTATTACTGGAAACATGCATGGAGAAATTTTGGAATCTTGTTGGCATTTGTTGTGTTTTTGTTCTTCACAACCTTGTTTTTCGTGGAACACAACAAATCTGCTATCCTGAAAGGTGAAATCTTGGTTTTCAAAAAGAAGGATATAAAGAGAATGAGAAAGAACAAAGAAGACGAAGAAGCGTATATGGAAGACGCTGATATGGCTCCATTAGATTTGACTGGAAGTACTGAATTTTCTGATTACTCCTACGATTATTATGACCGTAAGATGTTGGACACTGCCAACATTTTTCACTGGAGAGATTTGACGTATCTGGTCAAAATCAAATCAGAAGAACGTCGTATTCTTAACAACATTGATGGTTGGGTAAAACCAGGTGAGGTCACTGCATTAATGGGAGCTTCTGGTGCTGGGAAAACTACTTTATTGAATGCATTATCTGAAAGATTGACTTCTGGAAAAGTCAATTCAGGATCAAGAATGGTCAACGGTGGTCCGTTAGACAACTCCTTTCAAAGATCAATAGGATATGTTCAACAACAGGATTTGCATTTGGAAACTTCAACGGTAAGAGAAGCTCTAAGATTTTCTGCTCGTTTACGTCAACCCAGTTCTGTTTCAAGGAAAGAAAAGGATAGATATGTCGAAAGGATTATTGATCTCATGGAAATGAGACCTTATGCTGACGCAGTTGTTGGTGTTCCAGGAGAAGGATTGAATGTGGAACAAAGAAAGAGATTAACCATTGCTGTTGAGTTGGTTGCCCGTCCAAGGTTATTAGTATTCTTAGATGAACCAACTTCAGGTTTAGATTCGCAAACTGCATGGTCCATTTGTAAATTAATTAGAAAGTTGGCAAACCATGGTCAGGCAATTTTGTGTACCATCCATCAACCTTCTTCCATTTTGTTGGATGAGTTTGATAGACTCTTATTTTTGCAGAAAGGAGAAACTGTTTATTTTGGTGAATTTGGTCACAATTGTCATACTTTAATTGAGTACTTTGAAAAAAATGGTGCAAACAAATGTCCACCACATGCTAATCCTGCTGAATGGATGTTGAGTGTCGTAGGAGCTGCCCCAGGATCCCAAGCAAATCAAGATTACTTTGAAGTTTGGAGAAATTCACCTGAGTACAGAGCGGTTCAAAATGAATTGGACAGATTGGAATCATTACACGGGGTGGCTAGTGTTGATAAGGAAGAAGATTCGGAAAAGACATACGCTTCTTCGTTATGGAAGCAATATGTATTTGTCCTTCAAAGATTATTTCAGCAATATTGGCGTACACCATCATATATCTATTCCAAGTTTGCCATGGCCATTTTATGTTCATTATTCAACGGGTTTACCTTTTATAAATCTCGTAACTCAATGCAAGGATTACAGAATCAATTACTTTCTATTTTCATGTTGTTTGTTGTTATGACCACGTTAGCTCAACAATATGTTCCATTGTTTGTTTCCCAAAGGGACTTATACGAAGCAAGAGAGAGACCTTCTAAAACATTTTCTTGGGTTGCTTTTATTGCTGCTCAAGTTACTGCTGAAATACCGTATCAAATTCTTGCTGCTACTATATCATTTTTCTGTTGGTATTATCCAGTGGGAATGTATAAGAATGCCGTTTACAGTAATTCTGTTGCTAAGCGTGGAGTATTGATGTGGTTGGTTGTCACTTTGATGTTTATTTACAGTTCAACTTTGGCACAATTGTGTATTTCATTCAATCAATTGGCTGATAATGCCGCAAATGGAATTTCATTTTTGTTGACCATTTCTATGACATTTTGTGGTGTTATTGCAACTAAAGATTTCATGCCTAGATTCTGGATTTTCCTTTACCGTTGTAATCCATTTACTTACTTGACATCATCAATGATGTCGGTTGGTGTTGGTGATTCATTTGTTAAATGTGCTCCGAATGAAATCTTACATTTTCCTCCTGAATATCCAGGTACTCAAAAATGTAAAGATTATATGGGTACTTATATTGCCATTGCTGGTGGATATTTATTGAATCCTGACGATACAGATAATTGCGGATACTGTATTTTAGATCAAACCAATACTTACTTGAAGTACCTTGATATCAGTGTTAGTGATTTTGGTAGAGATGTTGGTATCTTTGTTTGTTTCATTGTGGTAAATATTGTTGGAACATTTGTTTTATATAGAATATTTAGGGTTAGATAGTTTTAAGAAAAAAAAATAAAACAATAAAATACACAGTATGTGTCTATTCTCAGTTTAAAATTTACAACAGGAACAATAACTATAACTTTTAGGTGTACATTTCTATATCACACAATATCGCTAATTGTCAGCCTTGGCTGAGTCAATAGCTTGGATGTACTCATAGAACCAAGCTTGTAATTGTAAATGACTGTCAAATGGCAATTTTTCATCAACACTATGAATATGAGTATCACCAATAAAATCACCAATGAAAGCAGGAGTGAATCTAAAAATGTTTCTGGTTAAATTCCAATAATGTCTAGTGTCAGTATTACCAGTCATGATAGCTGGAGCAGTGACAATAGGATAGGTGATGTTTGGGAAAACCAAGTCTTCATAAACATGTCTCGTAACACCAGCCAAGTAGGACCAAACAGTATCATTAGTTGGGGTAACAGGAGCAGCATCCAATGGAGATGAGTGGACAGTGACATTAAACATACCGGAATCTTTTTCAAATCTATGAATGTCCTTATCATAGGCAACAACAGATAAATTGTGTCTCTTTGCAACTTCAACAACTCTACTGACAAAATGTTCTTTGACTTCTTCAACAGTTGATTCAATGGCAACTCTGTGGTTAACCAATATTTTAGTATTTTCTGGCAATGCATTAGCCTTTTCTCCACCATTGATAATGTCAATTGCTTGTGAAGTTCTGACCAAATATTTGGTTAATCTATTTTTCAGGAGTTCATCGACAAGAATTGAGTTAGCAAATTTATCATATCCAGCTCTCAAAATAGTTTTCTTCATGGCAGAAGGAATTTTATTCTTCGGATCATGTAAAGCAATACATTGAGCATAGTTTAAGATTGGATTTCTTTCGGTCAAAATTGGACTATAAGGATCTTTTTCAATTAAATAGCTCAATTCAGAAATGATACCAATAGATGTATGATCTGGTGGAATTGAAGAATGACCACCTGGGGTGGTTAATTCAACTTGAATGTCAACGTAACCCTTTTCACCAGTACCTGGTGTAGCAAAAATAGCTTTAGTTAAAGCATCAGTGGTAACACCCGGACCTTCATCGATCAATGCATAAAATGAATCCTTGCCATAGGTCTTTTCCAAATATTTACCAATGTGACTAGCACCAATTATACCTGAAGCTTCTTCGTCAAAACCAAAAGCAGCAACAATAGATCTCTTTGGCTCGTATCCTTTTGACAATAAGATTTCTAATGTTTCCAAAATGGCAATCAAGACATTCTTACAGTCAGCTGCACCTCTACCGTAAATAAATTCGCCATCATAGTGTCCTTCTAAAGGTGGGTAAGTCCATTGACCAAGGGTTTCTTTTTGGATTGGGACGGTGTCCTGGTGAGCAGTCAATAAAAGTGGTTTCAAACCTTTGTCAGTACCTTTCCAGGAATAAACTAAACCATAAGTGTTGACTTTAGTAACTTCTAAATTCTTATAAACTAATGGGAAGGTTTCTTCCAAATAGTCATGAAATTTGGCAAATTTCTTCCAGACTTCTGGAGCATCATCAACTTCTGGTTGCTTGTCGAAAATTTGGGTGTCGATTTGAATGGCACCTGATAATCTCTTGATGGAATTCTTTTTGTACTTCTTATCGTGTAAAATCTCTAAGACAGTAGAGTTATCCTTATAGAAAGACTCAGGAGCAATTGGTTTTTGAAGTGGACATAATGTACTTTCTGTTGGAATTGGGGTAAGCGCAATTTTCAAATAATTGAATAAATTAGTGGAGAATAAAGTGACTAATACAGCTGCAAGGGCAATTGACCCGTATAAAATATATTTTTTCTTACCAGATCTGAAATCTTCATCTAATGGAAGTGCAACCATGTTTAACTTGAGATGTTGTTGAAGAATAAAAGAAATGTCCAGAAGATGAAAAAGAGTAATCTTTATGAAAAGAAAAAGTAGTTTGGAGAAAAAAAAAAAAAAAAAGAGCCGTCTCCACGGACGTGCCACACAAGATTCTTCCTCTTTTTTTTTTTTTGCTTGCTTAATTTGTCTTATCCGCATTAAATTCCGCTCCACAGTTATCGTTAAATTATTTCAATTCCGCGCCTAATTGGGTAGTTAAGTCCGCGCCGAAGTTAAAATACATCATCAAGTGATCATAAAATACAATCGTTCATATCGATAGTGATCGATGCAGTACTAGCGTCTCCAACAAAAAGGAATCTTATGGAAACTTAATAGCAAAGCTGAAACCGAATATAGGTTGATGTAATTTTTCTCTTACGTATCTATCTAAATTTATAGTGAAATATGAATATGGTTGAGTCAAATTAGAGAAAATTTTGTACTCTATAATGCCATATAACCCTACCACTTGTCAGTAATAAATAATTCATAAAGCACAGTTTCATAAACTAGTTAACCAATAATATCTACTGTTATACGATCAATTATACACTAAAAATCTTAAATCCGACCTCTGCAAAGTCATTTTCAGAAAGATTTGAACCTTTTTCTCCAAGTACAAAAAGTAGTGTTCTGAATAGAAATGAGAAATATTAATTACATCAAGCTACAATTTATGTTCACTAACAGATTTCTACCATGTTGTTTAGTACTAAAGTTATGACAGCAACTGTTTTAATGGAATTATGAATTTATGCATGGAATGATGGTTATGCCATATCTCATGAAGTTCCAACCAATCTATCAGAGCTAAATGACAGCAGAAATGATTTAACAGCGAACTTTAGTTTGCAGGAAGGCATGTCTGAATTAGATAGGGTTCTGAGAGGTCTGTTGTCGTCACTAATCAACATTGCAACTTCTATTGGCTCTGCCACTAAGGGAAAACCCCAAAAGAAGATATCTAACAGCTTGGCCTACTGTGAAACCGAAGATTTGAAAGGTAACGAAAATAGGACATATTTATTTGGAGTGACAACCTGGAGTAAAGAAAAGAATTATGAGAGTGCTATCTCAGCAAATACTATAAAAGAAGCAGTAACTCATGTAATTGAAAACTCCACCGATTTTGGCATTATCCTGTTTTGTACAAATGTGAACAATGGCGATACATGGTCTGCGAATGTGAGAGTATGCTTATGTGAATATGCAAATTTTTGTAGGACTAGCATCTGGCATATATACTATGTAGATTTTTAGCAATATATATGAAGAAAAATCCACGTTTATACTAAAATTCTATAAAGTCAAGTATATGCATTTTGATAAATGAGAAGAAAACTAGAAATTATTTTACTCGGAAATGTAATCTGAATCACGAAATCCAACAATAAACAGTTTGGTCAAGTTGGCGCAACCAACCTGAGTTAGAATTTGAACTTTTCTCAAAAGTATTAGTTCGATTCCTGTTTTAGAAGAGCTCCCGTAGTATAGTTGGTTAGTACACAAGGTTTTGATCCTTGCAACTTCGGTTCGAATCCGGACGGGAGCTTATTTTTTTATATGACTCTACCGAAAGTGTAGTTTAGCTGATTTTCTTTTTATTAATTTTATATATTCATATTACCTAGTACAAGCAACAGGCTGCTTTTGCTTAATTCAAATTTCTGCACCTTTGGGTGGTTTATAACTAATTTCTTCATGACAATACTTCTCTCACCAAGTAGTTCTGAATCTTCAATATATACAACTTTAACTTTTGCTAGAGCATATCCTAATTTGTTTAGAACATCACTTACAACCAAAGCTGCCGTGCTAAAGTGATAAACACTATGGTTTGTGTATCCCATCACAAAGGGATCCAATTGTTCAGGATAGTGATTTTGATTCAAACCAAAATAGAAGAATGCATTTTCTAACTGCACTGGTTGATTCAATTCATAGTAATAATCTAAAGCTTCAGCAATAATATCGTGTATGTAATCCAAACTATTGAAGAACATAAAATACACATTTCTCAGAATTGATGTTTCAAATGACAAATATGGTGTTAGACTTTTGAAATCTTGAAGATGTGTAATATGACAATTTTCTGTGATTATTGCATCAGTGATATCTGTCAATTTATACAACGTAGATTGGATTTGATCGTTAGTTTCATCTGAAACAACTAATACATCATTATCAAAAATTGGAACACAAGAAAATCTAGATATCATTGTTGCTAGATATTTTGAGTATCAATTTAGCTGCAAGAATATACAGTCCAATGCTACAGGTAATCTTTTTTTTCGCTTTTTTTTAGTAGCAGAATGATTAACGAGACTTCGAGTCATCACAGTCAATGACTACCACTTGAGTCATCACTTGGTTGAAAATCACAACAGCTTAACCAACTTCTATTAGGTTTCATTATCAAAGAAACATCTTATTAAACTGAGAGAGAGAGAGAAAAAAAAGGTACATTCTATATCTAAAATACAAAAACAATCCTCATTCGTCCACTGTTTGATTACTTGGTCCTTCAGTAGCATCGTACGATGGCGGGCTCTCCAATGTATTCAACGTAATTCTTTCATTATCATTATCTTGAGACTCACATTCACCTTGGTCCCAGAAATCTGGCGGGAAGTCATTTTCCCTATCACTTATTTCCGATTCATCGATTTCAGAACGTTCCAATAGTATATCACTATTGAATTTCTTATACACTGGTGGAGCCGGTCCATTACCTTCTAACGGAGCGTAACCCCATTTCTTAACGTTAGCTTCGATAAAAACGTATCCCATTTGACCTAAATTCACATGTACAGAACAAACATTGTTGGCACCAATAGTTGGGAAAATCTGTCCTTGATTTGGAATCCTAAAGTTCTTTATATGTCCGCCAATTTTAGACTCACTTACTTTCTTCCCGTTCCTAGTGAAAAAGATAGTTCCCGAACTTGTTCTATAACCAACTCCAATAACATCACCTTCACTTAGTGCTGGGAATGGAGCAGGTTCTCTTGGTGGGAGCGGATCATTATTTCTTCTAACCCCATTCGAATCATAACTGACACTACTTAAATGTCGCCCAGGAAGACGGAACCAAGGGTAAGGTTTAGCTGCTAATCCCAAAGATATAGTCGTAGACTCTGGGTTTGGCAAGGAGTAAATCTTACATTCAAAATAGATGGTAGTATTGGTCGAGCTTGAAATATTCATCGGGAGATTGGTTTGACATGAACATTCAAAATTTTGAAAAAAATTCAATTCATTCTTGTTGACGATCAACAAGTCGTTATTTGTTAACATCGAATCTTTGATAAATTCATAAGCGCTAATTCCACGTTCTTGTATGGACAATTTTTGACTAAGCGTTAATGGTCCTTTCATGTAATCACTTCCATCAAGATATTCTTTGGCCTGATAGAATAATTCTTGTTGTTCTGGGTCCAACTGTAGTAGTGCTTCTTCATCAAGTTGTATTTGTCCAGGGGATCTTCTAAGAAATAAAATTAATAAAACTCCGAGTAAAGCTGCTGATAATGTGATGATAATAATCAATACTGGTATTAGTATCGCCGACATGATTGTATTCAAATATTCTGCTAATAAACGATTAACTAATAATAAATTGAACGAATTTTTTTTTTTTCCTTGATAAAGTACAATATTTCTTTTTCTATTGTGTAATACAAATTCGCTTTACATTTTAATTTTTTTTTTTTTTTTCGCCCTCGTTTCTTCTTCCTCCCTTCTTTGTTTTATTTGTGATTACTGTGATAAATGAAAATTAGGTCACTCTCTAGCCTTTCCACACGACCGCCTAGTAGTGCCGGGCTCAATTTAAGATAGAACAGTCATTGAAGTACTTACAGGTGTTGCAATTTTGTTTGTACACTACAGTACTGGCAATATAATTTTCAGATAATTGAGTCAATATTATTTGAAACTGTTTCAAAATTGACAGATTTTGGAGAGTGATTACACATTAATCAAAATACAATGAAAGTTGCCAATTACCGGCTCTCTTCTTTTTTTTTTTTTGAATACTACCATTAACTGCTATCAAGAACATTTGATTCTCTCGTATGATTTTATGTACTATGATACTTTGTAAAGTAGAAATCCAAATTCGTAGTAAGAGGATAGTGACACCTTAAAGATTGAACAACGAGGTCTCAGAATAGTAGAATTAAAATCAATTTTCTTGAAGAGGGTTGTGTAAAAGAAAGGAAAAAGTGATTGATAATAACCGATGGTTATTAATAATAGAATAAATACACTAACTGTGCATGTAGATCGGCTGTTCAATGTCCTTTTATTGAATAGTTTAGAAGTCGGACGTGACTCGGCATTTCATTCGATATTGTTACCAGACTTTTTTTTTTCTTTCGTATGTATTACTTTATTCTAATTGTTTGCGTTTTGCTTCAAATATAAATCTTTGTGGGTGGCGACGATATTGCTCTTGTTTTCAGATAATTATGTGCTATTCTATTACTATGACAGTAAAAGAAGAACCTTCAATCCATTATTGTAGAAAGTACACGACCTTTGCTTGTGTATACCTCTGATATTGTAGCTAGAATCAAGTGAAAGGAGTGTGTATTTCTAGCTGAGAGGAACCATAGAATAATGGTTCTTGCAATACGAGCTCGAATATTACGTTTCCAAATACTTCGAATTTTAAAACCTTTAATTCTGACCCATTTTGCAGAGAAATTTGACTAGATATCCTCTAGTTATCAGAAGTTGAAAATAGTAACTTTAAAATTGTAAAATGAATAAGTTTTTCTAGTTTTGAACACATCCCAACAATATTTATAGTGATATTAGTTAAATTAAATTTGACTCAAATTGTATATCACCCTAGTGTGTTGATAAAGAAAGCTACAAGTATCAACAATATTTGAGCAATACACGGCGTCTCTTTTGCAAAAATTCAGATTTGCCATCTCGGAGGTTTTTGTTTGTTTCCGAAAATTAAAACAGTGGTCAAGTTGTTGAAACTATCTGCACTTTTTTTTTGATACGTAGCGTTCGATTCCCGTTCAGGCTTTTTAATCTGGTTTATACACCACCACATTATTTAGTGGAACAAGAATTAGTAATCATAATGCATGACAAATATAAAGGCTCTCACTGAAACAGAAAGGCAACAGCAGATAATATTCAAAGCAAATTTCAAAGGGGAATTCCTTTAATAACAGTTTCCAAATCAGGTGAAGTAATTGCAAAATAAAAGCTTGGTAAACGTGACACTGCTTTTGAATTGAGAAATTGTAGTTTTAAGCACGGTTCCGTCATTCTCAATTCTATTTCTATTTTTAGATTCATAAAGTAAGAGCAAAACTTGATGCAGTATCATTTGCATGAATTGAGCGCTTCACCTCTTTTACTTTCATCTATGGATTCATTACCATCAAGAAGATTTATCATACATACTGCTTTCGCATGATGATTTGAAATATCATCGTTTAATAAAACGAAGGATTAGAATGCTTATTAACCGGCATATGGATAGATTGACTTCTGAATTTGAAATGTTTTGTATGTATATTACTTTTTCTGAAAAAAAAAAAAAAAAAAGAAAAAGAAAAATAAAGTGGTTGTTCCTCATCTGGTTATTTTAACTGTTACATGTAATGAATCGGTAAGCGGAATTAATTCCCACTAAATACTCTAGACTTTAGTTGACTCTGACAATAATTTAATTCCAATAAACTATAGGTTAGAGTACTACGCAGCAGTGAATATGCCACTAATGAACTCAATAATTCTCTTATTAAAATGCAACGAGTGATCTTACAGCTAATCAGATTTTAGGGAGCGACTTAAACTAAATCTGATTTTAGGGAGCGACTTAAACTAAATCTGATTTTTCTTTCAATTAGTTCCTTATATTCCATGAAACATCGATCCTATAGAATTATGACAAATAAAACTTCTACTACTTTTCTCTCATTTATATCCAATCCAATGACAATTCGTCCAAGTGGATCGATATTTCTTTAAAGCAAACTTATGAAAATCAAACGATTTCATAACAAATAAAATTTCAATCAATAATTAACAAAACTTCCCAATTTGCAGTATATTGCATAATTCAATATCCATTACTGCACAATTCTCTTGTTCGAAAACAAACTAAATCCGGCATATTGGCACGATAGTTAGATACTTCGCGACATAGTGTTAATAGAATTTTTCTGTCGTTTTTGACCAACACTAAACCAAGTTCTAATGCCATTTGCCTCAATAGAGAAATAAAGATCACCTCCTAACAATTTGGCTACTGATTTAAAATGAGCCCTTCTATTTTTTGTTAACTGAAACCAGTTACTTGAATTTTAGTTCTATGAAAAAAGAAATTCTGAACAATTCGGAAGAACACTCCACCATCACACAAAATTAGTAAATGTAAAATTCTTGTTTCACATTTCAGTCATTGCATGTTGGAATTAGCTGCTAGGGTTCTTCTTCTTTTTTTTTTCATTTTTTTCTTTTAGTTTCTGCTTCAATTCTAGTACAAACCCTATTTTTGCAAGAATTTCCGACGTCATCGTATCCTTAGGGTTCTTTTGAAATTTATAATCCTGATCAAGAAAACCAAGTTGTTAGGATCGATTATTAAGTAATTTTTATCTTTATTGGAAATTGTACCCTTGATTTGCATTAGTTTGTTTTCAACAAGACATTTGATACATATCAATCTACTGTAGATCCCTGTAATTTACAGAGTATGCGTCATAATGAGCATCAATAAATACTTTATTGATATCCCCCAGTTGCATATTTACAGTGAGTTAAAACTTGGTGCTCACCAAAGATTGACAATCTCAGCTGATGTATGACTTCACCCACGCTCCTCGATGCACTTATGATGAGTTTCTCTCTTAAAAAGTAAAAGAAAAGCAAACTTGCGCTGCGCAAAGACAAGGTTTTCCAAATATAGGAAAAAATTCCGAACTAAGATGTTGTGCGTCAAATACACAGATGATATGCATCACAAAAGTATACTCTAGCCACAGACAAGTTTAAGTTCGATAAATGCTTCCCTTTCTTGTTTTATTCTTTGTCGCATATACGTATGCTGAGTAATAGTAAGATCAACAAGTCTGTTTGTAAGAGATACTTTAAACATTCTTTGATGAAAATCCTTTAATTACGAACTCTAAGATCAAATACTTTGAGATGGGAGCAACAATGCATCTTGTCATTCCCAATCAAACACAATCTACAAGTTTTGGCTCTACAGTCGTTAGAGTTGATAAATTGAGGATTCTGTCACTAGTTCTCCTTTTTAAAATAGCACGAAGTCGAAACCCGCATTTGAACGAATTCTCGTTTCTTTATTGCTCGTTCAGAATAACACCTTTTACAAACCTACAGTAAACTATTCCATTAGGCAAGGCATGCCTAAATTTTTAAAATGAACATGACCCCAATGTATTATTAGAAACTCGTTGATAAATCATGTGCTGGTGCTGTAAGAGAATTCAATAGTGCCTCTTTTCAATAATTTAGATTACTAAAGCAGGGTATTTTCAAACTTCAGAATAGTACCAAGAAATTATCATCTCCCTAGTTTCATGTCAAACGGAATATTAGATACCTGATAGAATGACGAGATTTCTCTTTTTTTGATTCATTTCAGAAAACTAAAATTCTTGTCTGTCGATACCAAGAATCAAGATGAATGTTGTTCATAGTTGAATCACAATCGTTATTTGACCAAGAAAATCTGATTACAAAGTCTTTTTCAACGGTTTTTATTTTTATTTTTGTTTCAATAGTTACGTTTGGTAGTCTAAGTTAAGATAAGATTATTACGAACCAAAATACAATAAACAAAAGCTATAATACTTGTTACTTAGTATTCTTATTAGGTTTCAGCTAAGCCATTGTTGAGTCTGAGCGACGAAAAATTTCTGCATCCCGTTGATACGCCCCATTCTACAAATCCATATGCGTCCGCAATCTGGAATATTGACACGACTTCAGCCACAAAATAACCCATACATAAAAATTTACAAAAGAACATTACTGTCAATCCATTGTTCCAATGAAATTTCTATCAATTCCGAAATAACTTACAATCTTAAGAGTAAACGTCATTGTACCGCAAATTGCAATCACTACACAAGCACATAAACCTATCTAATAGAGATGCATGCAATCCCTATTTTATTTTTTTTACTTCCGGGATGCACAAAAACAGAATTAACTTGTCTATGCTCGGTTTCTGGAAACTTTTTCTTGGTATTTGCTGCAAGGTAAAATCTAACTGTGGCAAAAAAAAACTATTCTGACATGAAGCAACTAATGAACTCGCATTAAACATTAGTTTTCAATCACCTTTTGCCAGACATCTTCACTACATATCTATCAAACAAAGAAACAGTTGAAAACGTGGTATTCTTTCACTAGAATACCATGTAGACTTCTTTCTTTTGTGTAATCCATGTTTAGAATTGAGCCTACATCATGATGTTTTCCAGTTCAGAAAGACTGTATTGCTTTTGGTGCGAAACAGCTATAGAGAATAGACAATATGGTATCGATTTAATGATTACTACCCAAGAACCATGTATTAAACCTTGACTCCGCGTTATATGATACAAGATACTTATTGACCATTAGAAGAGGCACATGAGTACCTTTCAAAAAAAAAAAAATTAATGCTTATACAAGAATCTTGAAAAGTAAAGCAAATAATAGAAAAAACAAGGTGACACAATAATTTCAATATGCAAAAAACATTCAGTATATACTTCAATTCAAAAAAGAAAAAAAAGTAAATGAAATTTGTTCAATGACCTTCTATGATTCTGAAAAACTATTTAAATGTGAATTAATTACCTTTAAGAATGTCTAGATTGATAATTAATTGACTAAGACTCACAAGACAACCTCAACAGTATGACGCTCTTAAGGAACACTTTTATTACATTATGGTTTTTAATCCATACTATTTTGGCTATTGATATTACTTCTGATAGAATAGATCGTGGTACAGTTCAATTTGAACTTAGTGATATTACTATTCATTCTGGTGCTTCATGGTCTATTATCAACAACGGTAGATCTATTTTAAGAGGTGATTTAACTGTAGAATCAGATGCTGGATTTTATATCACCCTGACATCTTCTATTGTATCACTTTAAGTGTCTTTGGCTTCCCTTTTTGGATCCATCAAAAATGATGGTATTATTTCCTTTGATTCTTCTTCATCATTGACTTCTTCTGATTATACTTTAGTTGGTGGTTCATTTGTCAACAATGGTGAAATTTATATGGGTGCTTCTGGTATTATTTCTGGTACATTAACTGGGAGTATGGCTATTACTTCAGCTGATTGGACAAATAATGGTTTAATTGTGTTTTACCAAAACCAAAGAAGTTCAGGTAATGTCAATTTAGGTACCCCACTTGGAAAAATTACAAATGATGGTCAAATTTGTTTATACAATCAAGTCTATAGACAATTGACTGAAATTCAAGGTAGTGGTTGTATTACTGCTGATGAAGACTCAACAATTTATATTGGTAATGGACTTCTTGGAATTTCTACAACACATAATTTTTATCTTCATGATTCTGATTCTTCCCTTGTTGCACCTGCTATTTCAACATCTCAGACATTCAATGTTTATGGTTTTGGTAACGGTAATAAAATTGGATTGTCTTTACCACTTGTTGGTAGTGTGCTTCCATTACGTGCTGCCTACTCTTACGATGCAGACACTGGTATTTTGACTTTAAGAAACATATTGCTTACTCAATACTTCAATATTGGTTTAGGTTATGATTCTTCTTTGTTTCAAATTGTAACTGATAGTGGTGCTGGTATTCCAAGTACTATTTTAGGTTCCGTTAGATACAATGGTCCAGTTCCAGAACGTACCTTGCCTGCTGCATGTCAAATTGAATGTAAAAAAGCTAGAGAAGCTCCAGGTGTCGAACCAACAGAGTATTTGACTACAGTGACTTCAACATTATCTGATGGTTCAGTTACTACTGAAAGTGGTATCGTTGATGAAACTACTGATTCACAAGGTTCATGGTACACAACAACTTCATTGTTCCCACCTTTGTCTTCTTCAAGTTCCGAAGTCGTGTCTTCAAGTTCAGAAATTGTTTCTTCCACTGATCGCGAATCTTCTTTCCTGGAATATTTTAATTCGCTGTCACTGTACGCGTATGAAAGTTTTTCTTCCAACATTGAATCCAGCTCCCATCCAAGTTCTGAAGTTTCATCCACTCAAGATGATGCCAGTGAGTCCAATTTTAGTACATCTAGTTTAATTTCGGAATCAAGTGTTTTAGAAAGCTCTGATGTCTCATCTACTTCTGATGTCTCATCTGCTTCTGACGCTTCATCTGCTTCTGATGCTAGTGAATCTGACGCTTCATCTGCTTCTGACGCTTCATCTACTTCTGATGTCTCATCTGCTTCCGATGCTAGTGAATCTGATGCTTCATCTGCTTCTGATGTCTCATCTACTTCTGATGTCTCATCTGCTTCTGACGCTTCATCTGCTTCTGATGCTAGTGAATCTGACGCTTCATCTGCTTCTGACGCTTCATCTACTTCTGATGTCTCATCTGCTTCCGATGCTAGTGAATCTGATGCTTCATCTGCTTCTGATGTCTCATCTACTTCTGATGTCTCATCTGCTTCTGACGCTTCATCTGCTTCTGATGCTTCATCTGCTTCTGATGTCTCATCTGCTTCCGATGCTAGTGAATCTGATGCTTCATCTGCTTCTGATGTCTCATCTGCTTCCGATGCTAGTGAATCTGATGCTTCATCTGCTTCTGATGTCTCATCTACTTCTGATGTCTCATCTGCTTCTGACGCTTCATCTGCTTCTGATGCTTCATCTACTTCTGACGCTTCATCTGCTTCTGATGCTAGTGAATCTGACGCTTCATCTGCTTCTGATGTCTCATCTGCTTCCGATGCTAGTGAATCTGATGCTTCATCTGCTTCTGATGTCTCATCTACTTCTGATGTCTCATCTGCTTCTGACGCTTCATCTGCTTCTGATGCTTCATCTACTTCTGACGCTTCATCTGCTTCTGATGCTACTGAATCTGACGCTTCATCTGCTTCTGATGTCTCATCTGCTTCCGATGCTAGTGAATCTGATGCTTCATCTGCTTCTGATGTCTCATCTGCTTCCGATGCTAGTGAATCTGATGCTTCATCTGCTTCTGATGTCTCATCTACTTCTGATGTCTCATCTGCTTCTGACGCTTAGTCTGCTTCTGATGCTTCATCTACTTCTGACGCTTCATCTGCTTCTGATGCTAGTGAATCTGACGCTTCATCTGCTTCTGATGTCTCATCTGCTTCCGATGCTAGTGAATCTGATGCTTCATCTGCTTCTGATGTCTCATCTACTTCTGATGTCTCATCTGCTTCTGACGCTTCATCTGCTTCTGACGCTTCATCTACTTCTGGCGCTTCATCTGCTTCTGATGTCTCATCTGCTTCCGATGCTGCTGAATCTGATGCTTCATCTGCTTCTGATGTCTCATCTATCTCTGATGTCTCATCTGCTTCTGATGCTAGTGAATCTGACGCTTCATCTGCTTCTGATGCTAGTGAATCCAATGCTTATGCTACCTCTGGTGCTTCTGATGCTAGTGAATCCAATGCATCTACGCTAGTGAATCTGATGCTTCATCTGCTTCTGATGTCTCATCTACTTCTGATGTCTCATCTGCTTCTGATGCTAGTGAATCTGACGCTTCATCTGCTTCTGATGCTAGTGAATCCAATGCTTCTGCTACCTCTGGTGCTTCTGATGCTAGTGAATCCAATGCA